TGTTTTTCACTGTGACTGTTACTTCTGCACGCAGCCAATGAGTGCGAGCAGAATTCCAGTTTGTGCAGTGGACGTGTGGAGGATCGCTGTGTGCTGACTGAAGCCGGCTATGAATGTCAATGTCAACCAGGATTCACAGGACAGAAATGTACCAGTAAGTACTGAAAGTTGTAGTGTTTTTGTTTTGTTCATTTCAGATCAGCATTTCCTGTATAATCCTTGAAGAGAAGGGAGCAACAACGTTCGATGCCTTATGTGTAGTGCCTTTCTGGACAGGATGCGTGAAATGGTGTGGATCCATGCGAACTTGAATTCATTCCAAGTTTTCCTTTCATGTCCATTTCCATGTACAGCTCCCTTCGATGTATGTCTACCTAATCCTTGTCAGCAAGGCAGATGTGTTACCGTGATGGGAGAGTATCAATGCCACTGTCAGCATGGCTGGCTGGGGAGAGATTGCGACATTGAAGGTATAGTGTGAGGTAGAGCGGAGTGCTTGTGTTAGGGAATTTTCAAGGCGGCTGCATGCGTCGCCGCACATACCTGGGAAGAATGGGAAGAAGCGAATGGCAGGGAACGAGAGAAAGAAGTAGATTACATGGAAGGAGACAGAGAGAGAGAGAGAGAGAGAGAGAGAGAGAGAGAGAGAGAGAGAGAGAGAGAGAGAGAGAGAGAGAGAGAGAGAGAGAGAGAGAGAGAGAGAGAGAGAGAGAGAGAGAGAGAGACAGAGAGAGAGAGAGACAGAGAGAGAGAGACAGAGAGAGACAGACAGAGAGAGACAGAGAGAGAGAGACAGAGAGAGAGACAGAGAGAGAGAGACAGAGACAGAGAGAGAGAGAGAGAGAGAGAGAGAGAGAGAGAGAGAGAGAGAGAGAGAGAGAGAGAGAGAGAGAGAGAGAGAGAGAGAGAGAGAGAGAGAGAGAGAGAGAGAGAGAAAGAGAGAGAGAGAAAGAGAGAGAGAGAGAATGGCTTTTAGTTGTAGAATAAAGATCTTTCTTCATTATCACTGTGCAGCATCCTCGTAACTTCGTAAGTAGAAGAAGATGTGATAGGAGAGTAGAGGAACATTTAGGAGATCCTGGGAAGACAATTGAGTAATCCTCTTCATCTGATGTTGTGGCTGCTTAAAAAGTTAATAGCAAGACTTGCTCAATTCTCAAAAGCCCCATTGGAATATCTTGAATGATGTTAACCTCCGTGTGTGTGTGTGTGTGTGTGTTTGTGTGTTTGTATGTGTGTGGGTGCGTGGGTGCGTGGGTGTGTGTGTTTCTACATATGTGCACATGTGTGTTTGTGCATGTGTGTGTGTGTGTGTGTCCCATATGGTGTGTGTCTGTGTGTTTATGTTTGTTTACGTGTATGTGTATGTGTTTGTGTGTGTGTGCATGCATGCATGCATCTCCACTTTCCCACATGTGTACGTCCGCTTGCTCATATGCACATACATGAATGTGTGTTTTGTTGTACGTCCTGGTGATCTTGTCCTGGCTGTAAGATCCCTGCGTGACGGGCTCGCACAACTGCACGAGAGGGGTGTGTGTGACATCCTGGGCACCATCGCACACCTGTTCATGCCATCCTGGCTACACTGGCCATACTTGTTCAGGTTAGTGCGTTACCTGGTTTCCTGTGCTATACCATGTGCATACATTCACCGCAAGTCTGGCAAATGTATTTTTCAGCTGTATGAGTGCACACCATTTTAAAAGGCCTGATATAGTTACGTGAGTCATCATCAGTGTTCATCATCTCACATGAGGAGAAGAAGAGCAAGGCAGTGCGAGTATGCGCACAGCTATCCATGCATTCCGGCTACGGTGTACTATTCATCTGTATACAGATTATGTGTGGTAAAGTACTTAAGTAGCCATAGTACAGCTAGCAAGGACTATTGCAGGTGTGCTGGTACAGTTTCCCTCTTCCTGGATACACACCAAGCATCTCCAATGATGACGTAATTCCCCAGCATAGCTTGCATAGTGCGATAACTATGTCTTGGTAACAGTAGCACTGTGTGTACACCTGCGTGTGTGTGTAAACAGGAATGTGCTTTGAGAGTCTTGAGTGCTGAGAGTATAGGGGTGACATTGCCACTCGATGCAGACCAGGACTGGGTTGCTACTTGATCCCTGCACACTAGGGCAGATCTCCTGTGCGTCTACAGTAAAACCTGTCAAGGCGACCACTCGGATAAGGCGACCACCTGTCCCTGAAGACCACTGCAATCAGGACACAAGGATGCTATTTCCAGTCAAATGACCCTGGATAAGGAGACCACCTGGTAACAGAGACCGTGTTTTGAGGGTCCCTTGATCCGTCGTCTTAGACAGGTTTCACTGTACTTGGAGGAGTAAGGCTACTATACTGGAGCAGATTTCGCAAGGAAGGCGGTTAGGCGAGTGCATTATTTCAGCAAATCACCAGTGCCAACTTCATGATATCACCCATCCTGGCAACCTCTGGTGTGATGTATGCCAGTCATTATGTAGAAAACAGCTTTTATCGCGATTGAGGTACAGAAATCCCATACCTCTACCAACACCTACCAACTTCTACCAGCCTCAAATAGGCACCGGCGGATTATGCTCGAAAAGGTGTCAGATTCTGCTCGAAAATCAGTGAAATTGGCAGTACCATACAAACCTTATGGCTGTCAATTCCTCTAATTCTGCTCCATTTCTTTATCCACATACCAAACATGAAGTCGAAGACACCACTGCAGCTGTACTTATGGTTGATAAATATGGTGGTAAAGACACACCTGGCAATATGGCGGTGAACACACGCCTGCCCACACACGCTCTCTAGGCTGCAAAGTTCTGGCACGGAGCTCTCCTTCTCACCACCACCACCATCAGTTCGCGCCTGGTGCCTGGTCGATGCATGGCTGGCGGTATCCGGCATAGCAGGCTGGTACATCAAGTAGCGCATGGCACATAGGTGATGACACAGCAACGAAATAGCTCGATTGCGACGTACGTTTTGTCCCCGCTGGACTCATCAGGCAATCTTCTTCTTGGATGTCTTCATACGGAGCTTGACTTGCCATGCATCGACCAGGCGCCAGGCGCGAACTGATGGTGGTGAGAAGGAGAGCTCCGTGCCAGAACTTTGCAGCCTAGAGAGCGTGTGTGGGCAGGCGTGTGTTTACCGCCATATTGCCAGGTGTGTCTTTACCACCATATTTATCAACATACCAAACATGAATGAAAATTTCCAGAAAAAGTAGCGAATTCTGCCAATTTTTCTGCCGGCATTATCCGCCGGTGCCTAGCCTCAAACCTGGTAGAAGTGGTAGAGGAAAGTAGACTCTACAGTTTGGAATAGCAAAAATTGTATCTGCCGAAAGGAGTAATATCTACCCAGGGGCGTCACCGGACCCCTTCACAGGGGGTGCACAGGAAAAATTTTGCACAGGAATTTTACCCGGCCATGATGGCATGATGACAAACTCGAAAGCATAATTATATTAATAATAATAGCATTGCATCATATAATAATAAAAATGTGACCATTTTAGGGTCCGGCGGATTCTGCCGGCAGGAAAATTGGCAGAATTCGGTACTTTTTCTGGTAAGTTTCATGCATGTTTGGTATGTGGATAAAAAATGGAGCAGAATTCGAGGAATTGCCCGCCATAAGGTTTGTATGGTTCTGCCAATTTCACTGCTTTTCGAGCAGAATCCGCCGGTCCCTAGACCATTTGGAATTCTCCAAATCAAAATCCTCAGCAGCGGCAATGTCGTTGTCGACCTGGACAACCGGTTCCTCTTCAACCTGGACAAAATGTTCCGCTTCAACAGGACTGTGTGCCGGTTCTTCGTCAGGTCCCTCATCGTCCGATTCCCCTGGCCCAGCTGCAACAGGAATGGCTTCGTCGCCTCGCCTCACTTCAGGGTTCGCATTCCTCCGAAAAAAGTTTGCTGATAGTGAGCTGGCCAGACGCTTTCCTTTTTCGAGAAGACGACATTTTGAGAGGAAACAGCTCCAAAGACTCTTCAAGTGTGGTGACCTGACTAACTTACTTGCGACCACACTGAATTATTTATTTCTTCTGTATCAAACAAACACCCAGCACGCCGCGTGCATGCAGTTTATTAGTAGATTCTACCAGCACTACACTTTTCATCACCAGGAGTTCGCAAAAAAACAAGGTCGAATTTTTTAGGGGGGTGCACGTGCCCCTGTGCCCCTCACGGGTGACGCCCCTGCTACCATAACCTGTTGATTAAAATGAACACCCTCCTAATCAACACATGGAAAAAAAGTCGGCTCTATGCTCGATGGTAGCGTACTCAACTGTCCATCTGCTGTTTATCGTCTGTTCTTATGTCTTGCCATACAGCGAGGCTAGCTTCTTGCACCCACAGCGTGTGTGTCAACGGAACTTGCGTTCCCGGAAAAGAGGAGCATACTTGCAAGTGCCATACTGGATACACAGGGGTCATATGTGATGGTGAGCAGGAATGGTATTTGACAAAGCAACAGCGATCCCCCAATTCACCACCTTGATGGTGTGATTACTGTATAATATTTTAGGTGTACAAATAATCTACGAGGAGATAAAAGTTTAATAATAGCTATGAAAAGTATGAATGCCGCAGACATCACCACGCAACATGACAATTTGTTCAAGGTTTGAGATTGTGTGTTTCCAAAATCGATTTTCAAGCTCCGATCATCAGTGGAAATACGGAACTAAAGTGATCAAGGGAAAAACAAAGGTTAAAAATCCAAAGAAGTGTGACACATGTCATGTTGCACGGTGATGTCTGCGGCATTCATACTTTTCATAGCTATTATTAAATTTTAGGTGTACTCAAACTTCGCTGCCAGGGACCTGCCAGGTTTCAGGTGTAATGTAGAAATTGGTGACCAGCATTCCCTTCACACACAGTGCATACTCTAGTGCCATTTAGGTGTAACATAAATTTAGGTGTCTGTTTTCTCTACCGAAATTAAAATTACACCGAAAATGACGTGTTACACAGTATGTTTCCTGGGAGCCTTTCACCCCTATCTCTAAGGGAGGCACCTGGTCTAGGTACTTGCGCTGAAGCATTGTTTCTTGGTCTTCGATTTCGCAGAAGAGTGCTTTGGAAAACACGATAGCTTTTAAAAAGTTCAGACTAGAAATCCATGTCATACTACTTGAAGTAATCTGTAAAGAGAAAAGGACCTATAAGTTACTAGTTATGACTAACAGTCCACCAAGGTAACGACTCTACTAACGAGATAATATGCAGTCAAAAAGTAGTAACATATAGGTCCTCTTTCTCTTTACATACTACTATTGGTTCACTGAACATCCGAGTTTTCATACTGATATCCTGGGCAATTTTGGATTTGGTGATGAGGCATCCTCTACCTCCCAAATATGCCCTAGTGCCGAAAACATTTCCAGCTCATCTCCCTCCCCCTCCCATCTTTTCTAGACGCCAAACATTCCGTGCTCACCGTACGCCCTGAAACGTTCGCGATTTTCGCGACGGGTGTGAAATCACGAAAGTTAGTGGGCGCGAAACGCAAAACTATACTCGAACAAGTACTGAAAGAAGACTCGAGTCAATCATCAAATTGACTCCAGTCGCAAACGTGTGCAGGCGCAAAACGATCTGTCATCGCAATTCACGAACTAAAACGGGCGCAAAGGATTCTGGGTTAAAAGTATTGCAAGCGTTTCCTGGCTTCAAAACATTTTAATAGTAGCGCCGAAACATTCCCTAGTCACCAAACATTTCTTGGTTCCTTTTAAAAAAAAACCGGGGTCTCTCAAACATTCCCTGTTTTTTTTTCTTTCTTTTTTTATACTATGTGCTCATCCCTACAAAACAATGAGTGAGACAAAATAGTAGTAGAAAATACAAAACAAGAAAAGTGTAGTAGGTGCTACAAGAGCTGTGCTGGTCAAGCGCAGTGCACTCCTCCGACCATTTCGGTCTCGAAATTGACATGGACTGTGCGGGCAAGGGGGTGTATTACTATGAATGATAGAGTTACTTATTATTATTATTATTATTAAAAGCATGTCCGCGTAGGTGGCGGGGGTGCCACTTTCGCTTATGCCATTCAGGATTGATGTCTGAAGAGTAATACGATACAATGAAATGACAGAAGTGACGTCAACAAAAGCCGTTAGCAACAACACAAATATGACTAATGGAAAACTTCATCCAAAGTATAAAATAAAATAGAATATGCATACAACATGTCTGCATATCATCTGAAAATGCAACGGTTCCGAAACAGTTGTCCTTTACAGTAAATAACCTGAAATACGTAGTACTCATAATGAGCATACGTCTGCTCACCTGGGCAGCATTTGTCACACTGTGTGTTTGCCCTTTAAACCGAGTCTCTAGTCCAAAGATCCTGGACGATGCTGGCGGACCGGAGTTTAATTTCGGCTCACTGCGTGTTGGTGTCTCCACGTTTGTGCACACACACATTGTACACCAGACTAGAGAGGTTGAGTTGCGCACGTGATTTTTGACGCGACACGCAAATTCACATCGAAAGGGTCGAAATTTGGGGTGATACAGCAAATTCCCACTTGAGATGCAGCCCTCTTGCGTTGTTTTCCAATTTGCGAGCCAAATAACGGGAGTGGAACTTTCACGTCACGTCCTTCTGTGTACTTGTGAGTGTGGCTTGCAGTTTTGCCAGATGTGTACAGGTCCTCCCTCGTTAGTAGATAATCTCTGGGCCATCGAAAAAGTTATCTTTTAAATCATAAATTTTATGTACTAACGAATTACGTGTACCTCTGCGCTGTGTTTCCTGTGTGGGTATTCGTCTACAGTTGACGTCAGCGAGTGCAGCAGCAATCCGTGTGTGAACGGCCAGTGCTTGAACGTTGGTGATCGCTATCTCTGCACATGTGACCGGGGCTGGAGTGGTGAGACGTGCGCAGACGCGTCTGTTGCAAGTGGTAAGAATGTCTTTTCAGGTTTGCTTGCATTGTGATAATGCCATGTGATCATCAAGCACCTCTTCGGTTTTTCGGAGATGCATGCATATTTCCATCCCAATAAATTACCTATGTTGCTGCGTATCCCGGACAAACATAGTCCGAGTCCTCTACTCCCACAGTTGTACCCAAAGAGTAGATCAGGGATGACACTTCTATTTATTCCCGTAGCTATGCAAAAGCCGTTACTGAAGTAACGTCTGGCGCTAGCCAGGGTCCACACAGCTTTAATTCCGTGTTTGTTTGTGCCATCGGCATGCCTGGCGCTATCCCGGACCTGTCCCGTACCGTACCGTACCATCAAAGACAGCTGGCCACAATATTCAAATAGGACTGTCAAATGCAAGATCATAACGTTAAGCAACTTGGAAGAATGAGTATGTATGCAAAGTGTATCGGGAAATGCATGCAGGGCGATAGTGCAGGTTCGAATCCCAGGTTAAATCTTGAAAAAAATAGGAGAAATGAAAAAAACATTATTTTTTTATTTATTTTATTCCAAGCAAAACATGGCTGGGGTAGCCAATGACCACTTTGCGTGGCGATTGCACGGTTTAGCTTATAACATCCCTATGCTTGTTTGCCTAGGTCATCAAGGTGGTAGACGGTGTCGCATTACCCTCGAATGCAAAGAGAAAGTTTATTTCTTTCGCTCAGGGCCCTACGCTATGCTTTTTTGCCTAGCTCATCATGCATGTTATTCGAACAGATGGAAACTTTTTGCTATACAATGATGTAGCCGATCAGTTCGTTGTGGTATGGTCGGGCATTGTAGCAGTCATGGTCGACGTAAAAGACTATAAGACCGCAACAAAGTTGGGACCAAAGAGAAAGTTCCATCAGTACTAATAACATGCATGATGAGCTAGGCAAAAAAGCATAGCGTAAGGCCCTAAGCTTCCAAGACCTCTCGTTCCCGAAATCACTCCAATTTGTGCACGTTGCTCAGACAGACCGACCGAAAACAATTTTCATAATCTTTCTTGGATAATTCGCGGATCTGTTGTTTCGGGCCTTTGAAATCCTAAAAATGACTTCAACTGGAACAGGGGCGCTACCCCTTATCCCTCCCCCCCCCCCTCCCCCCAAGGTCACCGCCCTCTAGACCCCGGCCGGGTGGACAGCCCTAACCCACTTCAGATTTCTACCCTGACATATCTGGAGGAGTAAACGATTCAAACCCTTCGATTATGCACACTCTGCGTCGTTTTCCTTTTCTGCCCATCAGCTGAGCTGTAATGGGTGCCCTATTCTTTGTGTATCGCATTTAGGACAGTTTCCTATAGATGGCACAGGCACTCTACAGGGTAGTATTTCTACAGAACCACAAGGACAATCAAGGCTTCTTTGCTGCAACTTCAAGGTTCATGCTCTCGCAATCATCAGGCAACAATGCCTGATGAATGTGATGATTGCTCTCGCATGAATCTTGAAATCGCAGCAAACAAGCCTTGATTGTCCTTGTTGTTCTGTTCTGTATTACGCTCTGCCTCCGCCGTGTTGAGCACTGTCAGCACTCTGGGTACACCCTCCGCCATGGTGTTGAGCACTGTCAGCACACTGGGTACATCATCCGGTGTAGTATTTCTATAAAACCAGCAAACATGATTGTATCGTTAATAGCACAAACAAACGCACCCTCTCTTTGAATTGGTTTTCACTGTGGTCCTCTCTCCAAGGGCTTTTGAATTAGCCCAATATCAAACTGACTTGTCACATAAAACCCGGGTTATGGCAGAAAACCAAATGTAGTATCCACATGCGGGTGTATAGTGCCCCAGGGAACAATGTGTCTTACTACCCGTTTAGGTCCACAGAGGCCCACATGTAGCATCGGTATAGGACTGCCAATGCACCGGCCTAAAGAAAACACATCACAGTACCCGAGGCTGTAGATGCTATTCGGACAGGCCCGCACTGTACAGTGCTACTCAATGAAATCCAGTCGTGTCACTCAAGTTTGCGCCTTGCGTCATTCCACGGCACACTGTTCGCAGGTCTATGGCTGCGCACCGCCCGGCGCCTACTTGAGTCACCCGACTGGATTACACTGAGTAGCACTGTACTTTATCACTCCCAGTTACTATTGACTCACATACGTTTTCACTACACCTAATCAGTCAAATATTCCTGCACATTTCACTCCTTAGCTACTCAGGCTATATTGACTGCTCATATTTGACTCCTTTTTAGAGATTTAACACTGGCTTTGGCTAGTCGTGATAAATCTACTTGTAATATTGACTTCATACTTGGTCAGTATAGGAAATAAAACCTCGTAAAAGACCTCGGCTTCGCCTCGGTCTTTCACTCGGCTTTTATTTCCTATAATTATTGACCTCGTACTCAGTCAATATTAGATACGTTGTATTACATGTACAGTCAACTTCGCGTATAACGACACTCGGCGGCGGGGCATCAGAAAAGCGTCCTTATTCGCGAAGTGTCGTTATACCCGAAGTCCCATTATGTATGACAGTTGGATGGGACTTTGCTCTGGGCATGGAAATCCTGTCGTTATTCGCGAATTGTCGTTATAACCCCCACCTAGGGTTCCCAGTAAAAAGGCAATAGCCTGTTGGGACTCCCCTAGTAAAACGAGAGAGCTTGGAAGCTCAGGGCCCTACGCTATGCTTTTTTGCCCTGATGACCTAGACAAAACAAAGCATAGGGATGTTATAAATTCTTTGAAAAAATCCTTTTTTTAAGACATAACCTGGGATTCGAAACCGCACTATCGCGCGCCCTGCATGCATCCCCCGATACACTTCGCATACATACTAATTCTTCCAAGTTGCTTCACGTTATGATCTTGCATTTGAAAGCCCTATTTGAATATGCATTGTGGCCAGCCGTCTTTGATGGTACGGTACGGTACGGGATAGGTACGATCGAGGGTAATACGACACCGTCTACCGCCTTGATGACGGCAAAAAAAGCATAGGGATGTTATAAATTTTTCAATTCTCCAATTTTTTTCAGGCATATCCTGGGATTCGAACCGCACTAACGCCCTACATGCATTCCCCCATACACTTCGCATTCATACCCATTCTTCCAAGTTGCTTCATGTTATGATCTTGCGTTTGAAAGCCCTATTTGAATATTGCGGCCAGCTGTATGTGGCCAGCTGTGTTTGATGGTACGGTACGGTACGGGACAGATACGGGATAGCGCCAGGCGTGACACAAACAAACACACAAACAAACACCAAATTAAAGCTGTGTGGACCCTGGCTAGCGCCAGACGTTACTGAAGTAACGTCTTCTGCATAGCTACGGGAATAATAAAAACTACTATATCCGATAATAGCTATGAAAAGTATGAATGCCGCAGACATCACCACGCAACATGACAATTATTTGTTCAAGGTTTGGTTTTGTGTGTTTCCAAAATCGATTTTCACGCTCCGATCATCAGTGGAAATACGGAACTAAAGAGATCAAGGGAAAAACAAAGGTTAAAAATCCAAAGAAGTGTGACACATGACGGGTAACTTGTGGTAAGTATTACAAAAAGTGAGAACTAAAATAAAGAGTAAGTGTGACAAACGGGCATGAACAGTGCAGAAACAACTCATGAACACGGGGTGCAAACTCACGAAAATAACCTAAGTGCTAAAACATGTTCTTTTTGCTTACACAAATCGGGCTTATGCGTACGAATACAAACAGCTTCAAGGACCTTCAACTGCTGGACATAACGGGCACGACACACTTACACACTTACTCTTTATTTTAGTTCTCACTTTTTGTAATACTTACCACAAGTTACCCGTCATGTGTCACACTTCTTTGGATTTTTAACCTTTGTTTTTCCCTTGATCTCTTTAGTTCCGTATTTCCACTGATGATCGGAGCGTGAAAATCGATTTTGGAAACACACAAAACCAAACCTTGAACAAATAATTGTCATGTTGCGTGGTGATGTCTGCGGCATTCATACTTTTCATAGCTATTATTAAACTTTTATCTCCACGTAGATTATTTGTATACTATATCCGAAGTCGTTATTAGCGTAGTATTACAATCATGTACATGGATGCATACTACAGTAATCAGCTCAGCCCTACTAGCAATAGCCCGGAGTATGGTGATCACTCTAATTTCAGAAATTTTCGGTGCTCAATATTTTCGGTATGAGGGCAGTTCCCTATTGGATTATGTGTGTTAGTGTTTGTTCGGTGTATTGAAATTTTAGGTATGAAACAGACGCACCGAAAGTACCGAAAATAAAAGTACACCGAAAATTTGTGAAATTACAGTATACTTATAATAGTTATGTCTGCATCATTTACCGTAAAGCTGTGTATAAAGCCGCGGCTTACATTATGACTTTTGGGGGGGGGCATCATTTGCAGGCTTTGGTTTTCGTCATGCTGTGTTCACTTGATCAACTGTACGTGCCTTGCAGCTGCCGCAAGTGGGTTTGCCCATTCCGTCGGGAACATGGTGACGTGGGTTTCGTTACTCTGTGTCCTCTTCCTCGTGGGAATCGTCTTTGCTTACCGTCGCCGTGGCGCTGGAGGTGGCAGGAGGAAAAGCGTTGAGCTGGCAGGTAAGAGTAAACAGAAGAAGGCAATAGAGAGGTTAAGGCCGTGATCGTTTGGTCGGATCCAGATCCAGATCCATCGGATCCACTGGATCTGCAATGATCGATTGGTCGAATCCGGATCCAGATCCTTCGGATTTGGATCCGAGCAACCCTGCCCCGGGAGCAGGGTTGACTGGATCCATTGGATCCAAATGTGACCTTTGTGCGTATATGGTGGGTAAAAATCATGTTTATACTCATTGTCGTACGTCTAGTGGACTTTTGTTGACTTTTCGTACGACGCAGGCGATCAGTACGACTTGTGCCTTTTTTGGGTGACCTGTCAGCGCCATTTTTTACTTCGTCAACATGGCAACAGCCAAGGTCCGCAAAAAAGTGTTCGGTTGATTCTGAAGGATCCGACGGATCTGAGATTTGGATCTGGATCTGGATCCGACCAAACGATCATAGCCTAAGATGCACAATATTTCCAACGTGACGCGCAATTTCACGTCACATTTGGCATAAAACTCCAAATTTCGACGTGAGCTGCAGGTCACTCGTGTTGTTTTTGTGACGCGCCAGCCAAAAAAACGCGAGCTGGGCTTTCATGTCACGTCAGAAATAACGCGCATCTTAACCTCTCTAATAACTAGAGTATATTTGCAACAAGGAAGACTAGCGTCGCTGTAAGCATTTCCTAATTATGTCGACATGCATGAGTAAAATTTGAAACCATGGTTGCAGGGCACACAATGAATGCATGTCGACGCATAGGAAAGGCTCCCAGCGAAACTACAGCTGCGCTCACTGAAATCCGACCCAACGTGCAAACCTGGCGCCCTCAACTTGCACGGCCCTTGACGCCCTGGAAGTGGAACGAATGCGGCTGGACGTACACATGTACACATACAATGATGTAATCGGAACTGGTCCAGGGCGTCAGTGTTGCACTTTGGGTTGGATTTCAGTGAGCGCAACTGTAGTCCTCCTCGTTGCAATATTAAAGCCGCTGTCTCCGAAACGTTTGGTTACATAACTGAAGTGAACGTGATAGGGGCGAGGCATCCTGCAGCTTCGTAACTCGAAGAAAAAATGGTTTACAGGCACACAGGCTCTTTCCCTGGACATTGCACATTCACAACTCAGCTCACTGTGTCGTTATCGACGTTTTGGCAAATTGCCACCATCAGGATTCAGAAACTACAGTAGCTTCTCAATATGCACAGATTCCACTGTAGCCATCCAGTATAACCAATTAACCATACATTCTCTCACAACATCCTCCAAGCAATCTCTAGACTACATCATTCACTGAGAGAAGAAGACAGTCATTAGAATTTTCGGGTAATGTCCACCTTCAGGTAACGGTAGTGGTGGACACATATGTGTACATGTCATGTGTGTGTTTATATGTTTGTATGTGTGTGTATGTGTGCAGGCCCATCGCACCGACTTTGGAGGTGGGGCGGCAATGGAAGGGGGGTCTGGGGTCCTGGCCCAGGAAAAAATTCAAAAATTAAGCCAATAACCCCGAAGTTTTCCGCGTTGTACAGATGCACGAAATCCCGTAGAATCCCGGAGACCCTAATGGGTGTTGAATGTGCAGGACCCTATTGTGTTTTCTGCTACTTCCACCAAGAAATGGGCCCTGAGGGCATTTCATACGAAAACCTTTTATGACCGTGGAAAGATCTAGCTAGTCATTAGTTCTAACCAAAGTGAAGAAGCTGGAAAAGCGATTGTTTGCCATCAGTTATGAATCTAAATTTGGTCAAATGCGCATGCATAGCACACAATGAACACCCAACCGGGTCTCTACATACCTACGCCCTAGTACTGCACTTCGTACATCTGTACTACGCGCAAAAGGTCTATCGCAAGCATTTCCGGGCATTTGCTGCCATTTCAGTGTAACTGCAGTGAAAGACTTTTTATATTCTGCAACAAACCAAGAAGACGCTACAATCAGTGACAAGGATTCTTCATTACCCTCCTCTGGAAAAAAATTCAAAAATTGCAAGCAAACCGCAAGCATTTTCAGGCATTTGGTGCCATTTCAGTGCATAAACTGCAATGAAAAAGACTTTTTGATTCGGCAACAAACCGCGATCGGCCTCGGGAACAAGGATTCTTCATTATTCGCCACGTTTGCGCTGAGCTGCGATCATCTCGCTTTGTTGCAGTGTGCTCCAAAAAAAACGGCCAAAAAAGTGGGGCGGCCTCAGCCGGCCCCGGCTGAGGCCGCCCTGGCTGAGACGGCCTTGGTATGTGTGTGTGTGCATGTGTGTGCATGTCTGCATGCATATGTGTGTATGTATATAGTGAACTTTGTGTATAACGACACTCGGCGGGGCATCAGAAAAGCGTCCTTATTCGCGAAGTGTCGTTATACCCGAAGTCCCATTATGTATCACAGTTGGATGGGACTTTGCTCTGGGCATGGAAATTCTGTCGTTATATCCGCTGTCGTTATTAGCGAAGTTGAGTCAGTGACTGTATGTGTACATGTGATGTGTGTGTGTCTGTGTGTGTGTTTGTGTTTGTGAGCATATACCGTAAAGCAGGGATGAATATATCCTGTATCGCATCGCAGTTTGCGATGCAAAATCGATCTACTGCTACTCAAAAGTCACCGTGACTCGCAGAAAAAATCGATACATACAGGCTATCTATGCCAAGCCTCTGCTGTCAAGTAACATGCATACTGTGCCGTGTATGTGGTGCAGGTACTCCCAATCTGGGTGCACATGTATGCTTCAGTCGTTTTTCTGCAAATGGGCTTTCAGGCATCACTCTCAAGAAGGACAATGTGGTAAACACCCAACCTTAAAAGAAAAATGCTAATCAAAATCGAAGACTGCTACGCAATTGTGATTTCGTATAGCAGAAACTGCTACCCAAAAATATGACAGTAAATTCATCCCTGCCGTAAAGTACCGTTGATCCGCCCCCTCTCTAATTGCTATCCCCTGTCGACTCTATGCCTGTGAAGCGACTTCGGTGTATACAACGAAATACGATGTTGAACCGACGCATGCACCGCTGTACACAATATGTTCCAGTGCAGGACGAAAATGTGTCCAATCCAGCAATATAGAATCTGAACTTCCTCGTTGTTGTACATCGTACTGCACTTGACAGCCTTGATCTAATTTCCGCCCCTGCCAAAACCCAGCTGGGAAGCGACATGGCGTGGGGGGAGGGGGGCGGATCAACGGTACTTTACGGTACAGTCTACTTCGCTTATAACGACTGCAGATAGAACGACAATTCACAAATAACGACAGAATTTCTATGCCCAGAGCAAATTCCCATTTACCTGTTTACATAATTGTAATGAGACTTCGGGTATAACGACACTTCGCGAAAAAGGACACTTTTCTGATGCCCCGCCGAGTGTCGTTATACGCAAAGTTGACTTTATGTGTAAGTGTGTTTTGATGTGTCTCCGCCCGCTGATTGTGGAGTTATGAGCTCTTAAGTGGGATCATTTGCACCACCCCCTGAAAGTATGAGGTTGCATGCAGACGTGCTGGCAGCCTGGTACACAGACATGTGATTTCTTTGGCACTTGTATGCTACCATGAATTATTGATTGTTTTATCTCCCCTGATTACGCTTGCCTTGCTTACAGCCATGAAGTCGAACGGAGGCACTGAGGCACCACCACAAGCAGCGAACTGGGTGCCCACGACACAGACAAGCAATGAGAATCTCGACAATTGCATGCGACAACTCGCCAAGCACCAGAGTCGGTACGGTGACCTAATTGCCGCGATCGATGGGAAAGAGCTTGGGAGAACACTTTCGGAGGTTGATCCGGCCACTGCGGACATGGACTCCTACTTCAAGTCAAAGCCTGCATCCACAGTCAGCGGGGAAGGCAGCAAACCAGTGGATGAGTCCTATGACACAAGCCAAGCAGCAACCCGAGAGGCGTACGATACGACTGCTGACTATCGGCCAACATCCGTCTTGAGTCAGGCATCCGCACGCCTCGGTCTGAAGTCCACGTACATTCCGGTGAGCGTGACCGATACCGATATGCGCAGGCGCAGCACCGTCACACTCCCAGCTGAGAACAACAGTCGGCTAGAAGACGAACAGTGCTCGCAGCATGGCCAGATAGAAGATGACCAGTGCTCGCAGCACGGCTTCGCCAACTTGGGCAAGCGTGAGGTGCTGCAAGCTAACGAGACATATTCAAACGAGTGCGACACGCAAGAGACTGAAGCCAAACAAGCGATCGACAACGCTATCTATGATGAGGTGTAGAACACCAAAGAAGACTGCATGCTGATGCACGCATGATTTTAAGTGCATGCACCCACGCACACATGCAAACCCACACATTATGTCTGTTCTACATGTACATTCATACTACACGATAGTCGATACACACACACACGCACGCACATCTTGGACATTGCAAGCGCGCTCTCGTGGACAGTGCGCCGGCTCACTGATCACAATCGGTGAATGCAGTCTTCATCTGTTTTTTTTAGTGAAAGACAGTCCTGTTGTTTTCGGTTTCTGTCTACTGGCATTCTGGCACGGCATGCAAACACCTCTTGGCCAGGAGTCACAAGGCTAACACTTAACCTTACTGCATTCTGTACTCTGCCTGTTGGTCTCTGCCTAGGCGCCTCATGTTCAAGCTACACCAGTGAGGCGTTACCATGGTTACTTCATTCTCTTTCTTCTCGTTGAGCACAGTGATGTCATCACTTGTTCATCTTTTTTTTCTAAAATTTAATTTCTTCTTTGCAGTGTTAGTCCACGTGCAGGTTATCTCTGCGCTATGTACAGGTCAGACCGGGCCTGTATGTTTTAACCGTACTGTCACCATAACATAAATACACCTCATTATAGCGTACGAAATTAAAACACATTTAAATGCCCCTGCCGCCGCAACTGCACCATCTCCATAGATTTTTCTTCGCCATTGCTTAATCCTATAATATACACGTAGTGTAGTTTTCGCCACGACACACTTGGCTTGGCCCTGCACGCACGGAGACCTCAGAATAACCTGAAACGTCGCCAGCCAGTGGCCGTTCCAGCTACGTCACCGTCACTTCGAATCTTCTTGAGCGTTTTCTGTGAACAGGTTCAACAAGTTGACCATTTTTCCAGGGCATGTCATGATCTTTCAAGGCCAAAAGCTCTTTTTCTTAGTAATATTACATGTAGCATGGATAGCCTCACTTGCATTCAACCCGCATACAGTGATTTCTTCAGAATCAGCTTATTTATTTTGTTTGTTTCCTCATGCTCTACAATACTGTGGAACTCTACCGTAATCACTGTCTTGGTAAGAAGGTTAATAACAATAACATTCGCGGTATCTATTTAGTATTTTATTGTGTTTCAAGGATTACCCAAAGGCTCTAGGCCTGTCGACCATGGTCGACTGTCATGGGGATCTCCTACTCGGAGAAATGTCCAGTACTGTCAGTAGTCGTCAGGGAGTAGCACAATACCATTCTCTCCAGTACAATACCTTGTTTGTTCGTTTTGTACTACTCCCTGGCAACCGCATCGCTCGTCACCATGCACAGGCGCGGGGCAACTAGACCTGCCCCCCCCCCCCCCCCCCCTCACCACACACACACATCAGTGCGACAGTGGTGCCAGGACAAGCAGTGAACCGTGAATGGTGAAAGCAACTAATCATGTACATGTACATGATTGTACCACACATACATACCGTATTATCTCTAATATGAGCACGGTCCTTTATTTTTTCAATGTACCTCCGCCCCGTGCTATTATTGGAGACGTTCCTTTATTGGAGACTGTTCCATTATTATTTCAACCTCATTTCAGAGGCATGTTGCCATGCCAAATTCATGTATGACACACACATTTCAGGGTTTTTTTCGCCGGTACAGATAATGAATTTACACAGTGTGCTTATAATGGAGACTGAGCACTTTATTTTTTGAATGCCGCCCCAAGGTGTTCTATTATTGGAGACGTGCTATTATTGGAGACTGTGCTTATATTAGAGATAATACGGTACTTGTAACTACTCAGTAATCACTTCATATTCATAAGAAGACAGTCAGTCCACAGAGCTAGAGTCATCAGAGACACTGCCAAAAAGTACAACTACAAGTCATGAACTATGGAGTAGTAAAAATGCGGTGTTTTAAAAACTGTTTTTGTGCTCTTGGTGTCACCTAATGTAGTAATGGCTGACATGATGCAGGTACTAGTAGTAGTACATGTACTAGTACAGATGCAAGAAAGAAATTCTCCAGGCCGTGCGGGTAGATCTACGCCGGGTAGGACAGCGACCAAGGCAAGACCCAGGCCAGGGTCCAAGGACCTTTTGAAGATTTTTAGGTAAACACCAGGAGTAAGAGTTACCATGGTTACTTCGCTGACGGATCCCATACTGGGCCATAGCCCAGGGTGCGTGTACATGGTGACACCATGGTGACACCATGTACACATGTGTACACGCACCCTACTACCTAGTATTATGGGATCCGTCAGCGAAGTAACAAGGAGCCTGGACGTCGTACTGTAGGTACATGTACTAGGTGTTGCATGCATCCATATCCAGTGCCCTGAGCATGAGGCCGTGGCTGTAGTGTACTGTGTAGATCGCGTAGCCTAGTAAAATTTGTATTGTAGGTAGGTCTGTGCTTACTCCATGATCCAGTCCAGCTCTGCTTCAATTCAGTGCTTGGTAATGGTATCTTGGGCTATACATGTACACTTATTTTGCATAGCGCTATCTTCACTGCACTGACTTCAGCAGTTCAGCCTTTAGTTTAGGATAAAGTAACAGTTATTTGAAAATGTCCTCGCTTATTACACACCGGTGCGGCATGAACTGAAGTTAGCTTGCTCGGCTTTCTTCTCCCGAATAACTGTTTCCATGCCCGCTTTGAGGTTTTCTCAGCGCTCGTGTGCGCGGTATACCGTGTTGTCAGACGTGGAATTCGACTAAACAATGCAAGCCTATACTATGTTAGTATGACTGTACATGTACCGGTAACAGCAATAATTATTTCTAGCAGCGACAGCATTATAGCAACGAAAGCAGCGACAGCAGCAATGCAGACCAACATTACAATACCGGCGAAGCCAGAAGTCAGGTAAGCACTGTGTTCAAAGTGTGTATGTTTAGGACTGTCTGGAATTTATTTTCATGTGTTGCCGCTTCTCCACTTGCGTCTGTGTGTGCATCTTTTGGTCCCGCTAGTTCCTCTTCGAGCTTCCTTCATTCCATTTGGCTTATGCGAAGACTAGCCAAGCTTGCTTGGCGATGCCCGAGGGCGAAAAAGCTTACAATAATAGACCTGCACTAATATTAGTAATAAATTGAGGGAATGGAAAACGGAAAAATCTGAAGAGAAAATTGACTGTCACCACCAGGAATCGAGCCAGGGAACTTCGCCTGAGGCCAGCGATGCTCTGACCACTGAGCTATGGTGTAGCTGTCAAAGACTCATCCCAGCGGAGACCTGGTTGGAGACCTGGTTGGCTAAATTCAAAGGTATTCCTACCCAGCAGCGTTTCTACGATTGAAAGAATTGTTTGGCGGGAGAACAAAACTGTAAGATTCCAACTACATGTAGGGTGACGTCACCAGTCGATCGTTGTGTCAGAAACCGAAATGCTAACCACATCTTAAAAACACACAAAATACAGCGCAGGACGACGGTCGCTGTTATCGTGATCGGTAAAATGCTAACCATGTCTTGCCTAGAAAGCTGGGTACTAGGGAGGTTTCGCTCTACGTAATTACGTATGAAAATCCGTATGTCATACACGCCGGGGAGCGAGGGTAACTTTCATACGCAAATCTCTATACGGATTTCCGTAGGAAAGCTGTTTCCTACGTTGAGGCCACCGTAAGACTTTTTTAAATGTTTTTCGCATTTCCGGATTTATCCATGGCAAAGTCCAAGCCGCGCGAAACACAAGGTACACACACCGTACACCACGTGGAAATACGATGGAAAACGCGGTTTCGGTTCGTGATGCATGCGGTGGGCGCATGCAGCCAACGCGTCTCCAAAGCAACAAGGCATATTTAGCAGTCGTGGAGAAATCACGTAGAGCGAAACCCAACAGCGCTGATCTTTACTTATGAAAATTCCGTGCAGTTCCTACGTTATCTTCATACGTAATTCCGTAGAGCAAAACCTCCCTATTCATGGAGTTTAGGGTCCCAAAATTAAATATTTCGAACTTTCCCAGTGCTCTTTGTACTGTCAATCATGCTTGAGGGTACATGAACAGTAGAAACTTTGCCAACCAAGATTAAAAACAAAGTTTCTGACGACGTGGGCTTTATTTTCGTCAGAACGAACCAGACTGGGTACTGCTGATGGCTGGTGCAGAGCAGGGAGCCGAAGGTGTGTTCTTCCGCTCGAACCCTCTCTCTCTCTCTCTCTCTCTCTCTCCACACAAACTCGCAGTGGAAGGTGGGGAAAAACTCTCGAGACGTGCCAAAGTTCCGTTTCAGCTGGCACTTGGCACGCATCCATAAATTTTCGACTTTGTTCGTATGGATCGTTCGATCATCAGGATCAACAGAGTGGTCATCGTGAACGATGACTTCGGGAATGTATATACCGTGGCTGATGTTCCCGAGTTACCCATACGCGGCCCAGTCGTCCGAAATTATTCGTGTTCCAAGCAGAATCCACTCGTTAATGAGCGCTACTAGTGTGCCAACTGTTCTGTCCGGAACTTCCCGTACGAACAATAATACGCATGACAAGAAACACAAACTTGGTAACCACGTTCAGAACGAAGCGGACGAAAATGTGAAATACAACAAAGCCAAAAGTAATTTCAAGACAATAATGCTGCTGACCTTGACAACCTTGATAACCTTGGTCAGCTATCGGCCAGAGTGTGGCTCGATGGTCCCGAACGCCCAGTATCCTTCATGCCAAGCCCCGCTATGATACTGCAGATGCAAGTCCTTGCTTCCATCGATCTCGACAATGACGAGTTCACCATTATTGTCCACACCGCTGGGTTTGGGAAATGTTGATGATGTCCTGGATGGCTATGTCGCGGTCAAAGCTACACCTGTCCACAATAGTGTGGTTGCTGGATATGCCAAGTTCCCGGATGACGACATCTTGTGTGGTCTATCCTGAGCCCACCAGTACGAGAGAAAAACAGATCTCTCAGAAAATCACACGGCTTCTTAGAATAAGGAACCACAGCAACCGCTCCTCACATAGTTGCAAGGTGTGCATCTCCAGCGAAACCCATCTCGGCTATCCTGCCTCCTAGTGCGGCTACACCGCGCACCACATGTGTCACAAAGCACTTTGTTCCTGATACAGCGCCGGGCGGCAAGGAACTCTCCAGTTGGCCAAGTTGGGTCCTGGAAAAGATCGGCAGAAGGGTGAACACGGTCCACCTCTCCATCAAGATTGCATCTGACATTATGAAATTTCAGTATGTCTCCCTAAGGAATAATGCGTATCGGCGCACCGGGACGCTCAGCCATTACCATCAAGTCAAAGGAAGCAACGCTTTGAAATGGGAAAGCAAACCTTCGAAACACACAAGGCAGAATGAGAAAGAAAGTTGCGTTACTTTTGGAAGGCATATGACAGTAGTTCGAGTACACGTACTGTGAGACCAGAAATGTTAATGTCAAGTAAAATTAACGATCTCCGGATTTTTGTGGGTTAGCGAGGTGAAATTCTAACGAATTCCGTCTCAAAACCGGCAGCTGGCTGTATTGTATTTTTTGTATTGTATTTTATTATTTTACTTGGGCATTCCCAACAGACCCTAAGGTCTTCTTACAGGGTGCCCAAGATGAATGAAATAATTGTTAAGTTCCTGGCGAAATCAATTGGGGATATGATTTGTGCGAAGGGATTCCGGAATGTGTCATGCTCAAATATGCATCTAAGTGCTCTCTTACCTATGCGTAGCAGATGATCTCTCACATTGTCAGCGAGGCAGTGGACGTAGGCAGTGCTGGCGTACTCGAGCTTGCTCTGGACTACTGACAAGTAGAACTGCCTTCTGGCCTGGACAGCAAGGTTCCTCCTTCCACGTCGAAAAGCACCTAGTTTCTTTCCGATGTCTTCCCTGAGGGAGTTAACGTGGGCACTGAAACTTAAAGTTGAATCGAGAGTCAGTCCTAGATACTTAACTTCGCGTCAGACGGGGCAATAACAGTCGAACCACAGACAATGCTCAGGTTAGGTGGAGGATGTGAGCGTCTGCTGTGGATCAGTAGTACTTGGCTCTTGCTGGAGTTCAGGAGCAGGCCGCGATCTGTGAGGTGCTGCTTCACCACTGAAAAATCGTCTTCTAAGTAGGGACATGAGAATTCGTGGACACTTTCCAGAGGCATACAGGGTGGTGTTGTCTGCATAAAGAAGGCATTGGGAACGCAATGGCAGAGTGGGGACAAGTCGAGTGTAGATGCTGAAGAGGGTAGGGCCTAGGACGGAACCCTGGGGAACGCCCCTAGTGCAGCTTCTACAGTCACTTGTGGTTCCGTGTAGTGGCTGTACATGTACACATCGTTTTCTACATAACGACGGCAAATGTTAACGAAATTTTTTAATTCGCTAAATCGTTAGAATTGAATGTTTGTTAACATTACTGGTCTTACAGTATTACACAGGAGCACTGCATGGGAAAGTTCTAAACAATTTCGGACCCTTAACTGCATGATTACCGAGAGCGCTGACAGGTATTTCAATCCAAAGGCAGCCGACAGATGGCTAGAGTATTGCTCATGACTAGAAAGAAGTGAATGCACTTTACTTGGAGGCATGCGACTCTACCAACAGAGGATACAAAAATGTCAGCATTTCTACCTGAGAGCCCAAAACCACTACTGGGCAAGAAAAACGACGTAGATGCCATGAAAAGGAGTTGCAGGTGAGTTATCATACCAAAGAAAACCTGAGGTTAGTACAGTGATGGCAACTGAAGTCCGATCCCTGAGCGATGTGTTCACATTCTAGCGGTCTCTATTTCGTAGTTTTACTATGCTGTGCTGGGTCTTTGCAATGTGACCGCACCGCTCAGGGGTCGGATTTCAGTTGCTAGCACTGTAGAACACTGGAGATTGAGGGAAGGAGAATTTGCAAAAAAACAATGTGTGAAATTGCGATAGCGACCTCGGCAATAATGGAATGTGTAAATAGAAGAATAAGCAGGCTATCCCGGCAGTAGAAGGTTGTCGGTTTTCGAGAGAGGTTTGTAGAAATCCACTAGCGATTAGAGTCACGAATTTGCTGCCACACTGTTCCTTCGTGATGACTTCATACCCTACAAGTGTATGTTGTGTATTGTTACATGACCTAGTTATCATGATTGCTGCATTGTGTGCGTTGTGCTTGGTGTGTTTCTTGCTTTTCTAACAGTTAAACCTATCGATATCTGGTTGAAGTGTGCTGGTCGTAGTCACATGAACACAATAAACTGCGAGCCAGCAGCATGGCTGCAATCCACGACCGCGATAAGCCAGTACCTGACCTCATCTGCTGTCCACCAGTTTCGTGGCGAGCCGTTCCCGGCAACGAATCCTGCGCCAACGTCACGATGAACTATTTCCCCGTGAGTGTAGCGCTATGATGAACGCATCCATCTCTAAGGTCTGTTCTTTCCATCTCAGTCTGACTTCCTGATGTGTGCACAGTGGCAAAACACCATGTCCACCTGACTAGCCATTGTTTAGTAATTTAAGACTGAGCCGTCATGCATGGGAAAGGTCTGTTAGTGTGACGCCACTGTGTACTTGCAGCAGTACAACTAGGCAGGTGAACATGACAACATACCTGTCGTGTGTTCCCACGCTGTTCTAGCCTTGCCGATCTAAGCCTTATGGGCGGGTGGAGCCATGGAGCAACCAGTCAAGCATTATCACAACGCAATGATGTGTGAAGACAAACCAGCAACAACCTGGCAGCCATTCTGCAATCATCAGCAGTCGTGCTATCAACATTCAGGGTCTGGCAATACCATTGCTTCAGTGGACATGCCGTTGCTTTGGTGGTGCTGTGCAAATGGGGCGTGTCGGCCATGAGCGTATCTGCATGCAAGTGTTGGAGTTCACTGATGGTCATACGTGGATTTCAGCACCACCTTACAGCTTGCTGCAACTTCCTGCTGCTTCACTGCTATAGTATTCCATGCTGCATCAATACAGCAGTGATCTTTGCTACAAAGCTATAGTACTGGGACTCATCATGACTGGCTGCAGCCGCCAGCAACGTGTCGTTTTATCATGAGTATGATGACCTGCAGACAGATGGTGTGTTAGATGACAACTTCGGAGACAGATGACATCCACCTGCTTACTTGGATCGCTAAATAGCTGGATTGAGCGAAGGTCCTGTTGCCAACTGTATCTGGCATGATGAACCGAGCGAGCTCTCGTAAGTTACAGGGTGACAAGAACCGTGTTTGCCATGGTTGGTGCGCACTCGGCTTGCCTGCAGAGTCATGAAGTATGGCTACTCTATAACACGTAATTTGTATACACATAAATAGTACACCGTAGCCGGAATGCCTGGATAGCTGTGTGCATACTCGCACTGCCTTGCTCTTCTTCTCCTCCATGTGAGACGACGAACACTGATGATAACTTACGTAACTACAAGTATGTGCTTTGAGAGTCTTGAATGCTGAGACTACACAGGTTACCATGGCGGCAGCGGTGGTATTCAAACCCACGCCTCCGGAGAGACTGGAGCAGCCATATCAAAGCCTGTATTGTTTGGCTAGGAACACTCAGTGTGCTCGTATCACGGCGGTGCTGCTAAAAGCTATCGAGCACTTGTCAGCAGGCCACCATCTGCAGGTCATTAAAAAAACATGATTTTGGATACACACGCAACAGAGGCGAAAGGCTGTATAGCTGTAACAGTTTAAGTTTCACGCATTTCACATTCTGGATTCTGGATACAACTATGCCATATCGGTGTGCTCACAGCCGTTGTTGCTGCTGAGTGGAGTGTTTCTCTCTATCTGTACTCTCAACTCACTGTTGCAGATTTTTTAAGATTTCTATGTTGATACATTAGACTGCTGAATTATGTGTGGTGGACTATAATTATGTTCTGTTGAGCATTAGTCACCCGGAGCAGTGGTCTCTTGGTTATTGCGCAGAGCAAGTAACTCGAGTGGAGACAATTTTCGGTATTCCACTGGACCGTGTGTGTGTGTGTGCGTGCGTGCGTGTGTGCGCATGTGTGTGCACGCGCGCACGTGTGTGTGTGAAAGCTCTAATCTGTCAGCACTCTCATTGAGCACTCTGACCTGACTTCAAGGCTCATCCTGCTTAAACCTACAATGTACAATAATCATGTTCATGTACGGCTTGTCCGGGGTGGGCAGCTGATGATGGGAACAGCATTGTCTGCATGTGTATGTGTGTGCATGGATGTGTGTGTATGCTCGCAGAGAGTTGCCTCTCAAGTGTGTGTATGTGTGTGCGTGTGTATGTGTATGTGTGTGTGTGTACATACCCGTTGATCTTTCTGATCGCCGGGCTCTTGCTCCTGGTCTAATGTAGCTGTGAGGCAGTGTGTCGTCAGATTCTTGCTTGTCATTTTGTCATTGGGCGTTTTATTGTTTGCCGGGGGGGGGGGGGGGGGGGGGGGAGGAAGCAACTATTTCAGGAAAAATATCTGCCCTTTTAGCCTGACACATGGTGCTTGTAATGTGGATCCCTAAAGACTTGCTGGTGAAACTTCATTAGTGTCATTCATCCACTAGAAGTCAAGAAGTCCTTGATGGCTAAATGGTAAGTTGAATGATTTGGGTCACTTGATGTGGAGTTCAAACCTAGAGAAAAGGAAGGAGTGGAAAAGAATAAAAAGTGTTCCCTAATGCAAACAAAAAAATGTTGATAGATTCGTTGTTTTGCCTTCTTATCAACTTAGGTCTGGGGACGGCAAAATTCTTTAATCTTTCAGTATTTCTTTGGCTTGGCTGCACTGCATGAATGTGTGTGTGTTGACCATTAAAATCAGGCATATACTTTTTTTGTTAACTTCTTTTTGCTCGAATGGCAAGAGTTTGTTTCTAGACCCAGGTCTCCCTCCTGACCCTTCAGTGTTTCTACTTGATTCCCCACCTTCCTCCCTTTTCCATCCTCTCAAGATATAGGCATTTCTACTTCAGTGTCAATCATCACAGAAACAAACACCAAACAGAGATGAAGTAGCGACAAATGTTGACAAATAAAAATAAAACAGATAAAGGCATAGGAGATCAAAAGCAGGGTTTTTGCAAGAAATGTCGCCGCAACATCACCACGGCTACATCAGGAGGACATGTTGACGACAATCTTCCCTAGTAACGGCTTGACTGCTGATACCATAATGGGCTCCTGCATCAGTGCATGGCAAACGCACACAAAAACACAGAAACATGCAAGTTATGAGCATTGCCGGTGGTGTCACTGGGCAGCGAGGAGAGGCACGCCGGTGGGGGGGGGGGGGGGGTCTCCTGGGAATATTTTCGGCCACCAGGGCACGTTTCAGTGCTCTCTTCTTGCTCTTCTGGATGAATTAGGCGGACCATCCTGGATGAAAAATGGTACCACCATGATCATACTGGTCGTGCTCTGTGTGACGTCAGCCCTGCTCGTTTATACAATGCAGAATGATGGCAGTAGAACCAACAAATATGGCCTCTGCCTCAGGCAAATACTCGGCACACTGCTGCATACTGTATGTATGAATGTGCATGAAACATGGTGGCATTGAATCCTCCACCAATTCTGTGCTTTACGCACCACTTCTGTATTTATGCATGTCTGGAGTCAAGAGCATACCAACCAGAGTGCGCAACTACAACTGCAACTTGACTTTAGTGTGGGAAAGCGGAACTCATCGTTTACACCATTTTCATGAATCATCCGAAGTGTGACCTGCAACTACAGTGCTTTGTTACATAATGCACACGACCGGTCTGTATCAGAAATAATGCAAGCAGCCCTTTCATGAATACAATACCGAAAGGTCGCATAAGAAAGCCGGGCTGATTCTGTAGAAGCCGATGTAAGGGCTAGGCTTCTATTCACATCAGGCTTCTATTCAAACCAAGTATTTCTATGTGTGTCAACACTAAAACCAGGCTTATGTGCCGACAGTGTATCTGGAAAATCAGGCCTGCATTCAAACAGGCTTCTATACGAGAAGACCGTCAGTAAGAACACACATGCATGGTGTCATTGACTGTATGACAACTATTGCCATACATGCACCCACACAGGCTATGTGTATGAACACACAGTACTCTTACCGGCGGTCAAATTCTTTTTCTGTTCTTCTCTTCGCAAAATTTGCCCCAAGCAGAGTGGATTTTGAAAAATCCTTAAGAGCTGAACTCCCATCAATCACGCCTAGCTCTTGGTTCTCCATCACTAGTTCACTGCAGCAAGTAAGGATAGGGAAAAAGAAAATTGTCAGCAAACACATATACATATATAAAGGAACATGATCACCCAAGCTGATTCATTACCCAAAGCAGGAGGCGTCGGACACGGTACGGTCACTACGGTATTGACCATACCACTTTTTGCCCCAAGTACCCCGTGAATCAATATAATACACTAATTTGGACTCTAAATTGCCAACATTTTCGTCTCAGCCCTCCCTCCCCCACGAGTAAATTGTACTCCAGATGTCTGACCGTACCACACTAAAATACCTTCCGACGCCCCTGCGAAAGGTATGTTGTCCTAACTTGTAGGCAGCAGGGCAGCAGCATAGTAATACCAAGAGTACACAACCTTCATGTACTCTTGGTTATATTACCGTACTGGTGAGTTGCCTGGTTCAACACATTTCTGAAGTTCGTTGTCGAAGTGGTAACAGTCTGGGTCAGTCAGGTATCTGTTCAGCAGTGCTTATCGTACAAGACACTACGGTACATGAAAGGGCTGGGAATTTGCTGACGTATGGCAACAGTATCTATCTAACAAGGAAGAATAGGACCATCGCAAAAAGACTACTAGTATCTGGGCCCGAAAAAGGGGTATGCCGTTCAAAACCAGCAAGAGTGAGGTTCATCGTTGATTTGTATTTTTGAATATCAGCCCATGGCAGAGAAGAAATGTTTGCCATGGACCTGAAGCCATTAGGCTTCATGGAATCCAATCACCAGATAGTCAGCCAACAGTCAGCAGCTCAGGTGGTGTTGAAGCCAGCTAGTTCTCAGTGAGGAAAGATTCACATGGCAAACGACCCTCACAACAAATAATGTCACAGTCTCCATTTGTTTCGCTGACGTGTCTCAGCAGCTACAATTTTCACTTCTGGATTGGTCTCTTTTTTCGCTGTCGCATCTGTGGTCGAAAAAGTAAAGATATTCAAAGTTTTAAAATAGTGGAAATTCGGGCAATGTTTTACAAAATTCCGACAGGCATGGCAGGTGTGCCGTGGCAAATGGTGGTATTCACCACACTCATTTGGACTGCGCTTCAAGGCGATAGATGGTCTCTGTCGTAGCACTTGGCTGGCAATGCACAATGCACGTGCAGAAGAAAAGTGATTGGCTTCAGTTGAGTACACTCATTTAGTTACTGACAATACAGGAAGGAACTTTTGGGGAAACAATGCCAGGGACGAAATACTCACAACATACCGTTGTACTGGAAGTAACTACTTGCAAGTAGTAAGCTTTTGGAATATCGCTTCGAACCACTGCCTTGTCTACTTTCTGAGCCCTACGTGCCAACTGCCCTCCTCATGCCGGTGTGTGAGACAACAATTTGGGCTCAGCAGTATTATATCAGTGAAGCTCTTGGGCTCTTTGCTACGGTCAGCGGAGGATGTGGACTCCAGAATAAATGCAGCAACCGTGCTTTTGGTTCTGTCGCTTGGGAATATCACAGTATTGAATCTCGTTTATGTATGTTTAAAGTTTTGATTTTGCCTGTGTTCTTGTACAACTATGGCCTCTGGACATGAGCGAAGAAGCTGGAGGATCGCCTGGATGCATGGCATCGTCGCAGACTCCGATATATTGTGAACATTGTCCACTCTCACCACGTATCCAACAAAAAGATTTACCGAAAGACCAACCAAGCTCCGATCTCGCAAACATGTAAAGAGCGCCGCCTCCTGTGGCTGGGGCACGTTGCCCGGGAAGGACCAGACGCGGCCTCTTACAAGGCACTGCAGCTAGCCCTCACTACTTCGGACATCAAGCGCTCCCGTGGACGACCCCACAAGAGATGGGTCGACAGCATCAAAGAAGACCTCAAGCATCTGAACGTGCCGATTCAGGAATGCCTCAACCTCACCACCAACAAGCAACTCTGGGTAACGATCATTGACAGATGCATGACCCCATATGATTTGTTTATGCGGGCAATATGCGACCTGTTCATATTATTATTATTATTATTATGCACACCCACACAGTCACACACACACAGTTACACACACCATTCCACTGCAAGCAGTTAGTACTGTGTGTTTCCTGTACAGCATGCTAAGTTATAGTTTGCATGCACCCTCTCACACCCAGTCAATCTTTCCAGTTGCGTATCCAGATGGGGGGGGGGGGGCATGTGCCAGGCCCTCGCACCTAAAAAACGACGTTCTGAGAGGGCAGGCAGACATCTGGAACAGGGAATTGTCCAAATTGTATTATGCGTTGTTGTTGTTGTTGTTGTGATGGATGTTTGCATGTTGTTCTAGAGACTTTATTCGATAACGTGATTTTTGGACTCGCCTCAAGGAATTTGTCATAAGCTAGGGCACGCTTACGAGAAACGAGTGGCAAGAAAGGCCCAGTTCGTACAAGGTAGTAATATGATCCCGGTATTTTTCTACTCCCATGTTCGCACGCAGAGTCCACTGTGCACTGAGTACAGACCTCTTGCCACTCCCTGGTTCCCGGGACCCCGGGTCACGTGATTGTGACGTTTATCGAATAAGGTCCATAACCAGGCACCAGTGCTATCAGCTGTCTTTTGCTGTCTAGCGACTAATCACTAGTCACTATAGCTCTTTCTCAATGCTGTGACTAGGCGCCAGTGTAAGGAAGGTCTCTTGTTCATTCAGATTTGAACCTCTCTACATCGGGATTTGAAAGAAGAGTTTCTTGCGCATTGCAGTCTATACACTTTATCCTTGTTTTAGATGCTCTTTGCCTGTTCAAGGGAACAGGCCAAACAAAGAAAATCTACAACATGATTGACTACGTGCTGCTCCCTACGCACCTGCGTCCGCAGCTGATTAGGGCACGCTCGTACGGAGGGACACAGCTTGCCAGCGATCATAAGCTCGTTATTGCCGATCTGGAGACAAGCCGATTGTTCAGAGCATACGATGCAAAATCTACAAAAAGTATGGAGAAACCTCTTGCTGTGGCGGAGCTTGTGAATCCTGAAAAGAGCCACAAATACCGATAAAACCTAAAGCTGAAGCTCCAATCCTCTCTACTGTTCGCTAGTGTGGCAGACAGCATTTCCATTGCGGATTTCTGGAAATCTACAACCAACCTAATGAGGGAGTCAGCCAAAGAGGTTGTTGGACACATGAGACGCTCAAATCGTGGCACTCTGATAAAAGAAAGTGCGGAAATTCAAGAACTATCCCGTGAGCAAAGTCGGCTCAGGGTTCTGATCGGCTCTGGGCCGAGCAACGCAGCAGAGCTAAAGAAAGCAAGAAATCAAGTTCTCCATAAAATCAGAAACACGCAGCTTTCAGAAGCCAGTGATCGCCTCGACAAAATTGCTGAACAAATCGATAACGCTCCTGATTCGGTAAAGATGTTTCAGGCGGTGAAGGCCCTGAAACGGAAGTCTTCAGATAGTTCGGTGAAGGTTGAGTCTACCGACCGTGAAGTTGTTGCCCAGAGCCAGGAAAAAGCGGACATAATCGCGGCGCACTTTCGACAGCAGTTCTATTCTGCGCTGATATCAACAGTCGAACGCCCAACGCTGGAGGTTCCCGTGGCCATTGTTGAGGTGATCCGAGCCCTTCAGCGGTTGAAGAACCAAAAGGCCTGTGGAGAGGACCTGGTGCATGGAGAGCTGCTGAAATATGGCGCAGAATATACCGGTCAAAGTTGCAGATCTCCTGAATACCAGCATCACCCGAGGCCTAGACTTCTCGAGCGTCGTCGGCCCAGGCGTCCTAATCCCGTTGGCCAAACCAAACAAACCCCGAGGACCACTCACGAGTTTGAGACCGATAGTCCTACTCAATACAATAAGGAAAGTATTCTCACTCGTGATACTGGCACGGATATCAACAGCAGTGTCAGAATTTCTGGGACCCACCTCGTCGGGATTTCGAGCTGCAAGAGGAACGAGCGATGTCGTGTTCACCCAACGTTGGTTATCGGCCAAGTCACAGAGGTACGTGTGGGAGTGTCATGCCTTGGGGCTAGACATGTCAAAGGCATTTGACATCATCAACAGAGCCAAGCTCCTGGATGTTATGAGCTCGTTCCTTGGCCGCGATGAAGTCCAAATGATACAGCATCTTCTGTATGGCACGACCATATCTGTTCGTATGTGCAGCTCCACTTCCAAGGCATTCCATACCACCATCGGCACGCCCCAGGGGGACAGTCTAAGTCCCGTGCTGTTCGTCTGTTACCTTGAAGCCGCCCTGCAAGAAAGTCGCCCAAGACTCCCACAGCGACCTATAACTGATGGAGGCATCCATCCAGAAACGGGGTACGCCGATGACATAACGTTCTACTCTACCAGTAAACCTTGGCTCGAGGAATCACTACCCGTCATATCCTCGACACTACAGTCTTGGAACCTAAAAGTAAATGAGCAAAAAACGGAATGGGTGCACTTTACATCAGGCGATTCATCCTGGCGGAGCATCAGGCAGCTTGGCTCTCTTATGGGGGGCGCTGAGGATATCGACAGGCGGATTTCGCTGGCATCCCATGCATACGGTAGTATGTGCAGCCTCTGGCTGTGGCGCAAGCATGTGTCAGAAAGGTCCAGGCTCAAGCTGTACAGCTCGCTTGTGCTGCCTGTCCTCCTTTACAACTGTGAGACTTGGGGAGTACCCCAGGCAGTCTTTCAGCGACTGGACTGTTTTCACCGCCGACAGCTCAGAAACCTGGTGAGAGTACGATATCCAGACAGAATTGCGAATGATGATCTGTATTCCAGATGTGGCTCGCAGCCACTGTCGAAGCTTGTTGCCAAGCAACGCCGTAGCCTCACTGGCCATGTGCTGAGGATGATTGAGCAGTCACCCCCTTGCCTTGCGATACTGACCTGCTATTTTCAAGCGGGGTCACATGGACGAAGGGGCCTTCCCGCGGCTACTCTCCCTACCACCATCATGAAGGACCTGGCAGGGCACGACATCCCTTTGAAGAATGCCAGCGACCTAGAAGGAACACGAGCATTTGCTGCAGACAAGTCGAAATGGAGATCAGACATTGTTTTTGGATGAGTTTTTGTTGACTGGAGACAGAAGCGGACTTGGCTTAATTTCAGTGTATTCTCATGCATTGTTCTTTGGCCTTTGTACGCGTGCTGTGGTATTATTATTATTATTATTATTATTATTTTCACTAGTTTGAGGGAAAGAGACAAACGGGATTATTATTATTATTATTATGAAAAAAGTCACATCGTCAGTGCATGATATAAGATCGCATGTGGTTCACTTTTCAGCCCATCATTCGTAGCATTTGTAACTAGGTAGATCACCAAGTACATCACCAAGTACCTCCCTGGACTCTACTGCCTCCTCTGACCCAAACAAGGACCGAGCTTGAGACATGTAGCACTACAGGCGTCACCAAAACATCCCGCCAATGTTAAGCTAGCTGTACATGGGCTAGCCCTTGGCGGATTATGATGGCATAAATTCTGGCACAATTTTAGGATTTTGTCTAAAAACTATGCCCTGGCATAAAAGGACTTCTCACTGGACTGCTTCTCCAACGAGGATCGACCTGGGTACCAAAACTTCAGCCATCTTAGGCTTTCTTGATATTGTCGCCTAGTCTTTGCAACGACTCGCAACAGTCGCCAAGAGATTTGAACAGCGCAGCTGCCTAGCTTCTTTTCCATTCTTTGTTCGATTTTTCCAATATGAACATTATGCCATCGTCACTGTACTAGGCCCAGACAGATTCTGCCGGCAATTCTTTCGGCAAAATGTCGAAGAATTGAAAAGGCGGAAATTGCCGGCAAAGTCGGAGCAGAATATTGAGATTTGGGGTAAAATCGATGCCTGATACTAAGATCTCCTTGTTTTTACCCGTTCACCATGATAATTATGCTCCACAAAACAAGACCAAAATATCACTGGGATTCACTGTGGATCACCTTGATTCTGGAAGAACCCGGAGACATGCGTGTTGAGAAACAGACCGTGCGATTTTTTGGAAACGTTGCACTGGAAGTGGATAAAAAGTAAAAACCCGTTTTTCCGGAGCAGAATGGAGCAAATGCCGGGTTTATAATGCTAGGCTCTGCAAAAATATCGAAGATTTCGCAGCAACATTTTGCGGCAAAATATCGAGGAGACAGGAGCAGAATCAGTCTGGGCCTACAATGGTATACAATAGTCATGTACGATTATTATTGCTCACCTGATCTGAATCACTGGGCTCTCAGGTAAGACCACCTGCAACCGTCCATTGCTAATCTGAAGCAGTGCGCCGTGATTCAGCACTGTGTCACTGTACAGTCATGAACTAACTGTTACTTCTGTACCGCAGCCAACATACTACATGTACAAAGTTATTTTAGTACTGTAGTGGATTTTCTACTCAGCATAAGTAGTTTGTTTGGAAATGACTATTACTTACGAGCGCCATCACCGCAACAACCGAACTAATAGCACCGCTACTGTACTCGTCCAAGAAAGATGTGGACGTAGATCCTGACGCCATTCTGGACATAGCACAAAGACTGCAGCGGCTAATCATCATAGCAGAACATGTACCACTCCAGAAAATGGAATGTCAACAAGAACTAATGACTCCTTGGAAAATCAGCAGCTACTTCCTCGAACGTCGATATCGATCTCCTTCATAATCATAATCACAGAGTCGGCACGGCACGTGAAAGTGCTAAGCAATCTTTTACTGAGTTTTACTTAGTCTTTTAGTGCTACATCATAGTACATGATCATGAGCACATGACTCGACTGTGTAGTACCAAGAGTCCATAACCCCCCCTCTTGGTAGTACAGTTGCGCTCGGTGAAATCCGGCCCGAAGTGCAAAGCCGGCGCCGCGAAGCCAGCTCCCATTACATCACTGGTGATTTGTGTGTATGAACTCAACTGTACGCACCTCGTGTAAAAGTTCGGAGTGCACGTGTTTTTTTTTTTTTTTTTTTTTTTTTTTTTTTTTTTTTTTTTCGGATGGGTAAAAACATGTTCTTTTTTTTTTTTTACGAGTTGGCACCTATGAATTCAGGGGATGGCCCACGCCTGGTAAAAAGAAAAAGAAAGAAAAAGAATGTCTGGCACCTATGAATTCAGGGGATGGCCCACGCCTGGTAAAAAGAAAAAGAAAAAAAGAAATCATATTAACAAAGAAAACTAAAGAAAAAAGAATGTTTGGCACCTATATGAATTCAGGGGATGGCCCACGCCTGGTAAAAAAGAAAAAGAAAAAAAAGAAATCATAACAAAGAAAACTAACTAATGCACGTGTTGCATGCTAAAAACAGTTCAAAATTTCTTTCATTCACTTCACTCAAGCACAGCAGGATCTTGTCGATAGCGGAGTACCCAACATCCTGTTTCAACCTCCCTGCTCGCCGGACATGAATCCAATCGAGAATGTGTGGGCTCTTCTCAAGAAGAGAATAATTCCACATCGCTGCGAGAATGCTGCACCTGGAGTGGGACTCGTTGGGTCCTGACACGGTTTCCCCATACGTGGAGTCAATGTCACGTCGTGTTGAAGCCCTAATCGAAGCTGACGGTGGCCACACAAAAATATTGAAGCCCTGCTGTTCTGTGTATGAAATAAACTGCTTCGAAACGATCTCCGTCTTCTTTCACTTCTGCTGAACTGAAATGAATGTTACACTTGTCTTTGTTTGGCGCGGTTTTTTACACTTTGGTGTGCATGCGTATGAGTACAGTTCATACGGCACACGCGCACACTAGCACTTGTACAACTGTGAGGGCGTCAAGGGCCGCATCAGTACTGGGCGCCAGTTATGCACTTCGGGCCGGATTTCACCGAGCGCAACTGTACTAGTACTACTAGTACAGGTAGACTCCCTCTAATTCGAACCTCAAATTGCCAGGCCCTAAATTCGAATTATCCGGAACTTCTAATTATCCAAATGCAGTCCCATGTACTGATATGTACGTCAAAATGCTCGAAATTGTGTCCTGATTATTTTTGCACATTTTATTTGCATCAACAAAACATAGGTGATCATGAACAACGAGATCAGTTCATTTCACCAAAACACTGGATCGACACGAAGTCATTGGACATTATTTTCATCTTCTACGAAGTTCTGTGAAGCAGTTTTCAATCGCTGCAGTTGTCCTGAAACGATTTCAACGCAAAAGAACAGCGCTGCCTTCTCTGCGTCATGAAAGCCCGTCGGAGACCAGCACCTCGTTCTGAAGAACGGGAGTGGAGCATAGGCATAGGCAATTTTTACGACTTCCAGTTGTTGTTCAGTCCCAAACTTCTTTGCGCATGAACTGGCGCGGCATGACAAGCCATTGAGATCCGCGAAGGGAGCCAACCACCTGGAAGAAGTCGTCTTCAATCAAATCTTCGCACTTTGTCTTGCACGGGCTTGGATCAAATCATTCGAGAGAATGTGGGTTTCTTCAACGCTATTGTCGATCCTGGAGCGGACCAGAGATCAATTTTTGAGCTACTCTTGGCTAGAGAAGGAGATAAAATGAACTTCGAATTACGAGTAGAGCAACTCCATCTCACTTCGAAATAAGCGCTCGAAGGACCTAGTCACTGTACTGTAAACTGCTCTTCTGTACGAAGGCAGAGTTCGAATTATCCATCGGGCGCACTTTTCGTACTTCGAATAATGCATTTGAATTTGACTTGAAGTGACTTGCAGAAGATCGGTACAACGAAAAAGTTCGAATTACACGGAATGTTCGAATTACACCGTATTCGAATTAGAGGGAGTCTACCTGTAGTAGTACTAGTAGTAGCTGGCTGGGACACTGATTGTTTTTGTTCACACTGGCGCGTGGCCGTGGCAAGTGGTCAACACAGCTTGTTACTTCACAAGTCACAAGACTGTGTAATGTCTACTGCGCGCCGCGCCGGCGCTTGCCCGTCACCCGGGACCATGGTCCTGGACCTGGACCATGGCATGCTGTTCATGAAAGACATGATCCCTTATCAGCTTACAGTCCTTACCTTCTCGTGCCCGGTCACAGTTGTCGGCTTGGCCTTTCATACCTAGTACTTAGTAGATCTACCTGTCGACTGTTGAGTGTTGTCTTATCTGTACAGCTGGACCGAGACAGCAAAGATTTACGTGCCACTCTGACTGTGTGTCAGTCTGTGCATGACTAAAACGGACATCTACCGGACAGTGGAGCCCGGGAGCCGGAGCAGGAGCAGGGGAATTTGCCGTCTGAATGACTACCGTCAGTATGCCGGTAGTACATGATAGTACGCTACGGACCCTGCACGAAGCTGCATACAGAGGGGGTGGAAGGCACACTCTGACGCTATCACTGACTGAGTGACTGTCATCATGATGGTCATGGTCATGATCATGATTGATAGATTCGATGTAGTCCCATGACCGGTGACCGCTATCCTGGACTTTGAAACGGGGAAGACGAGAAGGGAGAACTAGTGATCTTGACAGCGAATCGTAAAACTAGCCTGCTGAGTCTATCTAGACCATTTCTTGGAGGCGGTGAAATAATTCGATAATTGTTTAGGTTCCGACCGGCGGTGTCGTGGTGGTGGTGGAGGTCCGATCGCTTCGTAGCATTTTGTAGTCTAGCGGTATCCACGTATCGCTCCAGCTAACTTCCAAGTAGAGGTGATACCGTCTCATTGAACGGCGAGAAGACTAGCGCTATAGCCCATCTGCATGCGATCATCAACAGGTGGCAAGCATGGACACCGATTATCAATCATACAAGTAAGGCTCACGCCTGCAGGCCACTCTGCGTTTCACACTCGCCTTGGTACCACCATGGTTTGCAATAATCTGTACCGTTAGCAGCAGCTGGTTAGCAGCAGTACAAGTTTGTGAAGCAGTGTCCTGGGTCACCAGCCTGTAAATATCAATCAGTGCTTGGGCTAGGCACGGTGGTAAATTTGAGGTGGGAAAATCAATTCCACCAATTTTCGTTCTGCCGGCCATGCTTGTCGATGTTTGAACTAGCCTGCTAGGTCAACTGAACGTCTGGATGGATACCTTTCAAATGTCTTGTCGGCTAACTAACTAATACTTTAGCATCACTGTAGTAGGGCTAGTACAGTGAAACCTGTGTAAGACGACCGCTCAAGGGACCTTCAAAACGTGGTCTCTGTTACCAGGTGGTCTCCTTATCCAGGGTCATTTGAGTGGAAATAGCATCCCTTGGTCCTGGTTCCGGTGGTCTTCTAGGACAGGTGGTCGCCTTATCCGAGTGGTCGCCTTCACAGGTTTAACTGTAGTTATGCCAGATGATGAATTTTGGTGGCAATGTGTCACCCATGGGCCCAGTAGATCTACTACACGGGGGGGGGTCTACGCTGGACAAAGCATCAGCGGTGCAATGAATGCGGCTGACAGCCATGCATAGCGAGTCGTTACATTACATGACTTGTGTAACATTACCTCGAAGTACAGAATGTAATGCTAATCGTGTGTGAAATGCCACCCATGCTACAGTCCTGCTCAATGATTTCCAGTCGCATGAGTCAAGTCTGCGCCTTGCACCATTTCGCAGCCCAGTGCTCCCAGGCCTAGGACTGCACAACGCCTGACGCTGGATTTCATTCAGCAGCACTAAAATAATAGACAAGATGAGCACCATCCTAGCACTCACATGCATACAATCATAGCGCTGTTGTATTATACACTCAATCACAGTCAGTTGCCTGAGGATTTAAAAACAATTAGGACTGCCATGATCTGGCACAAAACTATTACTACCGGTTACAACATCACCAGACGTGTGATGCTGTGTGACTCGTACAATCATAGCGTCATACTCTCACACTGGGACTTCACAGCAGCCAGCGCTGATTCTACCCTCACTCTGTTGGCAGCACAAACACAGTAATGAAGGGCCTATGACGCACCTCATACTGATCTCAGTTCTAGTCCGAATAAAAGCAATCCAGTTCTTGGAAAGTCATACGACTCAGTTCTAGGTTTCATGCATTCATACAGTATGTGTGTTCCATTATCCGGTTCCCTAGCCTATCCAGATTTTTTTGTGGAAAACGGATGTGTGCGGTTATGCGAGGTCTGACTGTATTCCGTCTTATGTTCGTACGTTGATCACTAGTCTTGTATCGTCTCTTTTGATATCTATCCTGATGTGCAGGAAGTATGAAGCTAAGGAAAAGGAGAGAAATGAAGAAGAGGATCGCGTTGCTGAAAACATTAACCTGTCCATCAGGAACTGGCATGACCTGTAAGCTGCATAGCCTGCTGGAAAGCAATGCGTGTTTCTGTAAATTTTACTGTGAACACTTGCTACGTGTTTGCACTCACTCACTCTCTCACACACACACACACACACACACACACACACACACACACACACACACACACACACACACACACACACTCTCTCATCATCATCCTCCTCCTCCGTCGCCTACTGCCACAATTGGCTATGTGTCCCCAAACTTGAAGGAGTGCTGGCTTCGGGACATGGCGTGAGGCACTGTGAGTCCGGCGGGACGTGAACGTCTGTTTTACAGTTTGTGTTTTTGCTTTTACGGTGCGACGGGAGTTGCAGCTATGTCTAGCGATGTCTTGAGGACTGCTGAAATGGCGTGTGCAGACCATACACAGGAGTGGCTTCACGGCAGTTTGTACATGAGAGAATACCACGCCGTAGACTCCACCCTGACACCTGGTTCTCCACTCAGACCTATCATCTCCTGTGTAAAGCCACTCATCCATGCCAATGGACACCGCCGTCAGGTCATGTTTGACTGTGTCATTCCACCTCTTCCGGGGGCCGGGGGGGGGGGGCATGTGGAGGTCGTTTAGACAGCAAGGCGCCAAAGAGCAGTTGGCGGGGAACACGATCACCCATGCGAGCCAGGTTGCCCAGCTATTTGGAGACAGCGGTCCCGGACTTTGTCAGAGACCTGCTCCATGTCTCCCCACCACTGCGGTACCTAAAGGATTAACACATGCTCGTCCATCTGGCGCGCCCGATTGATGCCCAAGGCCATGCGGGCACACACGCACAAACAAACACACACACACTTACAAACACACACACAGACAAACGCACACACACACACATGCACATGCACCCCCCCCCCCCCCCACACACACACACTAAATTGCTCAAGTACGACATTTTCTCATTTCTCGAACTCGTTCTTTCTTCCCAGGATTGACCGGGAGCACTTGAAGAAGTTTCTGACATACAGTCAAAAAGTTCAGATTTTCATCGTTGTTCTGGTCGTTCTGGACTGCACAATTGTCCTTACCGAGCTACTCATTGATCTGGGAATTATAGGTGAGTAGAACTTATGCTGATGGATGCAGTGCCACAGCTCTGTGTCTGGGTGGCAGGGTGTGTGTGTGTGTGTGTGTGTGTGTGTGTGTGTGTGTGTGTGTGTGTGTGTGTGTGTGTTTGTGTGTATGTGTGTGTGTGTGCAGCGATTTCCAATCGAGAGGTTGTGGGTTCGATTCCCGACGATTATGGTCACACACGTCTTTCTTCTCTTTCTCAGACTTCTCCTGACTTTTCTTTCATTCTCCTGGGTGGTTACCAACAGCCAGTGCATGCCGGAGTATGTGGTGTGATGTGTGTGCAGAAAAAAAATGAAAAAAGACCAAAAAGTAGGGATTCACTGGCCAGAAAAAGCCACTTAATAGCTGTGTGGTGTAGACCAGGCTGAATAGTGGCGGTCAATTCTTCAGCCTTGCAAGTTGTTGAATGGTGCAATCCCAGCACAAGCTGCTATGGCTTCTGCTGTAGCATCGCTATCATCGCCTTTGGCGATGGGCGTCCAATGGTCCAATGGTGCGGACGTGTGTGCGTGCGTGTGTGTGTGTGTGTGTGTGTGTGTGTATGTGTGTGTGTGTATGTGTGTGTGCGTGTGCATGCGTGCTGGGATCACATCACGGTCGCAAGTGTGCTAAAAACCAGCCGTCATTGACAGGCACGCAGTCCCCCTACACAGGCTCAACAGTATGCTGCTGCAGTGGTGTGGCAAAGATGGAAGTCACTTCAAGGCAAGGAACCGGTAACACCAGATGTCCTCGTGTTGCACCGATAAGAATACAATGGTTTTCTTATACATGTACCATAGTGTTGGGAACATGGATGTGCCATTGTACAGGTGGAAGTTTCCAGTTCATGAAACGTGCACAGTTTGTACGCATTCACGCAATCTGAGGTGGGTGTATCATTCGTGTTCGTGTGTGTGCGTACGCGCATGTATGTGTGTGTGTGTGTGTGTGCGTGCGTGTGTGTGCGTGCGTGCGTGCGTGTGTGTGTGTGTGTGTGTGTGTGTGTGTGTGTGTGTGAATGTGTGTATGTGTACATGGATGTATGTCTGTGTGTGTGAATGTTCTGCAGTGAAGAACCTGTGTGAGCATGACAGCGATTGCCCACTGCTGAGCATCTCACCGAACGGAACGATCAACACCACCGAGACAGAAGGATACTACAAATGTTTCAAGAACCTGGAGCAGACGAAATGTGAATTCCATGATGGAAAAAAGCGGTGCCTCTCAGGTAAGGTCCTATGCTATAATTATCATTCGTGTGCAGTTGAGATTCTCAGATCTGGTCGGCTTGCGATCGAAGGCTGCCCAGATCTCGGAATCTCGCAGTTTACAGAACGTCAATATAGAAATTGTACACAGGGCTAAAAAGATTTGTTGCCAATCACTTATGCTAGTGGCCAGCCGTTTCTGCATGGCAATGGGTCTCCGAAATCACCTAGCAAACGAATGTGGTCGGATCTGGGCTCTCCGGGTCTGGGGAGACCGGATCAGGGAGGAGGGAATCTCTATGCCAAATTGACTTTTTTGGCAATTCCCTTTGATGTCCATGCAAGGAGGTATGTAAAGAGGATGTTTCCGTTTCAAATGTTTCCAAATCAAATGTACTTTTCCTACCTGCGCCTAAATACATGTACACGGTGGTCACACAGAGAGAGTCTGCAGTGCAGTTCTACCACTCTTTGAGGAAGAGATGTAACTTGGGGCAGAATGCAACTAAAAATGGTCAATGCTGTTGTTTTCTGATGGTGAGTCACAGTATGTCCAGCGCAGTATCAAAGTGGTGTCGGTAAAAAAATTTTGAGGATAGAAAACGAGCAAGGAACTACAAGTGGAAGAGAAGCCTGGGGGTAGGACTGAGAATGCGAAGATGGTGTGTGAGATTCCCGTGGATTGTGGTTGGTTTGAAATGTGTAACCAACGGTAACCAGTAAATGGCCAGCGATTTGAGAACCCTGCCGTTCTTTGCTTTGTACGTGTTGGAGAAAATGGTGAAAATCAATGTTTTAAAATGTTTTGCTTTCTAAAAAATAAAATGGACCAAGGAACTACAAACTACGCTATACTGTCCACTAGCACCACCAGATACTGGGCAATCACCTCATGCGATAACATTGCACGACACTGACCGAAGGCACTGACGTTCTACACCTAACTGCCAAGATGATGGTGATAGTAGACAGCATAGCATGACTTGTACTTTTTCTTTCCCTTAAATTCTTCCTTGGCTCTCCATCCGACTCTTACTATCCTGATGATAATTGTTCATGTTGTGGCTGGTGTTTGTTTCAGAGGACATCTCACCCGACATTGACCCTGCGTACGTACTGCACATCTTCGGTATCGTAGTCCTGGCCCTCTTCTTGGTGGAGGTGAGAGGGGAATTCCCCGCATTGCATCATTATCTACTGATTCCCCACGTACACAAGGCAGAACAACACAGACCGAGAACTTTCTCGTGACTGCGAGTTTCGTGTTCAAAAACACTCATCAGATGAGCTCGTCCGATGAATGTCTTTAAACACGAAACTCGGAGTCACGAGAAAGTTATCAGTCTCTGTTGTTATAATATTTATATTTGTATTTGTATTTATGGATTCTCCAACAGCCTTACCCTAAATCGAGGGAGTCTCCATTGTACTGTCTTGTGTAGTACGCTCTGCCCTTGTTAGGGTATTGAGCACTATTTTGCGGAAAGGACTTCAGACACTTTGTCTACCGTTTAAACTTACATAACAGTTACTGGCCCCACTTCTTGCGTTCCCATTTGTTCCGTTCCCATGCCAACCATTTGAATATGTGAAAATGGGTTGGAGCAGATCTACGGCGAGCAAGGCTAAAAACTGTAGTATTGTTTAGACGCTGGCCTGAAGCTGCTGAACATCACTTAAATCCTATAGATATCAGGACTGCCGGAAGCAGTTTTGACTGGTCCGGTAGTATCATGGTCGTTCATACAGTTTGTATATCGATATGGTGGGTACACATGCCCTCCACACTAGGAAACATGTATATTCGTGGCGGAAATGTTGGTCCGGTATTAACCTGACCAACCAAAGCGGCTCCGGTGGGCCAGGATAATGGAGCGGCAATGATCATACGACAACATTGAATGTGTGCACAGTAGAAGTTGTGTGTGTGTGTTTTCTTGTTGTATGTTGCAGATAATACTCAAGCTGTACGCCCTTGGCCTGGAGTTCTTCCACCATAAACTGGAGGTAGGCAAGACCTTGTGTGCTGCACACAGTTATTTCCCATACAGTCAACTTTGCGTATAACGACACTCGGCAGGGCATCAGAAAAGTGTCCTTACTCGCGAAGTGTCATTATACCCGAAGTCTCATTATATGCATTACAGTTAGATGGGACTTTGCTCTGGGCATGGAAATTCTGTCGTTATTCGCGAATTGACGTTATATCCACAGTCATTATTAGCGAAGTTGCAGTTCTGTGTAACAGCGCTGAGAAGAAAGACACACTTCAGGCTCTTGAACAACATCTCGAAAATTTCACTAGTATACATTCAAGCCTTATCGTCGGTTTTTTGTATCGTCCAGTTATTTCGACATATTGGAGGGGCCGTCTCTAATACCGCTATTGTTCAAATATGTGTGGGTGTGTACGTGTGTGTATGTGTGTGTGTGTGTGTGTGTGTGTGTGTGTCTGTGTCTGTGTGTGTGTCTGTGTGTGTGTGTGTGTGTGTCTGTGTGCACGTGTGTGTATATGTGTGTCAACAGGTGTTTGATGCGTTCATTGTTATCATTTCCTTCTCCCTGGACGTAGCCGTCAGGTGAGTCCGCTAATAGACCTCCACATAGTACAGTTCTGTCCGGTGCCGCAGAACGGAGCGCCGAAGAACGACCAGGCTAGGATTTCACCAAGCACAGCATACCAATGTATACACGATGACTCAACTGTGCATAGACCATGGTGCATAAAAATAAGAACATCCCATGCTACAAATGTAGGAGGCTGACCCTCCAGTTCTTCGCAACCCGACTGCACTGTAGTCCAGGCTGATGTACAGTTGCAACATACACGCTGACCATGAATGTCTGGATTGGTGCGGCGCCTCTAGCTGTTCTTCGCCTGCCCTGTCCCCTCGCCTATCTGCCACCTTGCTATCTCAGGCATGGTGGTGGCCGGACACAAGCAAAGCTTGCTAAGCTGGTTGTGTTTCTAACCACTCGGGGTGTTCTCTATGTGCTGCTGCTGCTGCTGTAGTGGCAACGAGGATGCCTGGGAAGGTGTGGAGCTGCTCATCTTGCTGCGACTCTGGCGTGTGGCACGCATTGCTAACGGTAACCGTAGTTGTTGTTTTTTTTATTTTTTGTTTTTCGTTTTAATTATGTAGGTTTTTTACCTCAACAGTGCGCTATACAACTTCAAAGAGGGTTGAACAGGACACACAATAACTGAGGGTCGTAGAAACGTACTCTTGCTCTGTGGCCTTTCCATTTTCCTCTGCCGTGGGTTTATAGCTGCTGTATTTTCCGGAGTTTTAGCTGCACTTTGAACATTCAAAATCCACCCAAAAAAAGGAGGGTGCGGCTGACACTCCGTTGATCAAATTAACGATGATATTTAGGGCAGATGTCTGTGTTGTTTATTTCATGGCAAAAAATGGGGGGTGGGGTGGTGGTGGCTTGTACTTCAGTGCGGGTTATAAAAACTTACGTCGTGAGTTCCCTTCCGGAACGGACACGATAATTTACTTTTTACTTCTTTTTTTAATAAAAACTTATATTCCGGGAAATACGTGGAGAAAGTGAAACTGGAGTTTATGTCTACTTGAGTAGAGCGTTCACTATCTGTGTGTTTTAACTGTGCTGTATCACACACACACACACACACACACACACACACACACACACACACACACACACACACACACACACACACACACACACACACACACACACACACACACACACCGGTACACACACACACACACACACACACACACACACACACACACACACACACACACCGGTACACACACACACACACACACACACACACACACACACACACACACACCGGTACACACACACACACACACACACACACACACACACACACACACACACACACACACACATCACCTGCTGCTCAATGACACTCTAGTCACATGAGTCAAGTGCAGGCCGGCCGCTGTGCTGCGCCCTTGACAGCGGCTGCAAGCACTGGAATAGTGAACTGGTGTCTTGACTGGTGTCTTGACTGATATCTTGACTGGTGTCTTGACTGGTGTCTTGACTGATGCGATCAAAAGTAGAACAGTATTATACAGTAGTACTTCAAAATATGTTATCTGCACATCCAGGGCATCATGTTCGATTTATTTATTTTATTCATTCATTCACAATCACGTGGCACTAGCCAATGAAAAGGTGATGTGGGTGATAGCCTTCCTTGGCGGTAATAGAGCTAGAGGGGAGAAAGAAAACATGAAAAGGGAACTGAACTATACGAGAAGCGTTACACTGCACTGTTTCACTATTCAATGCAAAATAGAACTGTTCAACCGTGGCCCGGCGTTTCACACATGAAGTAATGTGTACGCTTCTCGTTGGATGAATACTTGCACTTAGTATACGAGAAGCTCATGGTGGGCAAGAATGGACTCGGACGGAGAGCCAAGGATACATTTAGTAACTGTGTGTTTAGTAACTGGTGGTGTTAGTGGACATTATAGCATAGCTTGTAGTTCCTTGGTCCTTTTTCTTTTTTCTATAAACGAGAAGCATTGTTCTTTCGAACGACGAACATCTGCGATGCGTGTTTGTCCCTCTCTCTCTCTCTCTCTGTCTCTCTCTCTCTCTCTCTCTCTCTCTGTCTCTCTCTCTCTCTCTCTCTCTCTCTCTATTTTGTATTTTAATACTGATGTGGCTGTCGGCAGGCAACCGTGCACTAGTAATGGCTGATGTGAGGTGTGAGAAAGACCCCATCATTAGTCAGAACCGTGTGCCCTGTGTTGTGTATTGCAATGTCCCTGTAGGCGTCATCATATCGGTCAAGAAGGAAGCTGAAAAGAAAGCCGAACACTTACAGGGAAAAGTGGAGGCGTTCCAGGAAGAAGTTCGAAAGCTCAAGGAGAAGCTTGCTAAAGCCAAGGTCAGTGGAACTAGTATTGTCTGTACTCTCTGATATTGGGCATGAGGGGCGTAGCTGGTCCTACTCTTAAGGGGTGCATGGCCGCTTCATCTGTATCATACGTCACGGTAGGATGGCTGGTGCGTGTCACTCATCATGGTCGTTATGTGCATGCTGAACCTAGCTAGAACCTTTGAGGGGGGGGGGGGGGGGGGAGAGAGAGAGGGGCTACGCGTCTGGGCATGCATCAGTGTTTTCCGGGATTCCCCTGTTTCTCGACAGTTGTGCTGAGGAGTGCAAGTACTTAATAATGGAGTGTGTTGACCTCTACAAGCTATGTTGCTAAACACTGGCAGAAGCACTTGATAACGCCAGGTCAGAGCCAGAAGGCACAAGTTGACACTGGAGTCCATTGTTCTCATTGTCCTGGCTGTATGCAATGAAACCTCGGTGGAAAAACACTAATGAACAGACACTTTCCCTTTAGAAGAATTGGTATTCAGAACTCTCTTGGATAAATTGCTGTGTTTGTGCTGGGTGTACAGACTGATTGACAAGAAGAACTCCCGGTATTGCGAACTTATATCATCGGTCCCTAGGTGTTGGACCTAAATAGTTTCGACTTTACACATATGTTTTTTATCATTTTTTATTCCCTGTGTTCAGCTGAAGGGGTATACTGCCGATGAGGACAGCGACAACGAAGCCACCCCGAGCAGCGGCGGCGAAAGCCAAGCGCAGGACCTACACGTTCCCTACAATGCGCCCGGTTTCGTTCCGGCAACCGACACAGCGGAAGCGTGAGGTGTTGTCGCTGGCTGAAGATTTTATAATGACTAGACACGGAGAGTTGCTTGGGTGGGATGGAATAGCTTAGTTTATTTTTCTTACTTGCTCACGTTAACAACAAATTCAAGAGCAGCATCTGGTTGTCTGATTATAGAACGGTGCCCTAGTCCCATGGCCAGTGGTAAAAGTTACGGGGAAATATTTTGTGTGCGAACCGCTCACTTTTTGCGTGTTTGCAACTTTTTTGCTTGTCAAGAAAATGTTCGTCCTTCTGATCATTGCAGAATTTCCATAGCAATCACTTTACATGTGCCGTGTAGTGGCTTTAACTTAGAGTTATTAAGCTAATGGTTTCCTCTGTTACGCACAGAGAACATTACGAGCAATGGTAAACAGCTGTCGTATTCTTGCATACAGGTTCTTTTTACGTCGTCCATGATAGTCGATAGGGTACCGAACACAATTCACTTGAACTCTCCGCAGGCTGTAGCTGTATTGATGCAGTCCATGCAGGAGGTAAGCCATGGCAACCACACACACACACTCAAAGCCATGTATCCAGCTACTTAGAGCGTCGTCAATGGACGCACACCTTCGGATGATGTTTCACAAAACTGCTTTTCCATTAGGCTTTAGAACAATACCTTTTCACACCTTGTGAATTTTGAATTCATTGCAATCATCTTTGATACTCTGCCAACAGCTGATTACTATTGCTTAGCTAACAAAAAATTATATAATTATAATGGTTATGTCTAATACTAGTAATACACGAGTTACAGAGTACCCCCGTATCTGCTTTGTTGCAATGATGTCAGGTGGCAAACCTCAGACAACTAACAGTCCAGGCGCGTGCGCCGGTGCCCTTCAAGGGGGGGGGGGGTTCGGGGGGCCTCCCCGGGAAATTTTTCAAAAAATGAAGCAAAATCCTGCATTTTGAGCGAAAAAGGGGGGGGGGGTTCCGGGCACCCAGGAACCCATACGGGGCACGCGCCTGAACACTAGTGATGCACAGCTAGTATGGCATCTACGCAATCCTATACGAGGGAATCCGCTTGCTTGAGGTCCGGTAGGTGTGGAATGTCCAGGAGGGAAAAGTGCCAAGCGTCCTTATTTTAAAAGCGAGAATGTTATGTCTATACTACGGTCGCGGACATTGACATTCGTTGAGAATTCAAGCGGCCAAGGTGCGCTGGCCTTGCAGCGCGGCAAGCACTGCTGGTCCATTTTCACAGTGACAGTGTGTGGGTGAACTACTGTGTGTGAACTACAGTGTGTGTGTACGCACTAAGGCACTAAGGACGCCGGCCCCCGGTCATCCTGTCGGATTTCAATGTCCGCGGCAGTAGTTATCAAATGGAGTACATGATGGCTCTCTTGCATTAAGATAACCAACGTTCTACCTGGTCTATCTATCTGGTATGCCAAACATAACAGGCACACATTCACGGTATAACCAAGCCTTTTATCTGCTGTCACTTGCAGTTTCGTGTTCAAACACTACAGGAGGAGGAGGAGGAGGAGGGTAATCACAAACTGCATATTGTTCTTAAAAGAGCTCTTCCATCTTTCCAGAAGTGGGGCTTGTGAGCTTGCCCATCAGCCTCATTATGATAAGGCAGACAACATGCACGCAGCATCCCAAGCCCGTACAATGTCAAGTAACTCGGGGAATGCATGTTGCACAGTCGCACTGTGGAGATCGCATGGCTGAGTTCACTCTCTTCGCTCAATGCATAAGAATGCCGTAAAGTCAACTAACTGAACCTCTTCGTAACGAAGTGCTCAAGAAATAAGGAGCGTGGTCTTTGTAAAAAAAAATTAAAAAAATACATGCAGCTCTGTCGCTGCACATGTTTGCACCTCACGGTATATCGTGAGCCAAGTACGATAGCCTCCTTTGTTATCATCAAGGTACTAAGTAAAATAATGTTATTAGTTTACTGTCAACCATGCCTGTGCTGTGCAAATATTTTACTGTCAACCATGTCTGTGCTGTGCATGAACAGTTCACCAGGGCATGTTCACGGCGGGTGTGGCGGAAATTCTCGTCAGTACAGGTGAAAATAAACTCCCGTGGCTGCCTGGTTAGGTCGTACTGTCTCTGGGCCACACTGATGACTCATTCCATGATGGCAGGTGCGTAGCTCGTGTGTGGTCAGCGTAGTCGTGTCACCACACCAGCAAACTGTCGTCATACGTACTACATAGTCAACAGCATTAAAATGTCGACTACTAGTATGAACGGTTGTCGGTGGTTCATGGTGACCACCACACCACCGCAGAATAATTCTGCGTGGAACTAGCTCCACGAAGCCCGGTGCACTGATACACATCTGATGTGCTCTGGCATTATGGTGACCACATCCCAGATGTGCGAGCTACGCCCCTGAACCAAGTGACCCGGTAGAGTGTGCATGCTGGGCAGGTTATGGAAACCTGTATGCATAGCAGCTCAGCAGGACAACACACGTAGAAACATGACTGCCAGCAAGGATACCGCGTACGGAGTGCCAGGATCCTGCCGGACTCTTGCTCCGCTGCTTGGCGGCGAGGGGAGCCAGGAAGGCAGCCACTCCACCACCTTCGGGTTTGTGTAGAGGACATCGCTGTTGCGCATCATGGAGTCCTCGCACTTCTGGTTGTGCGTGAACTCTCCGAGATCGGTGCGCCGAACCAGCTCCACAAGACCCGGTGCATTGATGCCGTGCAGCGCAAAGCTCACCGCAGTGCAGCGTCCGAATCGGTACGCCTCTGGGAACAGGACCTCGTTGACCGAGATGTGCAGGCGTAGGGCTACACGGTACTTGAACTTGGTCAGAGAGACGCCAGTTGCGTCCTCCATTAGAAACGTGACCTGCGTGTCCACCGCATCCTTGGGTAGGATGTTGCCACACGCAATGGGTCCCGATTCCGGGAAAGCAATGTAGATGACAAAGGATCGCCCGACCACTGCATGTTAGCACACACATTAGTACATGCACAGTCAACTTGGCTAATAACGACTGCGGATATAACGACAATTCGCGAATAACGACAGAATGTCCGTGCCCAGAGCAAAGTCCCTTCTAACTGGAAACCTGCAATACATACATGTACATGTATAATGAGACTTCGGGCATAAGGACACTTTTCTGATGCCCCGCCGAGTGTCGTTATACGCAAAGTTGACTGGATGTAATGTACACGTATGCACACGAAATCGAGTATGCGGAGAATACACGTGCATCTGAGCACGCTCAAAACACACGTAGACATGCATTTCAGCATGCTCAAAACAAGAGCATGTCTTATCAAAGGACTGTACGTACTAGATGAGTGCCTGTACAGTACCTGAATTCTGTCCAATCAATGGCAGTTCTGGATCAACTCTCAGCTTGGTTTCACTGGTGGCCCGAAGGAATCCCACTTTGCCACTGGTGTCACCGAGCTCACACAGGTGAGGCTGTGTGGCCGAGCATCGTGACGAGTAAGACTGGTCAACGGTAACGTTGTGAGGGTTGTAGCGCGGGCCAGTGTAGGATGAATCGCAGACAGAACGCAGAGACGACGGCACACCAATGCGATTACGATGCACATGAAACTTGTACAGCGGAACCTGCCAGAGAAGAGAAGAAGATGGATTTAAGAATTTTTTTAAACTCTGCACACACGAATCTCTTATCGATAGCGACAAATACGAGTTGCAAACACAGGTGCACCTGATTTCAGCGACCATGGCCTCATAGGAGAGGTCTATAACTGCTTTGAATGCAAGTCATCTGTGACACCAGTGTGGTGAGGCTTGTTCACACAATACATCTGTTGCTAAAGAAAATGTGTTGTTATATGTATACAGATCAGGCGGCTGTTGAAAGCAGGCGGCCATTTGACCAGGCTAAATCTTCCCCAATCTTCCAGTCAGCATGGGTAGGCTGCTAAAGGGTCGTCTGCACATACAGATCCTTTTCTTTCTTGGACCAACATGGCTACTTTCTTTCGCATTGCAAGCGGCATAATCTGCCAGTGGACGTTCTGGGCTGTTCTTAGCTCGTTTTTCATTGCACCGCTATCAGCTGCACTCTCGAACTGCCCTACTACCGGTAACATAGTACACTTAAGTCCTGTCGATGCACATAAAAGTCTCTATCAATCCCAATGGACTCATTCTTCCATGCAAGCCAGCTGGACTCTCAACCATCATGTTTCACACGAATAACGAATACACTATTGAAGAGTGCCGGAAGGAGCCTGTAGGAACAATGGGCTTCAACATTGAAACCATAAACATGCAAGCACAGACCTACGTGTAAATATGTATATGCGCCCGCACACACACACGCACACACGCACACGCGCATGCAAACACGCACGCACGTACACACACACACACACATCTCACTCTCGCCTATCCCTACCACCAGCCGGGAGCAGCAGCAGCAGCAGCAGTACAAGTACATAACAGTTACCTGTCCCTGCATCATTGAGTGTCCACCAGGCATCATCGCAGTACCACCATTACCACCAGGCATCATCGCAGTACCATCAATACCACCAGGACGCATAGCCATACCACCAATACCGCCATGTCTCATGCCAGGGAACATGAAATTCCCTGCCTCCCGCGACATCCCGGCCCGGATGGCGGTTGTCAAGGTAAAGAGTGTGTCGCCAAGGCTACCGTCGGGGTACTTAACCTGCTGCAGTACTATACGACCGTCGAAAGAGCCCTGAATGCTGGCAGCGGCGAGTAGTGTTCGACTGCCGGGCGTCAGTTGCTGCGTAACTCTGGCACATGTATACGATACTCTGGCCGCGCCTCGCTGTGTAACCAGGACAGTCCTATAAGCAGGAGAAGGACATCAAGACTCCCAATGTCAGAACTCAGTCATTTAGAAAGAAAGAAAAACATGTGTTGCAGCCCAACATTTGCACTTGCACACCTGAGCATCACTTTAGCGTACAGGCACTTGAATCCGAGATTTGTGAAGACCTGCTTTTCTGTGCCAATACGGTTATAATTATTTCTGATGCCTCTTTGACCTAAATACTTTACTTCCGAGTTCAAACTGATCTGCTTGTGTTTGAGGTGATTTTTTTGTACGGATTTTATCATTTTTATGTGAAAGACTGCTGCCATACGCGAGTTTGTTGGATGATCTTCACAAGCATCTTGTCTGTAGAAGATACCCTGTCATTACAGCTGGTGGTAGTTCCACTGGTTAAAACACAACATACCTTCCGATCACACTGTGTGGTCCAAACAGAGGCAGGTTGCCATCGCAGAATGATTCGTGAAAGGCAAAGAGGCCACGGAGCGAGCCATACTTGCCACTCAAGTCACCCGTCTGTTTCGGTGCGTGTATCACAAACACACAAACGCACACATAAACGTGTACACACACGTACACACGTACACACACACACACACACACACACACACACACACACACACACACACACACACACACATACACACACATGAATGCAAACTCAGGGAATACAGCTATGCAACAGAACACAACTTGAAAGGAAGCAAGAAAGCAAAACATCGCCTGCATGCCCAAACACATCCATGCTGACTTCTATCCAGCATTTTCATACTTGACTGAATTTAGCAGGGAAATTGATGCTGTGCAACTCATCTTACTTGACTGATCATGCTCTTTCTGAGCTATAAGCTAGGCCGCATTGGCTCTGCAAAAGCAGTGTAATTGCGACTGCAAACTTGCTATCGGTATGAGCTTTTCGTGGATGTTGTTACAGAATCACAGCCATTCCGTTCCCCGGGACGCAGGACACAACGGACAAGACTAGTTTGGTTTACATTATATATTTTGATATGACGGAAACGAAGACTATACTCAAAAAGACGAACAAGAAGACTGACAAAAGGACTTTCGACTACAAAACCGCGCATGCTCATATCACACATGCACGCGACTAGACGAGACAGTTTGGGGAATGCCATCACACAGGAAAACAACACAATCATCATTTTACAACATGGAATACTCTTGAAATATTAGCCAACACGGTTTCAGTTGATGACCTAGTAAGGGGTTCGGTAATGTCCATGCGCCCATGGTGCACAGCAACTGGGGTGCTTACCAAAGACGACTTTCTGATTGGGAGCAACAGGTGCGAAGCGTACCTTTTCAACCGGACTCTGTAAAAACAGGCATTGATGCCTCCCAACACATTCTAGACTGTGTGATCAGCGACTGAAAAGCGCGATACTTTAAACTTGACAACCCCCGTGTGTTTCAGTGCCGGGATAAAACTCGTAGTCTGCAAAAAAAAGCGTTGTACACTGTCTAATGTGTGGCAAGCGCTGTACCGGAAACATATCGGGAGTTCCCCCATCCCTGTGGCGCGACAACGTTGGCAAAGGAAATGGAGCAAAGATGTAGCTGCTCCGTGCCGGTGTGCAGTCTGGTTCCATCTGTGCTGGCGTGAACTGCATGAAGGCAAAGAGCAACACAACGCCGTCAAAGGTTGATTTGAGTAATAAATTTTACCATTTTTTCACTGGATGACAGCTGCACTAGAGCCTAGTGGTGCTTCACATACTAGAGCATTGCTGGCCAAAAGTGATTGTCCCTATAGTGCGTTTCAAATGTCCAGACCTCTGGTTTCAAAAAACTGTTAGGCCAGCGTCTATGCCGCATAAAACCTGTGATAACTTTGTGCATAAATTTCCGAAATTGGGCGCTTTGTTATCTGATCACTTAGAAATTTATATGAGAAAAATTGCGGGAGCTGCCTGAGCAATCTTCGGAAGAAATTTCTCAAAAAGCTCAAGCTCAAACCACTTTGAATTATTCGAAAAGGTCTAGAGGTCTATGCTTTTGAAATGCACTATAGTTGCAGTCCAGGAGGTGGCAGCCAATTCTTTCTCAAGACGTATCCCATTGGAACTGCCTCAGACTTATGAATAACTTATGCCAAAGAGCGTAATATAATCATAGCATGGCTAACAACCGGCAAGGGTTGTCAGAGCTGCAATGAATGATTGTCTACTCGCCCTGTCCACTTTCGTGAGTAAGCAAGAGAACTGCACCCCCGAGAGTGTGCAGGCCAAACAGTGTTGCACTTGCACTGCAATGTGGAGCTCAGGAATTGTTCATCGTCCTGTTCGCCCAACATACCTTTCCTCATCTCCCACTCCCCCCCCCCCCCCCCCCCCCCACCAAACCCAATTCCAGCTCCAAACCACTCTATCGGAATTCCCACCACTCTATTTACATCAAGCAAGAATCCTCACCCTGCTGCTCAGCGGCTCAATAGGGGAGTCTTACCCGAGAAAGTGGTGTCTCCCTGATAGTATAGTCGGCGGCCGTGTTGGCTAGCTTGGACAGATTCACCAGCACTTGTGTGCTGTCAAACACACTGCTCTGCACCATGCGCAGCTGACCAATGCCACGGTGGAACTCGGCGGTGGCGCTGAACGGCTGCACCTCTTCAATCCAGGCGCAGGCAATGCGCTGCGACGTGACCGCGTCGCTCAGCACCAGGTCACGCTGCCGCAGACGGTCCAGCGGTGACAGCAGCCGATCGACAGTGTACAGCAGCGTGCGGCTGTCGGTGTTGGCGTGCGTCTGCACGCGCAGCCTGCCCATCGTCATGGGTGAATACACGGGACCTGTGCCACAGCTTCGCTGCACAGCACTGCCGGCAGATGGCGCCATACTGGGCTGCCGGATGTGCACCGTCCAGTTCAGCCCGACCGTCGAGTACATGGGATTGTTTAGTCCCGACACCGTACGCAGATCCGAGAAAATCACGGTTACTGGTAGCTCGGCCATGTTGGGTTGCCCTGGCGACATGATGCCTCGATTCGACTTGTAGTTCAGCTGACGTATGAACACCGATCCGGCTACAGGAGTGCTGAACGTCGCTTCCAGGGTACGCATTCTGTCGACGTGTCTCCGTTGACAGCCGTACGGAGCCACCACAAAGCGGTTCACCTCCACGATGTTAGCGCAGGCGAAGCGCTCACCGCTGAACACGTGCAGTACAACACTCCTGCCGATCAGCTCTGCCACGCTCATGTTGGGTGTCCGGTCGCGGTACAGTGTGCGCCGCAGCGGACCAAACTTGCCGCTCAGGTCGCCGACCTCGCAGTCACGGAACGGGTTGCCTGCGCTCGGCTTGCACAGCTGTGCGTAGCGCACTGCCGTGGCCTTGCCGTGCGGGTCGTAATGTCCTCCAGTGCTGGTGCAGCGCTGCCTCGGATTTATAGTGTACTTGAACGGGTACATATGCACATGCCAACTCAGAGGACCCAGATGGTCTATTCCGTGCAATCGCCTGCTGTCTATCTGCACCCAGCTGCCTGACGAACCACTCGTGCCGTTTTCTGAACTCGAGTCCTCAAAGACAAGCGAGCCTCGGACACCGTTCAGGGAAAATTCGGCCACAGCACGTCGACTCTGGGCGACCAGTGCCAGCTCGCCGATAACAGCGAGTAGCAAAAGCAGCAACTGCATCCGTAGATAACGCTCCATTCCGCCGGTCAATGCATGCACTGTGCCAGAGCTGCAGTGACTGCTTTCTCAGTTCACCTCCGTCAGCTACGAACCACCGCTCTCATCGTTGGAGCGAATGTTGTGCTCTGCACCGTCCAACACACCGCCGGACGCTGCACCCACGCTGAAAGCAACGCCAACACGGAGTCCACACTTGACAGAACAGCAGCTCACGACCACAGAGTCCGTGCAAGTATTTCCTTGTGTTTCCTGACCTGGGTTCTTTTTTCGGTGGCGCTGGCCAACTTCAAGTTAGTTGCAAAAATGCCGCACAATACTGTTCGACGAACAATGCACATCCGCTGGTCTACTTCGTTGCAGTTCATCGAAACCCTGCTCCTACTAGTCCTAACCCTCGCTTTCCTTCTGCATACGGACTAGTGCATGCATGGCGACTCTACGAGTATGCATGCACCATCATCGTCAACGGTATGTTTCATTGCCTAAAGATATACAAAGTGTAAATCTACCTACAATAGTCCATTCCCACACAGCTTGGCGTGCGTAGCTTCGATGCCTTCATCGTTTCGCTTGTGTCAGCAGTGCGACACGCGCGCACAACACGAAATCTACGTCGTTACCGTTGCACTTTTGCAGGTCCAACGCAACACGAATCGATGACCGGCGGTGGGGTGGTCGGATGTGAGCATGCATACTTGCACGGTGTGGCATGTTGAACATGAGGCTAGGTGTGCTTGTGAGTCGAACCGAAACCGGCGAACAACCGCTGTTTCGATAGAGTCAACATGCCAAGGTAAACGGGGCATAAAGCTATAACGCGCATGGCTAACAAAGACGACCATTTTAGGCCCGGTGCTAGCCCATAATAACAGAGTTTGTCACGAGCACTACAAATACAATGTAGCCGTAGCAGTCGTGGTCTTGGGGCAGCGGGTGCAGAGGCACTGGCGAGAGGATGATGGGCAGTACATGACTCATGAGTAGCGAACGTGATAATTATGGCGACACTGAGTCAAGAACATGTTTGGGTGAAGGGAAAGCTTCGCCTCCATCCTGACGGTATCGCCCGGCGACAGACAAAGCTCAGCGAGAAGAAAACTGCTGAGCTCGTACAAAGGTAGGGACAGCTTCGTTATGTGTGACCACGACACTTTTATGGTGGCTGAACTTTCAGCCTGAAGTCAAAGCCCGAAGGTACCGGTAGCAGCTCATCGGCAACAACCTGACGTTTTCTGCAGCCACAGCACTAGCGTTAGCGCTAGCGCCGCACGGAACTACATGTAAAGTGTAAACAAATCCCCGGGCCGGATGAGCGTGAAAATTAATGTTCGAACGCCACCATACCACTAACCAGAAAATCTGCCGATGGGCTCTTTGACACGGACACATCCAAGTGTCATTCACACTTTCGAGCGTTATCCACATGCAATGGCCAGCATGCCAACCGCAAGATTAGAATGACAGAGGCCATGCTAAAAAAATATCCCTGCCCCCCTTCCCCTTGGTTTGCGAAGTCATTACAGTAGCAATACCAGCAAGGCCAAGGCCCCAGGGTCTGAGCCATGCGCCAGAGCAGTAGGACGTACAAGCATCAATACTCAAAACTATTGCAACCAGCTTGTAGTACAAACCACAACACATGTACTACTCCATGGTTGCAAAACTGCCCAGAGGCAGAGGTCATAGCAGCTGTCCACACTCATTCTCAACACTGTTGCCCAGAAGAGTGGTGACTACTATTATACCATGTTATACGGAGCACATCTCGCATGAACCAAGGCAATACAATCGGGGAGAGTGGTAACTACTGAGTACTGTATACCAGGGAGTCGTAAAATACCGGTATTTTACGACTCCCTGCTGTATACCAAGGATACACCAAGGCAATACAGCTGTACCACCAGGGCCAGTCAGAATGACGATAGGTATTCACCGAATATAGGACATGAGAGACTGTGCAGATAGGTATTCACAAACACAAACGATATAAGAGAGACTGTGCTTATAATAACTAAAAAATGGCCATTATTTTGAGCTGTTCGAAAATACCAACTTTTAAAATATTTTGATTTGAATTTGTGAGCACAAAGAGCCTCCTGGCTTTTAGAAATTTCACACACACACACACACATCTATCATCTGATACCAAGTATCAACATTCATCATCACAAGCGTGATTCATAGAAAAGAAAAAGGACCAAGGAACTACAAGTTACGCTATAATGCCCACTGACACCACCGGTTACTTGACAATCAGCTCATGCGATAACATTGCACGACACTGACCGACGGTACTGACGTTCTACAACTAACTGGCTAACAGCGTGTCGTAGCATAACGTGTAGTTCCTTGGTCCTTTTTCTTTTCCATAAATTTATCCTTGGCTCTCCATCCGAGTAAAGGTGTGATTGTTCCCTTTACAACTCACTCAGCTAATGTAGAAAGGTAATTGGTGATGAATACGTAAAACACATCGGAATCCCAAACGATATAAATAAACTGCAGCGTGCATGCACAGCAGCCGTGTTTCTCGTCTCCAGTCAAATGGCACACATGGCATAGTATACGCATAGAGGCAATGACGTCAATCCCACAAGGTTGTGCGTAGCAGTCGCAGCACCAGTCAGATGCAGCAGGATGAACTGGACAAGCGGTCGTGGATGTCCAACTAGGTGAACGTAGAAAACAGAATGGGGAAGTGCGCCTCATCGGCGTCCGACTCGGTGAACGTACAGCCATCGGGGAGGTGCGTGGCTCTTGTTCACATTCACAGGATACAGCAAACGTTTGTTGAAACTGCTACAGGGTGACAGCGCTGCATAGCAGACATGCGCGGTGCCACTGCAAAACAGAGAGAGAGAAACAAACACATGCACAACGGGAAGATGAAAATACTTTGAAAAGTTGAAAACCAGAATGCGCTGCTTTTGTGGTGGACAGGTGGCATGATGAGACCCATACAGAAATCCCTCATTGGGTCAACTTCCACGCCACGGTGAGCACACTGCTGTAACGACTGAGCACACTGCTGTAACGTCTACTGCACACGATAATGGTAACTCTACCACCATGTCCAGATATCAACGAGTACGTCCCCCCCCCCACACCCCCGTCACTTGGGCACACTTTGGATACTGTAGAACGGCTAATTTTAGCGGGTGCAATTTTAAGCGTTTTCTGAATCTGGACCAATTTGCGATGAAAAATTTCAGCGATCCGAGTTTCAGAGGCAAAAAATGGATTGTACTGAACATGAAAAATTTGGATTGGTGCGGCAAAACTTTAGTGAAGCACTCCTTTTGTTGAAATCGCTAAAATATCACCGGCGCCAAAATCAGCCGTTTTACGGTATCCGTGGCTTTCAGTATCCGTAGTTCGTTCCTGAAGAGGTCTATATGTGCAAGGGGAACGCCCTGCACATCTGCCGCTGCGCTGCACATCGGCAACTGCATTTCATTGCACACAATTGCTTAGGAAGTTTACCATGGCGGTCACTCTTTTCGATGCCTAGTTGCAACGCTGACGCCGAGACCTCTGGTCGGTTGAGTTGCTCCCAGCATATCGGCACGTCGTACCTACATCCCCTATGTTTCGTCCTTTTCCTCGTTTCTTTTTGTTCTCCACCTGTTTTCCAGTAGGGCTGTGTCAATAGTAAAATATATATTTAAAAAAGTCTATACGCACACACACACACATACGCAGAAAACCTGCTGTTGCAACGCCCAAACTACAGAGAATACAGATGCCGACCGAAAAGTCACCAACTTGAAAACTAGGGGTGAAACGAGTATCTATTTTGACCAATCGATCACTCGTTCATAATATTCGATCGAGTATCCGATTATTTCGAGTCCAAAAGCGCTAGATTTGTGAGTTCTCGACCAATTCGGGAGAAATTATCTGTGAACATAGAGCAAAAGTCGCTAACGTCTTGTACAGAGTGTAAAGTAAAGATTTTCACAAGTAATTTCATATCTCAGATCGTTACTTGCCGTGGTGATCGCATCGTCCAAGTCATAAAAATTAATAATGACTCAAAGGCATGCATAAGGCATGCATACCATGTACAGTGGACGAGCGGTATAACAAAAGTTTTTGAAAAATAGAATGCCAATACGAAAAAGAAAAAAAAAACCGATCGAGTGCAAAATTTCGAATACTCGCTCGTTTGAAATTTTCGAACGAATACTCGAATATTCGAACTAATCGTTTCACCCCTATTGAAAACGTTACAGAAATCCCTTCCAGTATCATGGCAGTTCTTTAGAAAACACAGAAGCAAACGGGCAGAAAGCACCAACTTACCATGTGACAGGTGTGCTTTAGTCTGATCAGCCGCCTCACGATTCAGCTAGGGGTGAGAGAAATGAGGACCTTGCTGCATGCTTCTTCTGCACAGATGATATCACAACGGCCTTTCTGAGAGGCTCACATTTTGCACACCAGCGTAGGGTAGGAATAACAGGCCCGCGCAGCATCATAGTCTGTTATAAAGCATCCTACACACTTGGTCTGCACAGCTGACGGTACAATGGCAATCCTGAGATGCTCCAGTTCTGCACAAAACCACGCGGCTAGGAGTCACAAGGCCCGGACTGCACCGGAATGTAGTGTTTAAGTCGGCGGCACAAAGGTGCCTCACACTTGATGTCACGGCAGCAATTCCGAGCAACTCAGATGCCGCACACGTGCCGCTATGGAGGCGCCTTGTCACCGGCAGAACCCTCCAGCTGCCAGAGAGCATAGTCCTTGATGTCTTGCTCGGCATGTTGCGTGAATTCATCCAGCAACATCTCTACAGCCTGTACGCACACAAACAAACGAAAGGAAGTTAAGGAACATCACAACATGTTTTATTATAATGTCAGTTCAACTTTAAGCAGGAGAAACATTTGCGACTGCGCCTCACATTGCAAAAATTCACACGCGATTTTCACGACAGCAGTGCTCATGATCACAGACTCCGTAGCTAGTTCATGCTAGCAATCAGCCACCAAAGTTCCACAGCTCAATTCAAGGTGTATGTATTTTCAGGTGCATGCTGTCCTTGAAGATCAGCATGCCTGGCTGAGGATATACAGGGATTAGAGCTTGCATGAAAATATAGGCGACATGGAGACACGGGTGGAGTATACAGCATGTAGACAACTACTACTTGTGAATAACTGCTGCGTTGACATCGATAATTAGGCTGCAGAGCTAGATAGTAAAACAGGTCGAGAAAGAAAATAGTGGCAAAGCATGGGTAGTGGTAAATGCGGTTCGGGGACCCGAGTGCGAAGTAACCGGCAGTCAGACTCAGACCCTGCTGCTGTCTTTATCATTGCAAGGACCGCTCCGGACAAAGCCTCGGAGGCAAGTTCAGACAACACACTCCAGACACCTACCGTTTCATTGAATAGATCAGTGTGTAGAAGTGACAGAGGAGGACACCTTTCAATGGCCATAGCGTCTTCAAAGCTACAGTAGCGAGAAAGAAGTGACTCCAGTATTACGCCTGCCAACAACAAAACAGAAAAAAGCTCGACGGGGAAGAAGAGAGGGCAGAGCAAAATCTAGGAAAAAGAAATGTCCTCCCCGGCCGGGAATCGAACCCGGGTCTTCCGCGTGACAGGCGGAGATACTTACCACTATACTACCGAGGATTGACTGAAAGATTCACATGCAGCACATATCAAATACACCAAAACTCTCCTTAGACTACACAGCACACCACATGACTCAGCTACCTCCCAGCTGGTAAAGCAATGCAGATTAGAGGAGTTCAGATCGGGAGAGTGAAGGTGTGAGCAATCAACTGCAATACATCTCAAGCAAGTGCATCCCAGAGGTGAGAGGCAATTATGCCGGTTGAAATCCAATTTCGTTTTTAAACTACTTGCACATGGTAATACCTGGTGCTGTGAGTTACTAACGAACACTGGGCCGTGCACTGGTGCAGGACCTAGGCTGTATTCACATACCGGGAGTCGCATTTCACAGAGCAGGACTGTACTACACACATGCAAACACAAACACTCATGCACGATCGTCCGCATACACGCACACACGCAGGCACGATCGCCCTCAAGCACGACTGCATACACGCACCCCCCCCCCCCCCACACACACACAGGCACACACAATAATTTTTTTTTTTTAAACACGAAACGAGGCGCAAGCTGACCTTCTAAGAATCGCTCTCTGGCTGATTGCTGAACGAGCAGATTTCCTCCAGCGGCAATGTGCTGCAGTAGCCGCTCCAATATCAACTTGTCCAGCAGCCAAGAAGAGGCAAACGATGAAACCTACCATCAAATCACATCCAATGTAGAGAGAATCCTTGCTAAAGGCGTTGTCCATAAATAGCGATATTTCTCCTGAGGCCATTTTTTGGTAATTTGCGGTAGGAGGGGTTCCGAGAGTGGTGTGCAAGCACTACTCCCTAAATCAGTGCGTTGATATTCATGAATATTCACGCAATGTTCAGTATTCATGTGCGTTCGGCACGCAAAGGGGGAAGCGTTTAAGACCGTGTTCAGCTGACAGTTTATGCATACATCCTTCCTTTCTCCTTCCCTCTTCCACTGCCATGACTGGCTATGTGGCCCCGTAAGGGGCAGACCAGGATACGTGTTGTACACCGGGCGGGGAACGCCAGACTCAGCGTGCGCGGGCTGCGCGAACAGCGTTACATTCGTGCCTCGCAATACCCTGTGGCAGATGAAAACTGCGCGTACAAGGGCCACAGATGAGGGGCTTCGCCTCATGCATACATCAATACACACTACTCAACCAACCACACCAGCAGACACAGCATACCAGTATGGAACGTATTTCGTGACAAAAAAATCTGTGTGCGGCTTGTACTCCAGTGCAGCTTTTACTCCGGAAAACATGATACCACAAAAGTCCACCATCATACCTCTTGAAGCTGCTGATGACCAAGTCTGTGAACTTCCTCCTCCATCACAGTAGCACTGATGTCGAGAACAGTGTGGCTAACAATGTCACCGTACACACTCCAGAGCAGACTATCCGTGTAGCAATCGCATACAGCCTTACGGGCCTGTACAAAGATGTATCGTAAGGACAAGATCCGCACGAGCATTCACACACACACACACACACACACACACACACACACACACACACGCACGCACGCACGCACGCGCGCGCGCACGCACGCACGCACACACACACAACCACGCACGCACGCGCACACACACACACACGCACGCACGCACACACACACACACGCACGCACGCACACACACACACACACACACACACACACACACACACACACACAGGGACATCTTATTTGCCAGGGTCAAGGCCAGGCTCTCTTTGCAAACAACAAAAAATGTTTTCGTTTTCTATACTACGAAGTAGTGGTTGCGACTTCGGCGATGATTTGTAAGAAAGGCAGAATAGCGCGAGCTCCGGTGTGGGGAGCAAACCTTTGTTTTCTATACTACATAACAGTAATATCCAGATGGGAAAATGAAGAACCAGCTCGAGCAGCTCTGGGTGGAGGAGTCAAAGGAGGGAAAGGAAGTACCATGAACCTAAGCAACCCACAGCTGTCCAAGTCCCCGCAGAACTGGCTGCTCAAGGAGTGCCTACCGCTTCTGCTCGAAAGCTATGTAATACACCTGGTTGCCTGCTGAACGAAAATTTCGAATTTTAGGAATCTTCCGCCAGCGACTCCTGTATCGGTAGTAGTGGCATGGATGACACCAGTAGCGATGATGAGGACGCATTCAAAGACGATGGCCGGCCAGGAGAAAGCCGTTCTCGGTCACAGAATAATTAACTTCCGCCCTCACCATCGTCTACACGGATTTCAAAAGCGTCGACCTCCATTTTGAAAACATGGTGGCTGGCCGCGCTACCCGTAGGCACACGTGCCCCCCGCGTGTCTTAGCGCGAGCCTCAAGCTAAAGATCATGTCGCCCACTCATTTTCCTGTGTTTCCCCATTTCTTCGAACTCGCTCAGCTTTTGCTTCAGCCTTTGCTTCGCTCGTGCTTCAGCTCCACGCTGTAGTCTGAGTTTAGTTCTCTTGTCTTCTTCCAGCAGAATACTGCAAACTCTACAGCGCGTCGAGCTTCTCCTAAAAGAGTTTCTTTTGCGTCGAGACAGACTGTCGATCGTTTCAGTCCTATCTTGCCGTCGTCTCATGAGCGCCCGAAAGCAACAGTATCTATTTTCTTGTCGTTCCATTTTCTGGCGAACTCATTCACCTACTACTTCTTCCTTTATGAAAGCTTCAGGTGGCTGAGTTCTCCCACTAGCGACAATCATGCCTTGGAAAAGAACAGGATATTCCTAAGGTATGTACAGCCAGTGCAGTGATGACAGTGCACTGCACTGTAAAAAGCACCTGCATGCACTGCGCGTAGTTGTTGTTTGTTTTGTCGAGAAAGAATCCCTTTGATCCCTTTCGCACTCGCACGGGCCATGAGGGCGCAGCACGGAAACGGGTCTATTGAATTCATTTCTTGGTCGATTTTGACAACCAATACGTCGTTGTTTTTCTTTTTTCACTAGCTATCCTTTCTCCGCTTCCGAATTGTGATGCCGTCCACCTGGAAAGCCTTGAAGTGAAACGAGTGGAGGCCGGTTTCGGAGGTAATTTTCGGCCAAACGGCAATCAAATCGAAAAATTCGAAGCGGACGATCTGTTGGTATCTATCGAAAGAAGACGTTGGTCCATAAAAAATCTTTGGAAACTACAACGTATGAACCAAGGAATTACGGTAAGTTTGAGAATTTTGGTACATTAGCTGTACGCTGATTGGTCGATTAGCGCGACCGTTGACAAACGGGCCAGTGACGTTTTGTACAGCGTTGGTGAGGGCTGAACTTACAGTGCTTTCACGACATCCTTGATGAGCATGTGGACTTTTATTAATTTTATTATTTTGTTGTTGTTGTGTTTCGGTAATCCATACCTGCTGCAGGTTTGCGCCGTCTTGGTCAATTTGCAACAGTCTCTTATCAAAGACGTTGCTTCTGCTTTGCTGTACCGGTCACAAACTGTTGACCCCCCCCCCCCCCCCTCCGTGACAAGACAACGGTGATTGAGCGGTGAGGTGAAAGACCTTGCTTGGAGAGCAAATAGAAGAATACGCTGATGCCAGACCGCAGTGATCTACAATAGAGTGCAGTAGAGTGCTACAGAGTGCACACACAGACACAACCACAATCAATTCCACTCTCACCTCCTCCGCACAAGCCTCGGCCACGCACGCCTCCACTATCTCCATGGCAACGCGCTCACTACGAGCCTGGTACATGTACAGCTGCGCCTGTTCCGACACGGTTTCCTTGACAACCATAGTGACTGCTGGCTGCAGGATAATGCCCAGTATGTAGTCAGTGACCTCTTCAGCACAGGTCTGCCGAGAACGAAGAAGATAACTGCATGGGATAAAGAAAGGAGACAGAGGAATCAGTCAAATCAGCTCAGATGGCGAGCCAAAGAAATAATTATTAAATTGAAAACATGGTCTACCTGTTCAAAACCTCTTTGGCAATAGCCCAGGAATTAGACACACTCCAGATCCTCAAAATGACATCACGGGGACAACAGTTACCGCCAACCTGTTGCCACACATCCTGGGCACCATTTTCAATGGTGCTTTGGGTGGGGTATATCAGTAAAACCTAATTTTCAGTGCAAACAGGCATTTCGGATAACGGTTCAGATAGCTGACGTTCGGATAATCGGCATTCTACTGTATTTCCAACGGTGCACAATGTGAAAGAGCAGACGAAAAAAGGATTTACCTGTGCACGAGCTCTGTCATAGTCTCCTGGACAACACCAGGGACCAGGGTCTCTATGATACCATCTAGAACTGTGTCCACAACAATGCTTGCTGCGTGGCCAGCAGTAAACACCTGCAAACACATAAACACATACACACAAACACACACCTCAGACCTCAGACCTGCCCATCGCGGAAGCGATGATAGCGAACAGCTATGTTTGACATAGAAACTTGTGCTAGGATTACACCATTCAACAGCTTGCAAGGCTGATGAATTGACCGCCACTAATTTTAGCCTGGTATCCACCACACAGCTGACACACAAACACATGTTCAAGGCCACACCCAAACCAGGTCCCTAACGCAAGCTGCATGGCTACTTTTTTTTTTATCAAAAGTGCTGATGAAGTATGGCATACAAGAAAAATACACCAGGACATCCTTGCGCTCGTCCCAAGGACTGAAACAAACCTGATTGCACTCGTGGAAAGGACTGAAGCAAACCTGATTGCGCTCGCCCCAAGGACAGAAACGAACTTGAGTGCACTAGTCCCACGGACAGAAGCGAACCTTAGTGTGCTCGTCCCAAGGACTGAAACGAACCCAGTGGAAAAGATCTACCCTACCTTGGTGCGCTTGTCTGCATCCAGTTCAATGAAGACGTCCATGAGAATGCCAGGCACAATGTCATCAGCCAGACACCGCTCCAGTACATCGTCCACAACAGCGTGCGCCAGCGATTTAGATTGAAGAGCAATTAGCTACACGTACATGGAAACCAAGATGACAAGAGAGCAGGAAAGTCGATGAACAGCCTGTGTGTATGGGTGGGGGGGGGGGGGGGGGGGGGGGCAGAACCTAAGTGTTCCACACCACAGTGGTCCCTCAGCACAAGCATATTACAGTACTGGCAGGTGCCAGAGGGGGGGGGGGGGCAGCCTCCTAGCCTAGGTCGTTCATATTCTCATGTACTACAGTCTGTGCAGAGTTGAGTCACCGTGTATACATTGGTATGCTGTGCTTGGTGAAATCCTAGCCTGTTCGTTCTTTGGCATCCGGTAATACTGTAGTATTTGAAAGGGTACAGTTGCACACTCAATCCTGGGAAATATACCGTATGACGTGTCAAGATTCGACGCTGGGAAAGGGACTGCAAGACATACTGCATTTTTACCATTTAAAAATAACGGTATTTTTTCAAGACAATATTTCTTCATTTCTCCCCGGACCCCTCCCTTCCCCCTCAAAACGAACATGCACACGTTTATGCAGGGTATCGATATTTTTTCAATGAAGTGCAATCTCCTCATGAAACGTGACCAACTGCAACTCCAAACTCTCCATACACCAAGGTTTACATTGCCACGGTCGCACAACCTTGTCGTGGCTATGTTCACGAGGTTGACTTTCACTTTGTGTTGGTCATAAACTACATGTTTCCACAGTACGCGGACATAGTTAGAGATCGATATATTTTTCACAACAGGGCCCAAACGAACGAAAATCTTCTCTAAACAATATCGATATTTTTCGACGACCCCTAATATAACATTTATAAGTCAACCTTAAAGCGGCCCGCTCCCAAACCGCATGGTATTTCTACGAAATCCCTACTTTTCACTAAATCGCACCTTGCACTTCTCACAGTTCTGCACTTTCCTTTTCGGCCCTGTTTATCCAAAAATAGCCTACGGTGTTTTTTCTCGGGTTCACCTAGGGTTCACCCGCACCGTACCGTACTGCTGTGCTTGCATTTCCCCGAATCATTTTTCGACACGCTGCTTACTTCTGGGGCCCTTTTCCTTTCGAGCCTCCGACAAGATTTGCATTCGCTCTCTCTCGTCTTCACGATTTCGCTGAGCATCTTCTTGGCAAGTCAGTGTTTCCAAGGTCGACTTGAAGAAGGCGTACTACAAAATTCCTGTTGCACCAGCCGATGTCCCCAAGACTACCATTACAACTCCCTTTGGAAGCTTCGAGTTCCTCCGAATGCCCTTCGGCCTCCGGAATGCGGCGCAAAGTTTCCAACGGCTCGTCGACGAAGTCACTCGTGGGTTGGATGGCGTTTATGTCTACCTAGACGACATCTTGGTGGCTAGCTCCTCCCTTGAACAGCACTGGAGGCACCTCGGACTGCTATTCCAGCGCCTGGCTGACTATGGGTTGGTGGTGAATCCCGACAAGTGCGTCTTTGGGGTTTCAACACTGGAGTTCCTTGGTCACACAGTCAGCAGTGACGGCATTAGCCCTCTGCCAGCTAAAGTCACCGCTGTTCAGGAGTTCCCTGCGCCGAAATCCATTCGTCAGCTCAAGCGGTTCCTTGGCCTCATCAATTTCTACCGTTGGTTCCTTCCAGACTGTGCCGCTACGCTCAAGCCTCTCACAACATTGCTCGCTGGTCCCAAGTTGAGTAAAACGGCTCCGATCAGTTTGAATGAGACCGCTCTGGCGGCTTTCCAGGCTATCAAGTCCACGCTAGCTGCAGTGACTTTACTCCACCATCCCGATCCCTCCGCGACGTTCAGTCCCATGGTTGATGCATCCGATCAGGCCGTTGGTGGAGTGCTCCAACAGCAGGTTTCCGGCATATCCCAACCTCTCGTGTACTTCTCTGTCCCGCTCAAACCAGCGGAGACACGGTATAGTACGTTCGGCAGAGAATTCCTGGCCATCTATTTCGCAATACAGCACTTCCGGTACTTCTTGGAGGGCCGCGAATTCTGTGTGTTTACCGACCACAAACCTCTGTGCCCCTGCCCTCAATATTGATCATATTGATATTGAACCGGTAAATCGAAGTACCAAGTAACATATTGGGGTCGGATGTTGAGCGTTGAAGCTCAGCAGCCATGTAATGTCGCTGTCACCTAGGATAGCACGTGGATGCACCGTGGGTATGCTTCACTCTATGGTGCATTCATTGCCATATCTTGGGAGACTGGAAAGGTGTTGGACAATCAAACTCTGTCTCGTTATTGCATGCCGTGTTCACGTTTGAAAAAGCTGCTAGACCAGAGAGAAATCACGCAAGTTGAGTATGATGACAAGATGGCGTCACATTCGTGCCCTGCTAACACCAAGTCACCTGCTCCCGCGATGGAGGCTGAAGCAGCCAAGCAGATCTGGCAACGTTCACTGCAGCTTCGACAAGCACGCTACACCACCTTCATTGGGGATGGTGACACCAAAAGCTTCAAATCTGTGTGTGGTGCTGCCCCATTCGGCCCAGATGGAGCTATCGTAAAAGAAGAATGTGTTGGCCACGTCCAGAAGCGTATCAGCTCAAACCTCCTCAAGCTGAAGAGAGAGATGAGTGGAGAGAAGTAAGAAGATGGACTGCCGATCAGTGGACGAGGTCGCTTGACGTAGAAGACGATGGACAAGTTGTAGGCCCTCTATGTACTTGCTGTTCGTAGCAACACTGACAGCCTGCAAGGAATGGCGAGAGCTATACGGGCATCGCTCATGCATTCCACATCTACAGATAGCTAACCTGCTCACCACTATTGTGCGCCAGGAGGAGCAGACAGCTGGTGCAAGTGGCACAAAGCGCAGGCAGGAGAGGAGGTGAGAAGTATGTCCACCCTGATGCCATACCCGAGACAGTGTTTAAAGCAACGAAGCCCATCTACTTGCGGCTAACGAAGGTTGTTTGCGAGGAGCAACGCAGAACAGGAATGAGTGCATTAATGGCATGTGGCAAATGTGTCCCAAAAGAGGCTTCTGTTGCGCCGGGACAGTTGAAACAGCTGTAGCCTTGGCCACAGCTTGGTTCAACAACCCGAACAATGCCATAGTTTGTTTTCTGAAAATGGGCCTCGCCAGAGGGAATTCACACCGCCGCAGCTGTGGCACATCTTGCCAGTCACCGCCGTCATGATGCAGCCAGGAAGAGCTTAGATGTGACCAAAAAGGCCAGGAAAAGCAAAGAAGGCTGAAGAAGGGCATCAGTGACGATCAGGCAGATGAAGAAGGGGTTACCCACGAGCCAGGTGGCTTCTGATGCGAGTATTTGAATGCGGACGTGCTGTAATTGGATAGGCCTTGTGTGTAAGTGTGTGTATGTCTGTGTGTGTGTGTGTCTGTGTTTTGGTATGTTTCTGGCCTATCTCGCAAGTTGCTACCACGATAGCAGCCAAGTCGTTAGTGCTACACACCTCAAACTATACATTTCTGCGCTCTGTGGCACATTGGCTAGTTCATGAATGTCTTCTTTTAGCCCTCTAGCAATGCTTGCTCTCACATTCAACTTGGAGACGGTCATGACTATTTTTTTCCGAAAACGCACGTCAGAATTCTCCGTTGTGGTGTGAACACCTGATGAGGATATGTGCTCTGTTTGTTTCTATTCAATACCTAAAATTAATTATGTACTCGGAACACAAAAAAAACTGTTTCTGTTCTTCCTAGTGCATAAATATTTCAATGTTGCGGTTAAAAGAGGTTCAGCTACAGCCAGTTTTAGTTTTTTTTTTGGGCGTAGTAGTTGATATGCATGCATGGAGTGTACTCGACATTATTGCTGGTCCATGTCTTTTGGTATCTGGTGGTCCCCTCCAGAAAATTTGAAGGAATTCCAAGAAACATTGGTTGAAGTTTTGTGTACTTTTACGGATGACTATCCGCGAAGGTAGATCGTCACCAGTGATATACAGGGCAGATGTCTGTATTCCGTGACAACTACTACAAAATATGCTATTTTCGGTGTAACTTTATTTGATTTCGGTGATTTCGGTAGAAAAACCAGGCACCAAAATTTAAATTCCACCTAAAAGCCTCTCTAGAGTATGCACGGTATGTGATGGGAAAGTTGGTCACCAAATTCTGCATTACACTTGAAACCTGGCAGGTCCCTGGCACCGAAATTTTAAAATACACCTAAAATGACATGTTTTACAGTATCTGGATGCGGCTTTTACTCCGGAATTACGGTACCTAACGCCCATGTCCCCAAGCACACATGCTGTCTAGGTGCAGGACATAAAGAGAAGTGCATGACATGGAGCACATTGACTGTACAAACAGCACAGCGGACAACACGACGTACCAGTCGATTCCAGCTTGGCGAGACATTGCTGCATTGGCAAACACACCACAAGATGCACACAGACAATCCATATTGGCCTCCGGTTTAGATTGGGCAACAGAACATACGGTAAGACATGTAAATATAGCAAGGAAGAAAATCTAACGCTTTAACGAGTGACATTTCTTCGTGGTAATAAGTTCTGCTTAGGTTGTAAGGCCTGATAGATCACTATTGTGTTACATGCAGATATGCCCGAAAGCAACGCAAGATCGTTAACGTATCTTCTCGTTGACCTATGTATTTTGGACAATTGCTAAATTTGGGACCCGTTATAAAAACATTTCTTACTGTCCTATACATACTGTACATACCCGGAGAGGTGTGCAGATGGTCTGGAGTTGCCGCCACGCACATCTGCTACAGTGCTTGACCAATCGGCTGGATACACACCAGGCTGTGGCAGCATCATCATGGGTGCACCAGGGTAGTAGGGTGGTGGTGCAGGCCAGAATCCAGGATTGGCCATCGGACCCGGGGCTGCCCAGGGTTGATAAGCTGCGGCAGCTGGTACTGACGCTGTTGCGGCTAGTGGCGGCGGTGGCATGCCAGGGTAATACTGGTACTGGGCGGGCGGCTGGTAATACGGATACCCGGGTCCAGCCTCCGCCGCTAGTCCACCCCCGTGCCTGCCACCGACTCTGTTGCCGCCGTGACGACCGGCACTATGACGTCGCTCGCCGTCCCTGGCGGTGTCATGCAGTTGCCATGGTATCTGCTGTTGCTGCTGGCCGGGTGGCATGAAAACATATGGCGGCATTGGAGGCAGAATGACTGGCCTCGGCTTTGGATGGGACTGCAGACGTCGTTTCCTGTACGCACGCGTGTCCAAACGAGGCGTACCGTCAGCAGCATAGCCGTCAGGAAACGGGCTGCTGCCTGGAAGAGATACGTCCGGTGTTGGACGTCCTGATGCTACTGCTGCCACCGCCGCCGCTGCTGGGGGTAGTTGCCTGGAGAATGGCGAGGTCGACCGAGATGCATAGCGTGCTGCGTCTGGAGTGTACGGGTGACGCACTGCGGTAACGTTGCCACGGGGATCATCTTGCATGCTGCAACACCACAAAACAAGAAACCCCAGAAGCCTCGAGTGAAATTGTAGAAAATTAGCTCAATGCAAAAGCTTAGCACAACAAAATTTCGTTCTTATTTTCCGCACTCATTCGAATAACGAATGCTTTGGTGAAGTGGCAAGAGACTCTGCCTTCAAGTTGCTGATCCTACAAAAATTACTTTTCGTTGTTTGATTTTATCAAAAATGTGGCATTTGTTTCGGTTCAAAAGTCAAGGACAGAAGAATATTTCGGTTTGTTGTGGGATTGCGCACCCTCTTCCACGAGAGCGTCCCATCTCAAGGTGAGGCTGGGCTCAAAGAAGCTCAGTGATGGCAAGCCGAGAACCTTCAGTCTTGCACTCTTCTGCAACTTCTTCATTTGTTGTTGTTTGTATTTATTTTGATTCGCAAGTTCAAACGGGCATAGAACCCAATAACATGAAAGCGAATATGAAAATCATAATGAGAATGAGAATTCAAATACTTTGATCTTCAACGTAGAGTCAGCGGTACATCAGAGGAGATTTCAAGTGCAGCTCTCTTGAGTTGGAGTGCGCAATGCAGTACAGTGCAGAACTAAACATGAAGCAAAACTGGTCAAAATGATACGTAACTAGTAGAATGTCAGCATGTTTCGTTCGCCTCTATTGGGGTTTATTTCAGCCCTAGTCACTATTAACTAGGCAAAGAATCAAACCTGAGTTGCAGGCAAAGCTGAGATACGGGCAGCACCCGATCCCAAGGTGCCCTGAAACAAGACATTTGAGCATACGGCATCGACCTTAGTTTACTGATCCCACCCTCTCAAGCGGTTTTGGGTTAACCACACCACATCACCTATGCGGAGCCTACCTTGATTTCGGCTAAGGACTGTGGAGAATCCATAAAATACAAAATGCAAATACAGATGAAGAGCTGAGATGCAAAACCCGATTAAAAGCGCCATATTAGAGAAAATCTGAGATTTTCAGCTCAGTGTAACCAAAAGGTCCAGGGGCACTGGCAGACAAAATTTCAAATTCAAAATCTCACTAGAACCATTTCAAAACTGGAACCCAAATACGAATTTAAGAATCCTTTTTGGTCATGAAGTTAGTTGTTCCAACGAGGTTCTAAGTTCCTTTCTGGTCAGTATTCGAAAAGTGATGAAACGGATTTAGCGGGTTTCGCATTCCTGCTCTTCAAATGCACTGTACACATTGCAGTTTTACCATCAGATTCTGTTACTAGCTAGTTTTTCCTCACCGTTCGCCCTGTGTGAGCGGTGGCAGCAAGGGTGAGAGCCTCTCCTCAGACGGACGCCGCTGCCAACGATCGCGTGGAGTTTCCTGGCAATAAGAAAAGAAGTGGAGGACAATACAAGCAATTGTGGAATGAAGCGAAGCAACAGTTGAGCTAGAACATGGTTATTTTCTCACACCTCTCTCAGGCGTACATCCAGTACATGGCAAAAGGGGTGTTCCACTGAGTCATACCACAACTACTGTAAAACATGTAATTTTAGGTGCATGAAAATGTCGGTGCCAGGGACCTACCAGGTTTCAGGTGTAATTTAGAATTAGGTGACCATCGTTCCCTTCACATACAGTGCATACTCTAGTGCCTTTTAGGTGTAATTTAAATTTAGGTGCCTGGTTTCTCTACCGAAATCACCGAAATTAAAGTTACACCGAAAATTGCATGTTTTACAGTATGTGATTGATACAACTGTGGTGGCATACATGTACATTAGCATCAATTCAGCCACATTGCTACCTACAGTAAAACATGGTGTAAGCGACCTCTGGGTTTAGCGACCACCTGCTCCTAACGACCGTTTTCCCACGCACCGACAGTTCTACACAGACACTGTGGGACCTGGTTCTAAAGACCACCTGGTTTTGACGACCGCTTTTGCTTGCACCGTGGGGTGGTCGCTTAACCAGGTTGTACTGAACTTCAAAGAACAGTCGCGGCCAAAGAAATCCGACCTACGAGTCAAAAGCAGCGCCGCGTTTCCGTCTCCATTACGTCATGACCGTTCCAAAACAAACCATTCGACGGCCGCAGGGGCCGCATAGGCTTTGGCGCTGCTTTCCGCACATGGGTCGAATTTCTTTGACCACGATTGCAGTTTGTTCATAAAGTACATGCACAATGTCCCATCCTATTTGTAGTGTCTGCTGTGCTTGCAACTTTGGCTTCAGATGTTGTTCTGGGGGGGGGGGGGGGGGGGGGGGGGGAAGGAGGGGGAGGGGGGCACACTGCGACATGCACGGCAGCCAGAAACGGGCAAGTGCATGCAAAGGGGAGCCGTTTGGTGCCAAAAGGGGGCAAATAAATGATCACGACTGATGTTCGTGACAGGGAGATTAGCCTCCTGTCATGGCTACGTGGCTGCATTTATATTTACCAGCATCTTGTTTTTCTACAATTACAGTACAGGGTGTTACCATAGCTACTGCAGTGCTGGCCAATGAAGTCGAATCAGCCATGTGAGAGCTGCCACACCACGAGTTGCAGGCTTGACGGGGCGAACTCAGCTCGATTGGGCAGGCACAGGGCATCACAGGCTGCTTGTCTCCGGGCAATCGTACCGTACACGAGTGATCGGACTTCACCAAGCCATCATTGTAGCGGATTGCCGTAAACATGGACATTTTTACACTTTTCATGTTTTAGTAACAAAAGAAACAAGGGGAGTCGTTACGTGGCCAAGAAGAAGAAATAATTATGCTGGCGCAAAGGAACCTGAAGGTGCTCAGCCTGCTGCCCCAGGCCTTCTGGTGAAGATGATGAGTCGGACCCGTTACTGACCTCGAACCCAGACAGTGGCAGCTCCAGTGACGATGAGGACGTTTCCTCGTTTAGCGCCACTGGAAATCGTATTTTTGACCTGGAAATCGTGCAAGAGATGCTGAAAGCACATGCTGTGTGTTCTGACTGCAAAGTGGGCCACTTAATCTTGACGAAGAGTGCCCAGCACGGCCTTGGCTCCCACGTCTCCCCGCCGTGCTCGTCAAGTACATGTAGCCGTTTTGCTGAATTGCCAATGTCGAAAAAATCTCGATTTTTGACGTAAATCGCCGGTCTGTGCTGGCCATGAGGAGAATCGGCAGAGGTCATGCTAGCTTGGAGAAGTTCTGTGCAATAATGGAGTTGCCAAGGCCTGTCGCTAAGTCGGCTTCCCATCGCCATCAAGACGCACTCGGAAAGGCAGCGCACACCGTGGGCGAGAAGAGTAAGAAATATGCTGCGCAGGAACTGCTGGCGGAAAATGGAGATGGTGAGATCGCAGTAACGTATGACGGGACATGGAAAAGGAGAGGTTATTCATCTCTCAATAGTGTGTTTACGTGCATCGCCTGGTCATCGGGGAAGGTCGTCGATCTGAACACGAGCTCCAAGTATTGCCAGCAATGTGCCTCTTGGAATGCAAAATTGGAGCGGAAAGTTAAAACCCCGGCTGCACACGCGGCATGGTTGGCAGAACATGAGCCGTCATGCGTCATCAACACGACCAGGCCATCCCCATGAATGGAGAGTGAGGCTGCGCGCATCCTCTGGTGCAGATCCGAAGAGAGGCGTGGATTGAAGTATATAACCTACGTCGGTGATGGGGACTGCAAAGGTCACAAAGAGGCTTGTGAGCCAAGCCCTATGGAGAACTAGCCGTGAAGAAGGAGGAGTGCGTAGGGCACTGTTATGAACTGCTATGTTAGGTGCCTTACAACTCTTGTTTCACAATGTATGTTGCTATGCATGCTGTGTACACGCTCACCCATGCGCGCGCGCGCGCCTCCGGTTTATGTGTACACCTCTCTCATGTCGTGCATGTGTCTAGCCGCGTACAGTTCACTTCTTGCTTTACGCCCGATTAGGGCTAGCCACTGTCTGGTCGCAGTGACCTTGCGTAGCTGCGCTGCATATACGTCATGTCGCCGGAAAGGCGCGACTGGTCCACGATCTGCAGTGATGCGTACCTTCCATTGTTTTTGCCGCCTTTCAGTTTTTCTTAGTTTTTGTCAGCTGTGTAGCTGGACTTCTTTCATATAATTATTGCAGACCCGTCTTTCTGTGGTTCAGTCGATCTTTAGTTCAGTGTGCTTCAGTCTGGTTCTAATAACTTCTATGTCTCTCCCAACTCTCTTGTAAATATAACTCATTCCCTAATCCGAAGTGTTGCGTTAGTGCTGGCTGGTCGAACGTGGGTTCCACTACAGCACGTTCAAAAACGCGTTGGCAAAGGCCTACGTTACCTAAAAAAGAGCTTGAAGGAGCAGAAGCTCTCCAACGGCCTCAGAATCGGTGATGCTGGAAGGCTGACCGACACCGCAATCGACTTTCTCCAGGCGCATTACGGGCGAGCTGTACGAGAGAACACGAGTGACCTCCAAAAAATGGCGCATGCCATTTGGGCAAGTGTCTGTCACCGCTGCTCCTCGGACACTCGTCCACAATATCAGTACTGCCCGGAGGGAGCTGAATCCTGGTGCGGCTGGCAGCGCGTCCAAGCGGGGGCGCAAGAGGAGTACCAGCATCACAACACTCTGCCACCTGCAGTGTTCGACGTGATAAAGCCTCTGTACATCAGGCTGGCTGAGAGGTCGCTCCTCCAACGGTGCCCGATGGGCGCCACACAGAACGCCAACGAATCATTCAATGTTGTTGTGTGGCGCATGTGCCCAAAGGAAGTGTATGCAGGTGGCAAATATGTGGAAACTGCTGCCAATCTCCCCACCATCACGTTCAATGATGGTGAAATTGGTCTGGTGCAAGTCCTGCAGGAGATGCAATGCCATCTGGGACCAACCACCACTGCAGCTCTCAACAAGGAGGACCATTGGCGCATGCAGAATGCTGAATCCGCAAGTTCGCCAGAGGAGAAAGAGAGCAGGAAGAGAAGGAGAAGGAGAAAGAAGGAGGGTGTGACCTATGAGTCTGGAGCCTTTGGGTGGTCCACCTGAAGTCTGGGACACATTGTGAGGACGAATGCACAAAATGCATAAGATTTTGGGTGCCTTTTTGGAGTGTTTTTAGTCTCATACTCCAATTTCCGTTCAATTTTTCGCCCAGGATGCTTAGGATACCCCACAATGTATACATTTTTGGAAAGCTTATGTTTAGACCTAGTGCGCCTGGGTAATCTCTTCTCGATTCTCGCCAAGCTGTTCATAAATTGTTCATAAAATGATTGATTTTTTTCATCTGTTGGCACATGTAGTGATCCAAGATTTTTCAACCTGTTTTGAGTTCGCAAAAAAATGACGTTCGCAATTTCTCATGAAGCAACGAGGACACAACGTTTCCACAACAATGACTTTGATGAGCTCACTGTCTTGCTACTGGTATAAGCTAGCATTGCCCAAATTTTCATTGGAAAATTTTGTGTGGAAGTGTTACTATGCCCACCTCGCTGTGTGTGGGTCGTTACGAGTTCTACAGCCAGACCCCTCACTTCTACGAGTACATCCACATCATTTTCATTTATCAGCTGCTGCGAGCTGAGTTTTGTCAATACAGTATTCGTTGCAGAGAGGTGTCCAATACATGCACCTGAATTAGTTTTACGTTTCCAAGTCAGAGAACAACACGTCATGAAAAATCGAATACGGTACCTTGCGCTCTTTTCTCCTTTGGTGTTGCCCATGATATTCCATGTACTCCACAGACTAGAGCACGCACGCACAGCCCCTCCAAGGACTGTCAAATGGGCCCAGCTAAGCAAAGACGGTCCAAGGAGTTTTCTACGAAATTCTTCTCATGTAAGAATGCAAGACTCCACTGAAAATAGTCCGATTGAGCTGAGAAGGACAGTACCTGGCTGAGTTAGACCCCCACTCGCCAGAGAAGATTTACAAAACTACATTGTACCATAAATTTGTTCTCGACACGACAGTGCACCTCTGCAAAGGCGGCAAGAGTCCGTAACCATACTACTACTAGCCCTTTGGCCTTGCTCCAAACAAACTTTGACCAAAGGCAAAGGCAAAGAAAGGCATTGCTGCATTCAAATAAATAATTTTGAAAACAACCTGGTGTCATTTTTTACCGTAGCGTCTGACGCCATATGCAGTATCCATGCCAACAATCCAAACCAATCCGAAAAATGGCTGATCGAAGGAGAAGGAGCAAAAGTCGCTCTCGCTCTCGTTCTCGCTCTCCCAGGCGACGAACAGACAGAGAGCGAGATCGTAGGTCAAGAGATGAGGATAGCAGTAGGAGAAATGGCCGTGAGACGCAGGTGAAAGATAGGGAAGGAGATAGACAACCAGAAGCAGCCAAACCATCATTTTCTGTGGATAGAGAAAAGGTGAGAAATTTTCAAATTGTGATTTCCGTAATTACTTGAGTGAATGTTCTGTGGGTTACCCATGGTAAATCCTTATTCAGTATTGTGGCTGTGTGTTTGATCTATTTCTCAAAGATTTGTTGTAGTGTATTGAACTCTGAAGTTTAAACTTTGAAACATTTCATGCTGATTTAATTATTTCCCTTTCACTAACAATTGCGAAATTGTATACAGTACATGTACTACGAGTGCAGTCATGTGCAATGTAACTTTATCTTATAATTGAGTTGAACGCGCTGCGTACAAGTTTGAAATGGCGTAGAGCAAGCATGGAAGTATGGACTTGCAAGAGACACCACACAGATGTGCACTCGAAGACACTACCTTCAATGTATCCGTTTAGATTGGTGTTCCAATCTGAGGCGAGTGTTGCATTGTTGTTTGACGTATGACGTGTGAGAACGCCACATACATGTATGTAAAAGTAGTGATACTTCCCCTAACCAAGGCACAACTCTGCAGCAACACTTTACTTGTACGTTGTACTTCAACACGCATGCACATGCACACTCACACACATGCACACGCACACACACGCACACACATGCACACGCACACACATGCACACGCACACACATGCACACGCACACACATGCACACGCACGCACACGCATGCACACTCACACGCATGCACACTCACACACATGCACACGCATGCACACTCACACACATGCACACTCACACACATGCACACGCACACACACGCACACGCATGCACACTCACACACATGCACACGCATGCACACTCACACACATGCACACGCATGCACACTCACACACATGCACACGCATGCACACTCACACACATGCTCGCATCGCGTATTACATGCGCGTATACATGTGTATGAATTCAATGTGCCTGGTTTGTGTATGCCCTCTTTCGTTGCTATTTGACGCATCATTTGAGAAGATAGTGGTGGACTATCCGTTGATCTCTTCCCCCCCCCCCCCCCTCCTTCTGTCTGTCTGTCTTTCTCAGTCTCACTCACTCTCTCTATCTCTCTCTCATACACACACACACCGTAAAGTTGCGGATAAAAGCCGGGTTTGCATACAAGCACATCGCGGATAGAAGCCTGAAAATCAAACGGGTCAAATGCATATAAGCCTGTCGCGCGTAGAAGCCTGGCTTCTATGCAAGCGCGGATCGGGCAGGTCAAGAGTGCATGCGCTATGTACGGTGCATAGTAAAACTGCCGCCATACCGGTAGTCAGTGGTAGATCTACGCGTGTCGCATAGATCTACCATACCAGTGGTGCATATAAGCATGGTTTGCATACAAGTCTGGTTTTGCATTAAAGCCTGATGCAGAAAGCAGCTTACATGCTTATAAGCCCGGCTTTTATCCGCGACTTTACGGTGGTCACACACCCACACCTCAAGAATTTGTAAAATGCACACCGTATCATCAGAGTGTTTTGGTCTTTCTCCCAGTGTTTCTGATACTACTGTCCGCTCTCTATAATGTATTTCTCGTGCTGTGTTGACCTTGTGTGGATTTCTTTAGACCTGCCCACTTCTGCTTCGGGTGTTCTTTAACTTTGGTCGCCATCACAGGTAAGTGGTGTATTTGGACCAGCGAATAGAGACATGCTTGTGTGTGTGTGTGTGTGTGTGTGTGTGTGTGTGTGGGCGTGCATGTGTGTGCATGTGTGTGTACGTTTGTACGTGTGTGGGTGTGGGGGGTGGGGGTATGCGTATGTGTGTGAGTGTGTGTAAGTGTACACGTGTGACACACACACACACGGGTGCGCGCGCGTGCACACGCACGCACACACGCACACATTTGCACACATCATTTCCAGGCAACGATGTAATCGCATAACCTCTATATCATGTAGTGCGCTGGCGACAGATGCAATCTCTGGCGTCGACGCATGACCAGAATGGCTGGCTTGCGAACAATCAATTCGGCTTCTGCTTATGATATGTTTGCCATCGATCAATGCCACTTAGGCTGTGTTTACATGAGAATTTTCAACCCGAGTCGAGTTCAACCCGAGTTGAAAATCGGTGGGTGTTTACATGAAAACAGTTAACCCGGGTCAAATACTGATATGCCGCCAAAAGTCCACTTCTAGAGTCCTATAGTCACGTGAATACTTTCGCGCGAAATTTTCCTGTGCACTGCTATTCAAACCTGGTGCGAGATACGCACAGAAGTACGTTTATACGATTTTCTCGCCCCGGGTCAAGCGCAATGCGTCATGTAAACGCGCTAGTGGATCTGTGATCATGGCTGGTTTCTTGACCCGGGTCGAGCTCAACCCAGGTTGAAACGCCTCATGTAAACACAGCCTTTTGCCTAGAAGGCGCATTGTCAGCAACAGCACAGCATGAGCTCCAACATGCCGGCGAAACAAACACTGACATTGACAGTGTTAGGCTGACTGCTTTTGTTTTCGGCAGGAAGTGCACTGTGCTCATACCCGAATTGTTCAAAATCAACCTACAGTACTGGGGGGTCAACGTCTAACCCATGACGTTCTTATCTTCATGTATGCAGTCTATGCACAGTTGAGTCACCGTGTATACATTGGTATGCTGTGCTTGGTGGAATTCTAGCCTGGTCGTTCTTGGGTGCTCCGTACTGCGGCATTTGACAGTGCTGTATAATTGTACTGTGTGTGTGTGGGGGGGGGAGGGGGGCATGTGTAGATATCTTCCCCTGGCAGCCATTCTCACGTGAATGGTATGTAGCTCTGCACGTTGTTGTGCTGTTCGTGATCTCTCTCTCTCTCTCTCTCTCTCTCTCTCTCTCTCTCTCTTTTTCTCTCTCTCTCTCTATCTCTCTCTCTCTCTCTCTCTCTCTCTCTCTCTGTGTGTCTTTCTCTCCCTCTTGCTCTCTCTCTCTTTCTCTCTCTCTCTCTCTCTATCTCTCTCTCTCTCTCTCTCTCTCTCTCTCTCTCTCTCTCTCTCTGTCTTTCTCTCCCTCTTGCTCTCTCTCTCTTTCTCTCTCTCTCTCTCTCTCTCTCTCTCTCTCTCTCTCTCTCTCTCTCTCTCTCTCTCTCTCTCTCTCTTTCTCTCTCTCTGCTCTCTGCATACAGACCTGATGATTTCTTCCGCGGCAATGCACCGAGTGATGAATTGCAGATATACACTTGGTGAGTCGTGCATGCCTGAATGTTAGTGAAGAAGCTTGAGTGCATGGCTAGGGCTGTTCAGACAACAGGAGGATTGTTTGAGGCCTCCATCATGCCATGTGTTGTCTTGTTTTTTTTTTGTTTTTTTCCTATTACGCCACACGTTTTTATTTCTATGTTTCTCGTCACCTGAAAATCTAAAAACGTATGCGAGAGGTGGAAAAAATAAAAAAGACCAAAAAATAAAATAAAAGTTTACTAGACCTTTGTTCACACTAAAATCCACCTATACACCATCCATAGTTAGCAACTAGTAATAGTAGCATGTGGTAGGAGCTTCTATCACAATCTGTGCATGTGCAGCTAGATTGCGCACACAAAATGCCGACCTCAGGCCAGGCCACATTATGTACATGTTCATGAGTGTGCTGGTCCCCACATGCACAGTCAGTGCAGCACAGTTTTTTTTTTCTTCCAGACTCCTGAATCGTATGCGTGCGGGTGACGAGAAACATAGAAATAAAAACGTGTGGCCTTAACTTGTCGACTAGTACACCATTATGGTGTTTTCGCACATTTTGTAAAGTGCTGCAACCTTTCCACCGTTTTCTTCTTACTGTAGCACTGCACTGTACTGCATACTGAATCTCCAACGAGGTACATAGTTTCCGGTTTCACGAGAAAGAACCCTTCGTTAACTTGACAAACATTATCTGAAACCACTTCTTCTCTCCTCTGTTCTAGAGAAATAAAAGACGAGTATGTGGTGGCTGGAGTTGTTAAACTTCGTGACTGCAAAGGGGAAAAAATCGCAGCTTCTTCTCAGTTACAATAGTCGTATAGACCATGCAGATCTCGGGTAGCTATCCCGAATATGCTTGCTAGTTAGGAAAGCGTTAGGAAACGGATGTTTGCCAGTAGAACCCAGTGTGGTGGCTGCACGAATTGCACTCCTCTGCAGTGTCTGCTTTGGGACTTCAAACCAATGTGGTACACATGTACCTGGCACAATTCTTGCAACCGGGTCAGAGCCGGGTGCATTCAAGTGCAGCTACTGCACGTACATCAGGGAGCTGTGAATATTTAGGATTCCCTGATGTAGGATTCCCTGATGTATATATATTCCCAACCGGGTCACTTGTTCTTTTTCCAAACGGGTCCAAGCACCACCCAACCGGGTCGCTGACCTGGCTGACCCAGCTTTGGAGCAGACAGTGCTCTGCACGATATGGGCCACGCGGACCTACATGTATTTTTTTGGTCATCTTGTCCCGTCGTCATCAGCATGACGGGACACCCATGGCAGGATATGATTGCTGCGTTTGTCACCATGCCCCGGGTGTCCCGTCGTGCCGATAGCACTCCACTATGTGTTGCATGTGTCTCGGTAATGCAAAGTCATAATGTTGTATGAGCCCCTTTGCCCGTGCAAGCATATAACGTTACGCATCCCCGTATACTAGTACACACGCTCCCGTACCATACTCGCTTTACCGGACTACAATTGCACGCCATGCCTGTGAGCTGCCGTGGCGGCTGATGGGCAAGATGATCTGACACATGGTTATGATCCTGCGCAGTGTATCTCATGTGGGTGTGTGTGTGTCCGTGTGTTCCTTTGTGCTTACAGGAAAGATGCAACATTACGCGAGCTCATGACGCTGGTCAAGGAAGTCAACCAGGACGCCCAGCGTCGGGGAATGATCTTCTCGTTCGCGTCCGTCTTCCCGACAAAGTCGCGCGGCATCTATCGTGTGAAAGAACTCGGCGTCGTGGATCCGACTAACCGCTCTCCGTCCGACTCTGTCACGCTGGAGTCGTCTCGCTTTCAGATTGGCGATTACATTGACGTAGCCATCATTCAACAACGTCCTCCAAACTATTGATTTTAAGCTACTCTGACCGCTCCTTTTAGCGAGCCGCCCATTGTAAGATTCTTGACGCTTTCACTCGCTGTTTCAATGGCTCCGCTCCAGTCCTCTCTGGAAGCGTTTCTTGTACCGTTATCATCTGCAAGTTTTCCTTTCAGTTCCGTCGCTCATGCAAACGAAAAAAAAGATTGTGGCATTGTCTTCATACTCGTATGTCCACCTCCGTTCATTAAAAAATCATGCTTACTTGTTACTTGTCTTGTATCATTATGAAATGTAAAGTTAGAGGCTTCGTTCCTCTTTGGCTTTTATACTTCTCATTCCGTTATTTTTTGTCCGAATCCAAGCACTAGTTCATTATTTCATGGGATGCATCTTAGTCACGTTGATGGATCTCTGTGATCTGCAGATTGAATTGACGATAACAGTTAAAAGTAACACAAACGTCTTCGTGGAGCTGCTACCAATATTAGCAATGTGTTTGTGAGCGGGTGCGCGTGCGTGTGTGTGTGTGAAAATGAAAAAAGACCAAAAAGTAGGGATTCACTGGCCAGAAAAAGCCACTTCGTAGCTGTGTGGTGTAGACCAGGCTGAATAGTGGCGGTCAATTCTTCAGCCTTGCAAGTTGTTGAATGGTATCCCAGCACAAGCTGCTATGGCTTCTGCTGTAGCATCGCTATCATCGCCTTCGGCGATGGGCGTCCAATGGTCCAATGGTGTGTGTGTGCATGTCCAATCTGTCGGAAGGCTACCCTGTCCCCGGGGAAAATTGCGATTCCGCGGCCGCGTTTTTTGCGATTTTTTAAAAGACCGCGTTTTCCGCGATTTCCCCGCGTTTTTTGAACTTTTTTGTTGCACTACACGTACACACAGTGCACTGTTCGGTCAGCAACGTCTCATCGTGGCAGCTTTTTACTCAAATATGACGAGTGCTTACACCAGAGACTTGTAACTGATTGATTTCACTACATACTCACTGAAAATTGCCGCACATCAATATTATTCACCGCATATTTACTGCAAATTATGCCATATTATGCCGCGTTTTCCCTCGCGATTTTTGCGATTTTTTTCCGCAATTTTCCCCGGGGACAGGCTACCCTCTTGCCAAAGCATTTTGGAAGTTGGACTAGTTTCGGCTCCACAATCCAGTGTGTCATTACTATAGCTTTCATGGCTGAGGTTGTTGGTACGTCTGTTGGCCCTGGGTTCCCAGTACCCAGTTGCCGAGGCTGGTTGGTAAAATAACTCCAATTTAACTTGAAGGTACCAGTGCATCTAGTGTCTGCTTCTATCAAAGCAGCGAGCTATCTATGCTGGTTACCCCAGCAAGTGTAGGGTGTGCATAGGTAACTGTCTTGGCTATTCCGATGTACTCCGTGTGGTGTACTGAGTAGACCAGGTGTGCATTGGCCCAATTATTTGGGGGGGGGGGGGGTCGATTCACATGGCTTCGTCAGTTGTGTGGATTAGACAGTTATCTGGCGCTTGTCTTGATCTGTTTCAATTAGAATCAGATCCGCTATCGTTGCTATAAAGAGAAAATCTGTGGGTGCACATCCAGTGTGCATTTGCAGATTTGCGTGCTTCTCTTGCGACGGGTGTATGGTACAGTACGAGTATAATGGTGTGTGTGTGTGTGTGTGTGTGTGTGTGTGTGTGTGTGTGTGTGTGTGTGTCCCATATGGTGCAGTGGTATGTGCAGCGATTTCCAATCGATAGATTGCGGGTTCGATTCCCGACGATTATGGTCACACACGTCTTTCTTCTCTTTCTCAGACTCTTCCTGACTTTTCTTTCATTCTCCTGGGTGGTTACCAACAGCCAGTGCATGCCGGAGTACGTGGTGTGATGTGTGTGCGGGAAAAAAAAAAAAAAAAAAAAAAGGAAAAGACCAAAAATAGGGATTCACTGGCCAGAAAATGTCACTCCAAATAGCTGTATGGTGTAGACCAGGCTGAATAGTGACGGTCAATTCTTCAGCCTTGCAAGCTGTTGAATGGTGTAATCCCAGCACAAGTTGCTATGGCTTCTGCCGTAGCATTGCTATCATCGCCTCCGGCGATGGGCGTCAAAGGTCAAAGGTCAAAGGTGTGTGTGTGTGTGTGTGTGTGTCACTGTGTGTGTGTGTGTGTGTGTGTGCGTGTGCGCATACCCACATACCTCGGTAGCTGTATTACTAATGATGACCAGTTGTTGGTTGAGGTTTCTTCCCGTCTTGCCAAGGCCTCCCGGTCTTTTGGTGCCTTGCGTTCTGCTGTCTTCGGAAACCGCCACATCTCTGTGCGTACCAAGACTCATGTTTACTCTGCAGTCGTCCTCTCAACGTTACTTTATGGCTGTGACTCATGGGCTGTCAAGGGAACCGACACCCGCCGTCAGTCAGTCTTCCACAACCGCTGTGCTCGGTTTATCCTGGACGTCAGCAAGTCCGAACAATGGAATGAGCATCTCTCCAATGCCGTCATCTTGGAGCGGGCTGGTTTGCGATCAGTGGTGGAGATGCTGAGGATGCGCCGTCTTCGCTGGTTGGGGCATGTCGGACGCATGTCGGACGACAGAATACCAAAGTGCATTATTGTTTGGTGAGCTCCAGAAGACGCGCCCCCGCCACGGGCCACGCAAGCGTTGGCGTGACAACATCGTGATTGACCTAGAGGAACGCCACATCAATGACCTTGATGACTGGTACAGCCTAGCCGAGGACCGCCGTGCGTGGAGACTGGCCTGCAACACCATCCAGCCGCCTAAACCTGTGTCTCGGGATTTCAGGTGCCACTGCTGCCGAGATTTTCGCCGTCGCCAGGAGGAGGCTCACTCGCCACTCGAAGTTCTGTTCCGCGTGACTGAAACACTGTCGGTCCTTTCAGGACCTGCCATCATCCCAGACCACGCCACCACTCCCCTTATTCATGGCTCACACATGACGGGTTTACGTGGCTCTAGTAAAAAATAAAAAATAAAAAATCACCGGATGGGCATTATTGTATTGTATTGTATTGTATTGTGTGTGTGTGCGGATTCCGCAGGGGCCGTGGCTGCAGTGACATGGTATTCACCGCAAGACAACTGATGGAGAAGGCAGTGGAGCACGATTCTGAGCTATAATTATGTGCTTTTCGTCGATCTGCGCAAGGCCTATGATTCCATTCTGCGGTCGGCTTTGTGGCTTGTGCTCCGCAATCTTGGGATTCCTTCGAAGCTGCTTGGCCTTGTCCAGTCCCTCCATGACGGCATGGAGGCGCGTGTTCAGCTCCCTAACGTCGTCACAGACAACATCAACGTCCGGAATGGCTTGCGTCAGGGCTGCACTCTGGCGCCTACGCTCTTTAATCTATATTTCTCTGCAGTGGTCTCTTCGTGGCATCGCCAGTCTTCTGTTCCGGGTGTACGGGTCCGCTACCGTGTCGGCAGGAAGCGTGTTGGGGATCGGACCGCCAAGTCTCGGCTGGCCTCCACTGACATCACGGAGTCCCAGTTTGCTGATGATGCTGCTCTCTACACCACCTCTTTGAGCCACCTGGAGACGATGACAAACGAGTTTGTATCCTGTGCTTCGAGTTGGGGTCTAACTGTGAGCGTCCAGAAGACCAAGGCCATGGCGGTGAGCTGCTTTGACCCGCCACCTTCCATTGATCTTCAGGAGGGAGGAAGCTTCGAGGTTGTGGACAGATTTACCTATCTTGGCAGTGTCCTGAGTGCAGACGGTGCTCTGGACAAGGAGCTCACCTCCCGCCTTGCCAAGGCCTTTCGTGCTTTTGGCACTCTCCAAAAGCCAATCTTCGGGTGTAGCGGCCTATCCATCAAGTCTAAGCGTCTTGTCTACAAGGTCATTGTCCTCCCTACCCTCTTCTATGGAGCAGAGACTTGGCCCATGAAGGCCCGACAGATGAATCGCCTGAATCTGTTTCATCGCTCATGCGTCCGTTCCATCTTGGGAGTCTCGAGGAGCGATCAGCACTCCCGTCATCTTACTACTGCTGATCTAGCCCAGAGAGCGCGTCTTCCTGAGGACATTGGCACTCTCCTGCGTGAGTACCGTCTGCGTTGGCTGGGTCATGTTGCCCGTATGGACGCGGCCCGGATTCCTCAATAAGTGTTGTTTGGGGAGCTCGAGGCAACCAGACCACGGCATGGGCCAAAGAAGCGTTGGCGAGACACGATTGTCGGTGATCTGGGCTCACTGGATATTCCGGAGTCCGAGTGGTATTGGCTCGCGCAAGATCGCCCGGAATGGCGCAGGTGGGTCCATCAGCATCGTCTTCCTCCCCCGGCACCGAAGGACTTTCACTGCGCATGCGGCAGAGCGTTTAGGAGAAGTGGCGATTTGAAGCGTCACATCAAGTACTGCCCAGCTCAGTAGCCTATCATCTCCACTGGAGATGGGGCGTCAAAGGTCAAAGGTATGTGTGTGTGTGTGTGTGTGTGTGTGTGTGTGTGTGTGTGTGTGTGTGTGTGTGTGTGTGTGTGTGTGTGTGTGTGTGTGTGTGTGTGTGTGTGTGTGTGTGTGTGTGTGTGTGTGTGTGTGTGTGTGTGTGTGTGTGTGTGTGTGTGTGTGTGTGTGTGTGTGTGTGTGTGTGTGTGTGTGTGTGTGTGTGTGTGTGTGTGTGTGTGTGTGTGTGTGTGTGTGTGTGTGTGTGTGTGTGTGTGTGTGTGTGTGTGTGTGTGTGTGTGTGTGTGTGTGTGTGTGTGTACCACCACCACCACAGATCCACTCTGATTTACCCACCCACACTACTAGTAGTAGGAAGTATTACCTTCACTGGGGGCAGGCGTAAATGCAGTTGGATCCCGGAACGGATATACCCTGATGCCGTCGATCCTTTTTCTGCACCTCGTCCTCACCAACTTGCTGAGGCATGGTGAGCCCATCAGTGGGATCATTTTCAAGTCCACCCATAGTTTGGGGATTTCAGGGCGTGTCGGACGTTGGGTGGTTCAGTATCCAATTGAGTCATCTTTCCAAGATACCTTTTGAGTCTCTCTCCGGAGTAGTCATGGCCCAAATTTGCTCTGCCCACATCGACATTTTGCCGCACAATTTTGCTGCAAGATTTTCGATATTCTGCTCGGCATTTCCTTTCTCTGTCGATATTTTGCTTTCATTTTGCTCGAGATAAAATGAGTTTCAAGGAAAAATCTACAAACTGTCACGGCTGTTCTGAGTGCGACATTTATCAATATGGCGGCGTACCGTAGCAACCAGCATCGCAACAGCTCGCGTACGCACAGCGTGCCGACGCGTGCAGTCTTTCTGCACATTTTTCAAATTTATCGAAGAAAGTTTTTTTGTTTTTGGGGCGATGGATTCGTGCCTTGGAGAGGTCGTATGAGGCCATGCTGGAGGAGAATAAGTCTACCACCAAGACCTGGAAGCCTCCCTTCGGCGAAGTACTGAAGTTAGTATGTCCTGGAGTCAATACAGTCAATACAGGAATTGTTTTCAAGACGATGCAGTGTAATAAATTCTAGTAATGTAGTGCATCATGGAATTCGGTGTGTTTGAAACTTCGGAACAAGAAGGGGGCACGTTTGCTTGACTCACTACCATCATGACGTGAACAGATGGAACCCCACTGCTCTTATTCTAGAACATGTTCTCCCCTGAGGACAGCTTACAGCCAGATTTCCGTGCATAAGAAAAGAGCGCAAATAAATCGTTAGACTGATTGCAATTCATCTTGGAGAAGGATAGAATTCGATCGTCTGCTACTCTCTCAACGCAAAGTTGATGACATAGCAGCTACATGTACGTCTCTTCATGCGTGTGCTCTTCACCTTGGGATCAATGAGGATATTAGGATTGCTGGAAATCAGATTCTGTATACTATTGGTCAGCAGTTTCTGCATTGCACATGCTCCACAGTGCTCATCGGCAAGGATGTTGAATTTGCGTGTAACCCTTCACCACCCTACTCTCCATACTATTCCAGATCAGCACTAACTGAACATTGAAGTGTTTCATTTCCAGTAGAATGTGCTCCTCCAATAAGTGCGGCATTGGAGGCGGTGATATTTATTGCCACAGTTGCACTGCTGATCTTCGTTATGAAAGTAGCAATGGATGATGATCAAGTCAACCAGTGGGCTTGCAGTGATAAGCAAAGTACCACAATACATCATCAAGTGTCATAGCATGGCGGAGTTGGTTGCCCGCAACGCTTCCATGTTGGTCTTGTTAGTGTACAAATAGAGGATATCTTCTAGTCTCCAACTTTTAAAGCACATGGACCTGCTATAGGTGTTATTCTTCTATCAATGCTTGTTTCAAGTCACAGAATTATTTAGCTTCTTACAGCTTTGATTTAATTCGCCGTATTGTAATTAATGTGAAGAAGAGGTTGATGCGACTCCGGCGATACTTGGGGAATTGTGTGTTGCTCCCTACGTGGGAGCTTGCGCTATTCCTGCCGACTTGAATTCTCACTTGACCGACTTGTTATTTTAAAATGAATCCATGGACATCTGTCAATTCAGCAGGTGAACTGCATTGCCATCAAGCCCTGAGCCAGCTCCATAGGAATGGCATGGTCATGAAGATGCGTGATGCTGTGTATCTTATTCGCATCAGAATAATAACCTGGTTGTTTCGGCTACACACTCCGGTAGCAACAGATACTCTGCATAATGCAGCTTGTACAGTAGTCCTCACTAAAGTAGAAAGCAGTTTAGGAGGGACTCTAGTGAGGAGTGTACGAGGATAGCCTATTAGTGTTCTACATAATCATTTGCATATTTAACATGTTACATGTAATTATCATGAACGCCGAGAGTGGTAAAACCGGGTACGGCCATCACCAGCGGCCCTGTCCTGAGTGCCATGCTGTGCTTAGTGCTGATGTAGTGCAAGATATATAAGCTGCATCATGGTTGTCGTTTGTTGTGGTTCAATTACTTGAAGTATTTCAGTATGGTCTTTACGCATGCAAGTGTGTGCTTTTCAGCAGGATCGTCGAAAGACTACATTGTGCGTGGCCTAAATCTGCAGTAACACTAGTAATACAAAAAACCCATGCCTATGTGTCTACACGTAAGGCCTCAGACAGATGGGGAATCTTGCATCTCTGACATTTAAAATCTCTACACAATGTCCTGTTTCTACATACATTTCGAAAGCATGGATTTCAAAAAATGTTCATTGGATGCATGTCTGATTTGTACTTGCTAACATCCAGAACGAAGCATGCACGGATCCCTCCTATGGCGGACGAAACCGGGGTCTTCGTTAGACATTGAGGCAGGAGAACACACTTCCACTCGTCCTGCATTATCAGCAAACACTTGCAATTGACGTCCAAGTACGCCACGCAAATCGACTTGGGCACGAAAACGATAATCTGGGCGGCAATGAAAATATAACTACGACGTAGGAAAAGGACAAACCTTTCAATGAAAATTGGCGTGAAGGCTGCCAAAAATTCTGCACCCCTTAGGAGGAAGCCTCGAATGTGAGCCAATTCTGATAAACGCCAATGGCCGGCACGACGAGGAAGAACGAAACGAAAAAGATCGTAACTTCACTTTCCCATTGCGCATTTTGACGATCAAAATATCTGCTTGCGCAGCTTGAAGGCAGGAAGGTGAATTCGCTTAGACTTCGCGAATCCAATGTAGAAAACGGCTGGAATCGACAGAAACATAGGCGAAACCTTGCCGAATATTTCCAGAGATTTGAAAAAGGCAGCAAGGTCGCGTACGACAGCATCATGGATCACTGGGGCGACGGGAAAATGTCGTACCGTACATAATGTCGCTGGATTATGCATGCATAACAGCCGTGCTGTCGCTGATGACTACGGAATTTTTGATTGGGCTCCTGCTGCTGCTCAACTTTCTACAAAAATGTAGCCACGAGTCTGTTTTGTCCTACTTTTATGCTCGTTTTCAACCTTGGTGACTGATTGTGTTGGGAAACTCCCTAAGAAGCCTTGGATTTTCCGAAAAGCCCACCAAAACTCGATATTTTGCTCGAAACTTGCCGGCAACTTGCGCATCCAATATTTTGCTCAAAGAATTCACTAGCAAATTTGGGCTATGACTACTCCGGAGCTCCCCTCTCCCAAGACCCACGTGACCAATTTTGGCAGTGAGCAAGTACTTACTATCATCTCCTCCGGCGATGGGCGTCAAAAGGTCAAAAGGTGCATGTGTGCGTTTGCAATGGATATCGTTGGTCTGAATCAATGCATGTCACCAACTTGGAAGGTTCTAAGTTCAATGATATGAAAACATAGGAGGGGAAGGTGAGCGCAACCACTCACAATAACTTAGGCGGGACCTTCCAAGTTAGTTGCAAGTTAGTTGCAGAACGTCAGTACTGTCGGTCCATTTTGTGCAATGTAAATCACATGAACTGATTGTCAAATATCTGGTGATGTTAGTGGACATAGTCTATAGCATAACTTGTACACGTACATGTAGTTCCTTGGTCCTTTTCTTTTCTATAAAATTTAATCATCAGTAATCATTGGCAGGCTCTCCATCCGAGTCCATCCTTGCATTAATTCTCTTTCTGCGTCTTTTCCTGCTATTTTGTGTGTTCTGTCTCGGTGCGCAGTCTAGTCTATCACTACTGCTGTGACTTGTCTCTATTTTGTTAGATGAAATGTGTTTTATGACTTATCTCTGAAGGAGAGTTGTGTACGTGTATCCGTCCGTATACACCGCCCGCTCTCCATATGCGTTTTTCCTTTTCTTTTTCTCTTTTTTTGAGAAAGACATACATGCACGTATGTACATGTACATCATAATTTTATACAAGTCATGATAGGGAGGTCAAAGCAGCTAGCTTTCTGTAGATCGAGTATTGCGTTCCCTCCCAAACAAGGTGTGCAATAGCATGCATAGGCGCACTTGCGTCTTGCGGTCGCGACTTGCGACTACCTACACCACCCTCGAGTACTCACGACATTGATGGCAAAGAGTTTAAAAAAAACATGCAAACTCGGAGTGTTATGGCTAAATAATAATTCATTTCAATGTCACTAGACAGCGGTTGCAGAGGAGCGAGCCCATGAAGCATTACGAGAGTCGGAAAAATAACAGTGTAGGAGTGTAGTGCCCTAGTTCACAGCTCCGTTATGGCACAGTACACTAAATGAGGAGAAATGAGCGGAAGTCTCTATACTGTGTTGCAGCTTTGTGGGAGAAGTTACTCAGCACATGGACATGCACATTGTACAATAGTTATTCTGAAAAGCCGCGCTGAAAATGATGATGGTTAGTCAGGTCTGTCGAGCCAGCAATAGACGAGAGCAGTGAGGTTATAGTTCTAAGCCAAGCACGTGTACTGGTATGGCAGCAGTTCATAAGCCTCCAAGGTCAATAGTCTATAGAACAAAACAGCAAGGTACTAGTGGGGAAATGAATCTTGCATCAGTGTAGTACCAGATCAGGGCATTGTGGTCCTTATACGATAACAGTGAAATACTGTTCGAACCACCACGCACACACACACACACTCACATACACATACACACACACACACACAAACATACACACACGCACACACAGCCACAAACACACACACACACATACACGCGCACGCGCGCACACACACACCCACACATGCCGGTACATGGACAAACACAAACACAGTCAGTCACACACACACACACAAACAAACACACAAACAAACACACACACACATACACGCACACATACGCACACACACACCATGTACCATACCATGTACCATGTATACGCCCGTGGCAAGAGAAGCACGCAAATCTTCAAATGCACACACCACACCACACCACACACACACACACACACACACACACACACACACACACACACACACACACACACACACACACACACACACACACACACACACACACACACACACAGGTAGTGTCAGTTGACCAACTTGGAGCCATGGGATTCTGAATCTCTCCGTGCTTTACTCGCCATAGTTGAACAGAGTCTCGAGAACTCCGCACTGTCCACTACCTGCTTGCATGCAGCAACAGTATGCTCTGTTCGTGCACTCCACCTTTCTTCCTGTCGAGAGACTAGCCTTGGCGGCGCCATACTGGTGCATTGGCTGGACAAACACATGACAAGGGAGACCCATGGAGAACTAATTTTAGAAAGGCAAATTCAGTTCTACCTTGCTTCATACACTGATGAGTCCACAATCAAAGGACGAAACAGTTCTGTCCGCAGATTGAGTACCTTGCTTTATACAAATTCAACGGTGGACAGTGGGCCTATGTCATGCAATGGGAGGCTTCCATTTTGGGGAGGCTCAGTGATCCGCGGACTAAAAATGGGGAGTCATAGCGATGAAGAGCGGGGGGGGGGGGGGGGGGGATCACCTGGAGCAGACCAACATGTACACAGACTGACAATCCAAACTGACCACAGTCACGAAAACAATGACAACCATGCAGACAGACTGACAAACCAGACTGCATGTCAAGCAAAAGAGTGAACCGTGATAGTCCTGCTGTTCGTATCCGGGCACCTTGGCCCTGGCGTAAGTCTTCTGGCTCTTGAAGTCAACTCAGTGGTCTGATGATCATACTGAACGCAGTGGTCCAGTTTGTCCCGAGTACTAGTATTCTATTGATTGTCCGAAGGTCATGCTGTTAATTACCTGCTAGGCGTCAAACTGATTGTGTGGGAACTATTGTGCTTAGCCGTTAGGAAATGTGTGTATCAAAGTCCTCTCCTTCCTGCACGTGATCTGATCTGTGGTAATTGTTCTGCGGAGAAGGAATGGAGAAGTGTAAGTAGCGAGTGCGATTGTTGGTTGCATACACGTTCTCATTGTCCTGTGTCGCACTCAGCCTCAGTGGCTCTTAGTCTTAGACGAATTCTTGGGCATCACAATGAAGAGTCACAGCTTGCTCTTTTCTCAAGAAATTAGTATTATGGGCTCCGCGAGTATCCAGTCAGAGCCAAAACGACTGATCGGTGTATGTATTGCTACCTGCATAGTGCTGTGTGGTGCTGATGCAGTAGCTCCCGCTGTGTGAACTACGCTGAGCTATTACCGAGAGTCTCCACTCCACCACGAATCGTACATGCCACATTCACAAACGTGATTCCTCATAAAAGCTGTAGACATCTTGCGTGATTTCGCACCCGTGAAGAGGTGATTTAATACCACTTTTCTTTCAGAATGCGCTAACACACATGCTGCTAAGAATCTCTCCCTAGACTGTCACTTCGCCACTATCAGGTTTGGACTATCAAGCTGAATATCTCACCGCATTGCTGCTTGCACTCCATATTACCGAACACCACATCGGAGTGTTCTATAGTAACTGTTGTAGCGTCCGACAGAAGTTCAGCTTTCTGATAAAGTATGTTATAAGCTACCCACTATTTCCATGATGCCAGTTTTTCCAATATTATCTGCCATGACTGCGTGCAGGCACAGACATCGCATATGCACGTTTAGTAGTTAATTATGTACGTGGGTAAAACCTATATTCTCCTAAAGTTAGTTCCCATGTGGGAACATAATAGTGGAAATGAAATGATAGTCACATAGGTCGTCGTCTTCCTTACCCCTTGCTTGAACTCCACGGCAGCAGCTCGTTCGGCGGGTACCCTCGCGCCGAGCTCGCAGCAGCTGCGCTTCAGCTCCATGGCCATACTGCTGCCGGCGAATTCGAAATGCTCCGTCTGCGTCTGCGGCTGAGCGGCAGGCTCGGCTTCGTGCTCCGACTCGCCGGGCGAGGATTCCATCTGCATCGTCATAGTCACATGCTTGTTAGCCAGACAGTTCTCGTAAGCTTTCATATCCGTGTCTCCGCTACCACTACCACCGGAAGAGTCTGCTGCCGCATCGTGACTTGCCCAGGACGTGTTGGGGAGCAGCACAAGAAGAAGGAGAACCGTCATGAGAGATAGAGAAGACGCCATTATTGCGGAGACTGGATCTCGGGAGAACAACGGAGAGAGAGAGTGAGTTTGGAGACGAGAGGAAGACGAACTGCAGGTTAGTGGTGCTGAACGTTGGGGTTTTGTTCGCTCGTCACGTACATACTCTGCATGGTTAGTATCTCAGAGTGGAGTAGCTAGGTGTCTTCTGTATGTTGTCATTATACATCCTCACACTCACAGGCTGTGCCCGTGGCTGTGCGCCAGATAGCTGGTGCACTTGATAAGAGAGGGAGGCCCCATGACTGATGACCCGTGGACCTGGTCACGTGAATCCTCTCCAGCTCCACCGCTGTGTAGCCGTGTGCTGATGAAGCCCTGGTGGCCATGGGAGCATTGTTCATTGCTGCATGCTGTGCGTGTCGCGTGCCTTGCCTGAGCGACAGATGTGTCTCTCCTAGGCCAGGGTATCGTCCATCTATCCACGGCCACCAGGTCATCGATCCCAGTGGGAAGCTGACATGATTTCGGCCATCTTTCGGGTGGTCTCTTTGTAGTCCACGACTTCGTGTGACACTACTAGTCCGCGCTAGCTAAGTCAGTAATACTAGTTAGTAAGTATGTCCTTAGTCGTTGGGACTATGCCCGTGTCGTGAGCATCACAGCCGCACAGCCGCAGCAGACACAAGGCCGGCGTAGCACCAATGGCATAGCTATCACACTCACAGGGAGTAGATCTACGGCCAGTATTACAGCTACAGTGTAGTTGGGTGACGGTACCTCTGCGGTTAGTGACACGCGGCTTCTGGAGCGTCCGATCCCTAGTACCATTGAGTACAGACAGTGCACTGACAGTACACTGACAGTATGCATGCCAATGTGTGGGGATGGCGGAGCACCACACTCTGCCATAGCCTCAGCATCACTCTCGAGTCTCTGTCACTTTGTCTTTCTACTGGCAATATTGAAATCTTGCCTTCATAGCTTGACCTGTGGCGCGGGGTCAGTGAACCCAGTGCTGCATGCACCGACGCATGACCGAACGCCCTACGGCCGGCCGGCTACCAACGGCTACGCCTTGGGCCGTGACGCCAAACGTCAAAAGGACGTGCCCGTCCTTGAGTCAGTGCCAGACATCCGATTCATGTACTGACTCTGTCCGTGCATGATGTAGAGCGGCTGCAAGTCGCATGTCACCTGCCCTGTTCCACACTTGTTTCGGAAACATTGCTTTTTACTACAACCTCCACCGTTGGCAGAGCCCCGGTCTTGACCATTTGAACCGTATAGGGGTTAGCCCTGGTTCTGGCCCCTCATTGACATAATGTCGTTGTACTCTACTAGTCTAGGGAGTTGTTGAGTCTTCTTGTTTTGTTTCGTACTGTCAATTGTGTATTCCTTGCTCATTCTGCATAGTATCAGTAACGGTGTTTGTACCATTGTAGGATTTGTTAGTTGCACTAAGTTGATTAAGTATCAAGACAAAAATGGAGGTAGCGACTTCAGCGGTAATACACAATCTGAAGTACAGTATCAAGAGTATACTGTTGTACTGACGGAGACTCCCTCGATTTAGGCTAAGGCCTGTGGAGAATCCATACATACAAATACAATACTCCAATGGATACATTCCCATTCCCTAGGAACATAGTCCACTGTTGCTAGTGAGCGAGGCTATCCTTTAGCTGAGTATCCCCACTACACTAGCCGTCTGTGTTGCATGCCATTTTCGGTGTACTGTAGTTTCGGTAAATTCGGTAGAGAAACCAGGCACCTTGAATTAGATAATGGCTAAATGGCATTATAACAAGCACTGAATGTGAAGGAAGACGCTACATAACACTTAATTTAAACGAAAGTCCCTCGGGCGTGTGGCACCAACAGTTCAGTATATGTACGAGATAATAACATGTGGTACAACAGTGATTAATCCTAAATGAAGTTGGTTGCTCCTTCGTGGAACATACACTTCCTGCCGAACTTGCCACTCGACTGACTCATGACTGCTGCAACACCAGCAGCAGCAGCAGCAGCAGCAGCAGAGCGTGGTGCTTACTTGCAAGTTTACCAAGTGGAAGGTGCGACGGGCTCCTGGTGTGCTCCGGATGGCAGTCGTGAGTCAGTCAAGTATCAAGTTCGGCAGGAAGTATGATTGTGCTTCACGAAGGAGGAACCAACTTCATTTACGAATACATGTACCGCTGAAATTGCTTCTAGCTTTTACTTGGCTAATCCTAGGCCATACCGTAATAGTTACAATAGACTAGTAATGCACTTCATCTGCGGGCAGAACTGTCTCGTTCTTTGGGGATATCCATAGTAGTGACATGTAGTGACATAATTGTCATCACGACAGGTGTCATGGTTGTACAGCTATGCATGCCGGTATGCCGGTCCAGCTGCTGTACTGGGCTTCGTAATGACTGATCAGGTACACGACTGTACAGCATTTGACGCATCACAGGAGACCTGGTCGTGTCCTGTGACGGCAAGGTGCGCGAAACACTGGACTAGAGTCGACAGCCTTCTTTTTTAGGTTAGCGAAAGTGTTCCAGACTTTTCGCCTTTGCTGAGTCGCAGTGAGTCGTACGCAGAGGTCTTGTCATCAAGTCCAAGTTGAAGACACCTTTCTAACCTAAACACTGTTAGTACCTAGCGGCCTGAACAGAGATATTAGTAGTTTAGTCAGGGTGGTGCAGCTTGGACACGGCTCTGAAGTGTTGTCAAGGGGGCCGTGAACGTCACGTCACTCCCTGACCACACTCCAGACCCGTGTCCGAACTGCTCCATCACCCTGAATGAACTGACTCTCTGCAGATCTCGAGTTACTGTATTCCATTTTAGTATGCTCCTTTCCAAAGGGGTTGTTTCGTCCGATCTTTTCTCATCCCACACGAGTCTTGAACGGCAAGAACTCCTTGCATGTGGCTGGATGATGCTTCGTCCCTACATCCTTTCCGGTATTATTACACACAGCATGTGTCGTGGCGTGGCGCAATGCTTCACTGGACAACGGATTCACACAACTACAATTGCAATAACAGGATCAACAAGGTAACTCGTCACTAGGACTCTGATGTCGTGCGGTCGGTCTACCACCATAACTTCTTCATTTTACTCCCTATTGAAGTGCCAATGGTGACAATTCGGAGATACAGTACTAAAACATGCATGGCTACGTCTTAGGCCGTGATAAAGTGGCAGCAGTGGAGTCTCCGTTGAGGAACTGCACGACAATGTTTCAATCTTCACACACGACTAAATGGACACAATCATAATGAGACCGACCATACCACCATGCAAGCAGTTTTAATTCAGTGTCACGGGACAGGCATCATTCTGCTCACGTGTAAAAAAAGGTAAAGTTCGGACATCCACGTTACCACTGGCTTATGTGTTGAGAAACACAACCAGCTTTGGAAGTTTCGCTCATGCCAGCCCACATAACCACCATGTCTGATAATACCACGGGTAGTAAGCGTAAGTTCGGGGACGCGCCACCACGCTCAAGACTAATACTAAAGTAATAGACATTGCTTTCCAAGAAACTCGGGAAATTGGGAAAGAAGCCGGGAGAAACCATGTAGTCAGTACGCGTGCATGGTGCTATTGGTGATTCGTGGTTTTGCAGTCACAAACACGACGTCACCTACTACCATTGATACGAACAGCGTGGCAATAGCATATGCGTCAATCCATCAGAGCTGATAACGAGTCCTCTGGCCGGTTGTCTTGCATGCACTGGAATGCTTTTCTTCAGCCGTGGTTGGATATATTATATAAAAACCCTGCAATCGCCACGCATCGCCATGTATTGCTTGGAATATAACTAAAACTATAGTACACATCGCCACATATCTTACACAGTATAACACACTCTCGACCCCGTGTCTTGAAAACTCCATGCCCATGTGGTTACTGTGACAAAGAGTACTGTTCCTGACATAATTATGTGTTGTGCCCAATGCATGTACCCCAGCCATGTGTTGCTTGGAATAAAATAAAAATAAATGCATGTACATGTACTTACTCACACTGTTATCCACACTGATAGTGATAATCACACAACAGTTGTTAAAACCACCACCCGCACTAGCACTGCTAACTGAACTCACACAACACACACAAACAACAAACCACAGTGCATCACTCCTATCCGTGTACATCAGGTACGTGTAGATCACAGTTAACCACAGTGTTGTTCACACTGCAGCTAACAAACACCGTTATTTACATTCTTATTCACAGTCACAGTCACGATTCAGCGATGGCGATAGAATAGAAGAGCGGAAGATCATCTCGTAGCTCCATATCGTAGATCCATATCTCTCCTGGCATAAATACCGGCATGGCCTATAGCATCCTCATGTCGCCTGATGATTGCCTAAGCATGAAACTCTGAGTAGCAGCAAACAAGCCTCGATTGTCCTTGTTGTTCTGTATTACGCTCTGCCTCCGCAGTGTTGAGCACTGTCAGCACACTACGTGCATCCTCAGGTGATCCCGTAGCCTTAACTCCATTTTCTGAAACACAGGAAAATGTCGAAGTCCATTCCCGCGTTCACATAGCATTTCTCAACAGATAAGGAGTTGTCTGACTCCAGTGAACGACTGTTTCAGAGAATCAATGTCTTCCATAGGCTGGTAACCAATTGGTTACTTGGACTGGAGTCGTATCGCTGGTGCGGGGACCCAGAGCGGCTGGAGCGCTACCACAGTGGCGAAGAGTGCGGAATTCGGTCGGACGAGCTGCCTAGGCCTCACCACCACTGCCGTTTCTGTGCTGCCTTCTCTATACATGGTATGTACACTGCATATGTGCACATTCACATGTCTGAAGGTTTGTGGTTTTCATTAAAAAATAAAAAATAAATACTTCAGTAGGGATGAACACACCCGTGCTGGGGATAATGTTCGAACTAAGCAAGCGTGTGCCTCATCCGAGCGTTCCACTGTAATCTCTTCGCATGATCACAGTTATTGGCCCAGAAAACACGGCGCTGTGGAGTTTACGGGTTGCAAGTGGTTGGTTTGCAGATCATGAACACTGAAGGAGCATTTGCCCGTGCAGTGGCACATGCGCCTGCCCCGTGATGGCATCCGCGCAGGATTTGACTGGTGTCCTACGGAATGCAGCTGAGGAAAGGACGGAAGACTGGGCGCAGGCCAAGGAGATGGTGCGTGTTCAAGACGACCTGCATGCTTGCGATGGCCCGGGATGTGATGAGCAATTCGAACGCAGGCAGCACTTCTTCCTCGCCCACAGAAGCCGTTACGCTGATAACACGACAGTTCCCGACTATGAAAAGTTGGCTATCAAACTGCGAGTCAGTCAGAACAACCAACCGAATCGCTAGTTGGGACAAGACGAGACTAAAGCCGAAAGGAGCATTTGCCCGCAGACGTTCCGGAGAGAATGATGTTCAAGTAGACCACCATCGGAGGTTGCTCTTCCATTACTTGTAGCAGCCCCACAGATAGCTGCGGACTGAGACGTGCAAGCACTCTCCGAGTCTGCTCACGGCAGGGACTTGGCAGGCATCGCACGGCTGCAGGGGATACGAGCATCGAGTCAACATGGAGAAGCAAAGTAGCGTCACGGGCAGCGAGCTACAAAGGTAAGTAACCACACTGGATGGCCCAGGACACCATTCTCTCACTGATGCCTAGTGAGAATGTATCGAAAGGAAGAGGAAAGAGCAATCTTTGCTAATTGCAATTGTTCGAGCTACCACATGTACATCTTCCCCCTCTAACTAAAGTCCATCCCATTCGATACTCACGTAACACTAAGAGATTCTTTAGGCCATAGGCAAACAGCTAGACCTTCATTTCGGAGTACAGGTAAATTATAATGTGTTTGGGTGCCAACTATTTCTTGGTCTTAACGATATGGAGTGTAGGTTTTAGCAGCCACTCGGTGACTTTGGTGTCTGGATGCGTGCGTGTGTGTGTGTGTGTGTGTGTGTGTGTGTGTGTTCGTGTGTACGTGTCTGTGCGCGACCACACTCTGTTTCAACAGTGGCTTCAGCTTCTATGGCATGTCCTCGGACAAGAGCGGCTCCGCGTACTATCGACGACCGGGAACTATCAAGGATCGTGTCACCGCAGTGGTCCGCAGTACTTGCAATGCGGTGAAACGATTCCGCAAGTTGCGTGCTATTAACAAAAACCTAGCGCAGCACACACCAGAGAACGAGGAGCACGAAAATGTCTGGCACGATGAACTGGATATAGGGGAAATAGAACAGCAAACCTTGTAAGTATGGTACATAGTGCACCGGTCCCGCAGTCGCACATCTGACTGCAAAATCCCCACGACGCAGCTCACCAGATCAAGATGTGGGTCCTCTGCTCTCACTGACTCAGTAGAGTCAGGTCGATCCAGCTGCAACTCCCGGTGCCGAAAGGCGGGCTCACGCTTCTACATGGCTACTTCCCCTTGTCTAACCCCAAGACGAAAATGATAGTAGCCGACTGGCCGAAGGTACTTCAAAAGTATTAAAAAAATAGAGCACCGGTCTACTGGTTTAGCAGGTGATATGATGGAGAGATCACAACCCACATCCCATCGCCACCGCTGCCTTGCCTTGCAACCCCATTCAGTCAATGTCTTGTTAGTCTGTTGTTTTTCGTCATTTCCTCCTTCTTTCTTGTTTTACGAATTGGATGCGTGGCTTCAAGTAAAAAAAACTATAAAACAAACGCAAAACAAAAGAGCAACATGCACTGATCCAGCAGCTCCTGGAGAGATACAGTAAAACCTGTCGAGGCGACCACTCGGATAAGGCGACCACCTGTCCCAGAAGACCACAGAAACCAGGATCGAGGGATTCTATTTCCAATCAACTGATGACCCTGGGTAAGGAGACCACCTGGTAGCAGAGACCACATTTTGAAGGTCCCTAGCTTGAGCGGTCGTCTTGGACAAGTTTCACTGTAGTTGTACTTGTAGGCGTAGTTGCTCACTGCATGCTGTGTGCTGTGTGCTGTGTGCTGTGTGCCGCATGCTGTGTGCGCATGATGCCCAAGTGAGGCCAGTGTCCGGAACACGGGCGTATTGATCAAAGCTGGAGTGTAATTATCATGATACGAAGTACCTCGGACACTTTGCCGACCCTTAGTCTAAAGACACTTTCCTGCTACCGATGGTGGTGGTGGTGGTGGTGGTGGTGGTGGTGGTGGTGGTGGTGGTGGTGGTGGTGGTGGTGGTGGTGGTGGTGGTGGTGGTGGTGGTGGTGGTGGTGGTGGTGGTGGTGGTGGTGGTGGTGGTGGTGGTGGTGGTGGTGGTGGTGGTGGTGGTGGTGGTGGTGGTGGTGGTGGTGGTGGTGGTGGTGGTGGTGGTGGTGGTGGTGGTGGTGGTGGTGGTGGTGGTGGTGGTGGTGGTGGTGGTGGTGGTGGTGGTGGTGGTGGTGGTGGTGGTGGTGGTGGTGGTGGTGGTGGTGGTGGTGGTGGTGGTGGTGGTGGTGGTGGTGGTGGTGGTGGTGGTGGTGGTGGTGGTGGTGGTGGTGGTGGTGGTGGTGGTGGTGGTGGTGGTGGTGGTGGTGGTGGTGGTGGTGGTGGTGGTGGTGGTGGTGGTGGTGGTGGTGGTGGTGGTGGTGGTGGTGGTGGTGGTGGTGGTGGTGGTGGTGGTGGTGGTGGTGGTGGTGGTGGTGGTGGTGGTGGTGGTGGTGGTGGTGGTGGTGGTGGTGGTGGTGGTGGTGGTGGTGGTGGTGGTGGTGGTGGTGGTGGTGGTGGTGGTGGTGGTGGTGGTGGTGGTGGTGGTGGTGATGGTGGTGATGGTGGTGATGGTGGTGATGGTGGTGATGGTGGTGATGGTGGTGATGGTGGTGATGGTGGTGATGGTGGTGATGGTGGTGGTGGTGGTGGTGGTGGTGGTGGTGGAGGAGTTTCAGAGCTATTCTACTGCATTCGTCCAGTCGTGCGTCAGTTTCTTGGAATCCCTCCGCCATTAGTGCATAACTGCATCGCAAAGCTAAGAATTATTCTTTCTGAAGAAGACTAGCAGGATCGAAATGGTCAATGTATTCGTAAATCAGTTCCGTCTCTAGCTCTCTGCAGAATGGTCCAATTACTTCGAAGTACTCTCTTCGTATCTGTCTGTCTGTCTGTCTGCCAACACGCCTCCTAACACATTAACAATACATGTCTGTCTGCCTGTGTTCCCCTCTCTGCCATGTGCGGTGTGTCTCGACCATTTGTACAGTGTCTCGCAGAGTCAGCTGTTCAAAGTTGCGTCCAGCAATCTCCTTGAGGACCTCGAGGCACTTGTTCAGGAAGCTGAGTGCCAGGATGGAAGTGACGCTGACAGTTCTGCGGGGTGTCTGGGACGGCGGAACATCGCCGACTGTCTGCAGCAACGCAGTCCCAACGGTGCTACCGCCCTGCACCTGGCTGTCATGTACAATAGTCGCGAGGTTATGCTCCGGTTGATCGAGCTCTGCCCGAAACTGGTGAACATTGCGCAGAAAGGATTGACAACGTCCATGTATGATGGTAGGTAATGGGCGACTGGCGAGTAGAGTGACTGAGATCAAGGTTAAATAATTTTGTCCTTCACTGTATCGTCCTCGGGAATGTTGTGTTTTGTGTCTCGCACCCTGTCCCTGGCCTCACCCTCAGTGGTATGGGGAACGCTTCTTGCACGATCATCCTGTCGTATGAGAACGAGCTATTTCACCCTCACCCTGCGAAACCTTGGTTGTTTCTAAATTCTACCACTTCAATACTAGTAAAAAAAAGGTCGATTAGTACTAGTAGTAGTAGTCGGATTTAATTAGAAGGATTGACCAAAGCCTATGGGAGCCTATGAAGGGGTTTTCCCGTGTCATCGCATCATGAGTACGGCACCATCCACCAGGCTGTAGCCTGTAGCCGTGTAGGCTGTACATGTAGCCTCTCCTTACACAATACATGCGCCATGACGGTCAGTGCCACCATGCCGTGTCATACAGGCGCTACAAAAAGTCAAAATGCTTCGAAGACAGCCTCCAGTTATTTTTCTTTCCGATTTTCTTGTTGTTCAACCGGCGTTGCTCGCATGAGCCGCGATGTCGTGGCTCAAAGGCCCTTCATGCAATGCCGGCAATGCACTAACTACTTGTAGATAATGTCAGCTAGTGTGGGCTGGAAAGGGCTTGAGTGGCCGTCACGAAGGCGACTCAGTCGCGTCCTGTCCCTGGTCTCTCTTTGAGGTTGGAGCGTTGTGACAGTTTTTAATTCCTTCAAGGCTTCCGAACGACCGAAGACGGAACCATTATGGGCGTGTTACAAAGTGCTTCAAAGGTAATACTAATACTTGTGCCATTGGCATTGAATATTTTTCCTGTGCTCACCACGAACCAGAATTATTGTCTTCTGCTCTGAAAGCAGCGCGCTGTTTGTTGTGCCTTTCCGTGTCCTGTGTTTAGGCCAACACTGCCTTCATCTTGCTGTCGCTAATCGCAATTTCACTCTGGTCAAAGACCTTGTGGAGCACGGCGCACGCTTCGACCACACCGTGCGCGCCGTGGGCGAGTTCTTTCAGCCGCGCATCAGTTCCGGCGCGCCGCTGTACTGGGGCGAGCATGTGCTGGCGTTCGCAGCGTGCACTGGCCAGAAGAACGTGGTGAAGTATCTGGTTGAGCGCGGTGCTGACCTGACTGTTCAAGACACAGAGGTAAGGGCTGAGCATTGCTCCCAGGGGCGTACGCCGCTCGCCTCCAGGAGTGGTTCCCATGCCAACTGATGAACCAACATTCCACACAATTGTATCCCACGGAGTTTCTGCTTATTCTCCTCAGACTGGGTGAAATTTTCATCAACAAGCTGCTAAACAATGTCATTGCTACGCATTTTTGATTTTAAAAGACTGAACTTTTCCCCGTTTTAAGGATGTTTTGTTCAGCATGACGATTGCGTGCAGTCTTGAAAGCTGCCTAAGTTTCGAATCATCTGGAGCAAACATCACACAGGGCAAGCAGAGGCCACCATTGCACGCCGGTCAAAAGACTACCCAAGGTAACTCCTGTAACAAGGACAGTTGAAAGTGGCGCTGTTTGCCATCCATCTGGACACGCACAGGAAATGAAATCCTTCGCCTTCGGTGGGGCACAATGATTGTCGGTGACGCCGGAAATCTTTTCCGTGTCCGGCAAATGTCGGGGGACTGGATTCCACTGTGGACGTCGACTTTCAGAATATTCCTTGGAACACATATCCCTTCCAACGCACTCCCATGTCACTGAAGTAACAACGGTCGCTCTACAGCTTCCTCAGCGCTGCTCGATGCATGCAGCCTTCGCTTGCAAGTCAGGTGCGTCTCCATTCTCATCTATCTCTTGACCTTCGCCACTAGCACTGGCTACACGCTTTGCCTGCTGCTCAAAATAGCTCTGAATAGAGCGCTGGCCCTCTGGATGTCGATGCTTCATTTTTCTTTTCCACAAAGCGAAAGCATCGTCCAAAACACGACGAACTAACGTTACTTCGTCAAAACAAACTGCAAAGGAAATTTGACTCTGAGATCGAGGAATCCGGCGATGTAGAGACTTTGTTGAACCCAGTCCAGTACACCACTGGTACACTGTGTCCCAGCACCGCTTTCACACCTGGGCTAGTCACAGTCCTCGGACCGTCAGCATGGTCAGGCGCGGACTCCAGGCGCTAGGCACGCACTTGCACTGCGAGCGCTGGGCCTGAAAAGGCTGGATGCAAAAACATTCTGTACCAATATCGAATTTTTTTTACTGGTTCCCGGGCATCCCGGGAACCGCCCTATGTACGCCCCTGGCTCCTGTAGACTACATGCACTGTAAAACCTGAAAGTCTAACGAGTCGCGGAGTCTAACGTTTTAACGACCAATTTTCTTCGTTATTTGAAGAAACGTTATCGCGAACCCCGTTCAAGATGTCTGTGTAAAGATGCGCATACATCGATGCATGGTCTGGGCGGCCAGGTAGCCAGCGTTTAACTTTCTGCTTGTTATCATGCCAAAATTATAAAAAACTTTTTGGTCGTTAAACTTTCCGGTTTTTCTCCAATCTGGACTGGCATCCTCTATTCTTTCCAGCAAGATTCCGCAAGGAACGATAATGCCGGCATATCTAGTCTGTCTCCGGTTGGCCCTTTCCAAAACGAGGATCTAGAATGCGTCTACAATGAACTGGTTCATCCAGGTTTGAAGAGTCGATCACATGCCGTACAAGCAAGCGCACACTTGCACTCATGCAGTTTTATCCCTAGTCTTCTGGAAAGCAGTGGCGGATCCAGGGGGGGTTCCGGGGGTTCCATGGAACCCCCTAAATTTTGCAAAGTGACCGAGAAATATCGAAAAATATCATGTGTGCACAAAAGGACGTCCGTCCGATCACAGTCAGTGCAGTCACTGATATACATGATTATGATCATATGAGTCAAGGAGCACAGACTGTCAGTCAGTGCACTGCATGCGCGTGCGGTAGATCAATACTGTACGGATAGTAGTCTGTACTGGTGTTCACGTCCGTGATTTACAATCAGACACTGTAGACAACATTGGGTGGTTGTTTCCTTTTTGATCTTTCGAAACAATCCAAACTTACCTCCATTGGCGCTGTCATTCACAGCTGCTCAGGATGGGTGTGGTGTGGTCAGTATTCCTCGGACAAGTTTTTTTGCAGAAGAGAAAGGATGTTCCGAGTACTGACACTCTTCAACGAACTTCGAACCGTACACGTAGAGTTCAAGCTCCTCAGAATATAATAATCTTTATTTCAGGATTACCCAAAGGCTGACGCCTATCAAGATGAGGGCTCCGACATCCAAGCAAAGTCAGTAATCTCTACCTGCTGCAGCATGCAGTAGTGACTAGTTGTTCCTCCGCAGGAACGGAGTGCTGCGCCAGATGTGTTTCAGATGACATTGGAAGGACTGTACAATTGTCGACACTGTTCTGCTATTGTTGTTTCTGTCACTGAAGTGAAGACGATGCTCTTGTCCTGTGACTATAGAGCATTTCGCATCGTAAAAATGCCAAAGGTTTCCGAAAGCACAAATGGACAGGGAAAGTAACTTAGTTGTCATTTCGGCATTCCTGGCTCTCAACGTACCCATGGCTTGCATATTCGATCTTTACAAGAAGTTGAAAGGGTCTTCCGTACTAAATAATATACAATGTAGGGTAAGCAGCAGCATTTGGCCCTGTACAGGTTTTCCATCGTCCACCACACCACAACTGCGCTCCGACTCAGTCTCCAGCGATGGTGGAGTGGTGGTGTGCTGTGGCAACGTGTCGAGGCCGGCTGGAGAGCGCAGTTGTGGCGTGGTCGATGATGGAAAACTATAACAATATTATGTCCGTAGTGTGTTTTAAAAGCATGCGATTCCCACGAACACAATCGGATTGTCGTTATTTTACAAGTGCAAGTGTCAACCGCACATCTGATTCCATAATATTTTGGCTGTTCAATTTTGGTTCAACCAGAACCCCCCTGTAGAGATCTCTGGATCCGCCCCTGGAAAGTGTCCTTTACTGAGTATCGGGTGAAATGGTATGTGGCAGCACTGCACTGGACGGGTACATAGGGAAGTTTGGCTCATCCTCTAACACTCTGTGTTATCGGTGCATTCTCTCTCTCTCTCTCTCTCTCTCTCTCTCTCTCTCTCTCTCTCTCTCTCTCTCTATCTCTCTCTCTCTCTCTCTATCTCTCTCTCGCTCACTCACTCTCGCTCACTCACTCTCACTCACTCTCGCTCACTCTCTCTCACTCTCTCTCTCACACACACACACACACACACACACACACACACACACACACACACACGCACACACACACTCTCTCTCTCTCTCTCTCTCTCTATCTATCTATCTCTATCTCTCTCTATCTCTCTCTCGCTCACTCACTCTCGCTCACTCTCTCTCTCTCACTCTCACACACACACACACACACACACACACACACACACACACACACACACACACGCACACACACTCTCTCTCTCTCTCTCTCACTCTCTCTCTCTCATTCTCACTGGTTCACTTTCTACTCTTTCTACTCTCACTCTCATTCTCACATACACACACACACACGCACTCTCCCCATGCAGAAGAACAATGTCATTCACCTGTTATGCCAAGTGGCTGCTACGGAGGAGGCAGGAAGGGTGAAGGCTGACATGCTCTGCTACATCCTGGAGCTGGCGGAATCGGAAGATCAAAAGGTATGTACAGAGTTACACACGGTACACCCAGTGTGACCATGGTCGTAACACTTTTCGTCGAGGCTGGTCCACCACATTCATCCAACAAGCTATAGAAGAGCGTTGAAACGTGTCCTGCTGGCCGAAAAGCCGACCCTCCCGGTTTACACCCGTACCCCTGGTGGTACCACTCCCCCACTGCCCTGTAACAACCCTGATGCATGGATGTGGTTGTGGGACACATGCACGGTGTAGTTCTGCGGGAATGGGCACTGTTTAGTCGTTATATCTGTGTACGGAGTGATTGGCATGTCACATGTACGTATACAGTCGTAGTGTCCACGTCTAAGTACGTGCTGTGGCATTCCTTGGCCATCCCAGACATTCATGATAGTGGTACATTGTGATATGTTATGCATCTAGCATGTGCTGCCGTTTCCCCCGCGCGCAAGAAACAGACTTCGCGGCTTTTAGTTGCTGTGCATGAGTTGAGTCTGGACTCTTGTTGTTTTGGACTGGAGAAATAAAGAATACGACAAAAGTGTAAGGAGACAGCCACAGCCAGATCTGTCTTGTGTCACATTTCCAGCGCTTCACCTGAGCCCAGTAAAGCCACTGGCTATTATATTCATTGTCGCCAATGAATTGCAGACTAGCCACCAAAATGTGTCTCTAAAATGGGTCTCCATCTCTGCTGCCTGCTAGATCCTACTAAACACCAAGAACCGCTATGGCTGGACACCGCTCAAGATGGCTGCTTACCAAGGCTCTGTGGAGGTGGGCAAACTGAACTGAACTGAGCACGTATATTGGTATACAGTAAAATCTGTGACTAACGACCACCCCTTGCGGCTAGAGAAAGCGGTCTTTAGTGGCAGGTGGTCCTTAGTTAGAGGTTTGCACCACACAACCTTATATGAATGTGAGACCGTCCGTGCCTGGCAAAGTGATCTGTAGTACCAGGCTGGTCACTAGTCATGGTGGCCTTTAGTTACAGGTTTTATTGTATATGCAATGATCGTTATGTGTACGGTTGCGTCTAACTGTTTCTTGTTTCAATGTGCAAGACCAGCTAAGAGCGGCACCCGTCTACTCCTGCTCAGCGAATTGCCCCCCCCCCCCCCCCCGTCCTTCCCGCTTCTCCCCCGATCAAAGCAAGGTCGATCGATTCACAGCGGGCCTCCTGGGGCCTGACTCTTTTCACGCAGGAAGATTAGACCTGAATTTTGCGTGTATTTTGTTTGTGCAACACATTTATTGTATTTTTTTACAATTTGCAGGCATTCCAAGTGCTGGTTGACTTCAAGAAGAGTGTACACTGGACGTATGGACCACTGACTTCCTGTGTGTATGCACTGGATGAGCTTGACACATACAATGATGACACCTCCGTGCTAGATATGATCATACAGAGTCCGTCCAAGATGGTAATGCGCTTTCAACTCCGTGTGTGTGTGTGTGTGTATGTGTGTGCGCGTGTAAGTGTGTGCCTGTATGTATGTGGGGGGGGGGGGGCATGCTATAAAACATGCAGGCGCTTCGTATACTCCAGTGCCCTGGGAGATTGACTTTGCCACCATTGTCCTCCCTACGTGGGAGCTTGCGCTTTTCCTGCCGACTTGAGTTCTCACTTGACTGACTCACAACTGCCATCCACAGCACACGAGAAGTCCACCGAACATTCTACTCGTGCTTTGGGACTGCCTGAGGAACTTGGAATAGAAGAAACCTAGAAGCAGTCCCAATTGTCCTACATGTATATTCTTCATTATGCGTACCGGTATGTCTTTGTGCTCCACCCACCAAGCACATCACAGAACAGCACAGAGTAGCATAGACAGTGGCTGGCAATGGAGTTATTAATTTGTTTTTTTGTTTGCTCGTTTGTTTCAGCGCTACAAGTTGATCCAGATGACGCCAATCCGTCAATTGCTGACGGAGAAGTGGAGAGACTTTATTCGCCTGTACTTTGTGCTCTGGGCTGTTGCTTACCTTTGCATGCTGGTGATTCTCACTGCTGTAAGTAATAATGTATATATCATAATTATAGTGGGATTCATATAATTATGGTTGTGCGGTGCAAACCTCTAACTAAAGACCACCTGCCACTACCGCTACCGCTTTTTGCTGGCACCAAGGGGTGGTCGTTAGTCACAGGTTTTACTGTACCGTGTTTTCCGGAGTCTAAAGCCGCACTTAAGACTCCAGTAACTCACCCAAAAAAAGTCTTATACAGTCAGACTTCGCTTATCCGGTCCTCGTTTATCCGGATCCCTCGCCATCCGGAAGAAAAAAGCTGGTTACATATTTACAGCATACGTGATGCATCCAACATAAACGGTGTTCGGTTATCCGGTTCCCTCGCCTATCCGGATATTTTTTTGGAAAACGGATGTGTGCGGTTAAGCGAGGTCTGACTGTACTACGATGGTTAAATTACCGGTGGTAAACAGGGTAGATGTCTGTATTTTGTGACAGAAAGGTCTGGGTGTGGCTTATAGTCCAGTGCGGCGTATTGTCTGGAAAGTTCGGTAGTATCCAGGAGAGAAAGAATGATGCGGCTAGCTACCCATGTACACATGTTTTACGCTGTGTTCAACTGTTGCGGATACGAGGGATGATTTGAACGCTGTACGGAGGAAGTTATTCGCACTGTCTGTTCGAACTCTTGTTGCTAGGATCTTGATGATGAATACTATACTGCAAACGTCACTGCAGCTATGCGTATGTTTGCAAAGACACGAATGGCTTTTGATATGGGTGTGTTTTACTATAACAAATGAGAAATTTCATATTCCCCGAGTCAAAATATCTTGCCAGGTGCTTGTCTGGTTCGCATAAAACCATAATCGGAACTTGATAATTGTCCTTGCGGTCCTTCACTCACCGTCTATTACTGTAAGGATTCGAGTGAATTAGTTTTCTGAATGCGCACCTTGTGTTTGATCCCAGGTTGTGTGGCATCGTCCACTGAAGCAACCAAAGTGCTATGGCTACGCAGAAGGCATTTCGACTAATGGCACCACGGTATCAACGTTGGTAGACTGTACTAGGTCCTTGAGACGTAGCATATACGTAAGTTTCCTGCTGCACTAGGTCCTTGAGATGCAGCATATACGTGAGTTTCCTGCTGGTGCAAAGCTGATCAAAGTGTCTAGGTGCACCAACTGGTGCATAGACTCACCGCACTCACGTTGTGAATACAATGCATGCAACTACGTGTCCCGAATTCTGCTGGCCTCAGTCAGTGCATGCAGCAGTGCTGAAGTATATTTCAGTCTCTTTTTCCACTGATATGAACTTTGACCGCACACAACCGCAACAAGTCCTTGTTCCTTTTCATTACAAGAGATAGACTACAGAGGAGTTATACCTTTCTCTCTTCCACGGTAATGTAAAGCGCGCTGTAAGACTGTCTCTACACTCTTTGTCCTTCAGCATGGATTTATCAATGCACACTCGTACCTCGCTTATCCGGGCGGTCTGGGACCTTAAATTTAATTTTATTTCACCTTCCCGTGGCCAAGGAATATAGGCCACTATGGAGGGAGGGAGGGAGGGAGGGGGGGGGGGGGAGGGGGGCGATAGCCAGCCGTGGCAGTAAGCAAAAGCAAAATGACAAATCACAAGAGGCAACAATCTTTGATGGGGAAGGGGCAGAGGTATGGCACGTCACGTGATGTCATTATTGCCACAAAAAGTTACAAAAGAGTAGTAATATTTCCACTAAGCACATCCAAAGGGTGCCCAGGAGACAGAAGTTCCGGTAACTTGGGGTCGGGATAACTGACGTATGAGTGCATACCCTACAGTAGCTTGTGATTCCTCTCCTATAACGGCAATGCGATTACATCATCATCTAACAAAGCATAGACAATTTTGCCATAGCATAACCTTAATTGTCCATCAGTAGTTGTCTCAACATCCTCCCCCCCCCCCCCCTCCCTCAAAAAACACACTATTCCCCTTTCCTCTCTCCTCTTCTATCTTACTCTGTTTCTCTCTCCCTTCTCCTCCTCCCCCTCTTCGTTCTCTCCCTCTCTCCCACCCCCACCCACATCCAGAAACATTCACCGAATCTCTCCACTCTCTCACTCGCTCACTCCACCCCACCCCCTCTCTCTGTCCTGCAAACACTCCAAGCAAGGAATGGATCACCAACATAATAACCTAGCTTGATCCAATGGACGCCGAGTCCTGTTTCTCCAGCAGTATTCAGTTATATTGTTACGACCTCTTCGAGGTGTTTCTTTTTCTCGTCTCAGGAAGATGCTTATGTGTCAGCGGGTGACTTTCTGCGACTGTTTGGAGAGCTGGTGGTGGTTGTGTTTGCTGGTCTCAGTTTCTATATAGAGGTAAGGCTGAAGTGTGGATTGTACTTAGGGAAGAGACAACTACTGTTTTCAACCCAGTTTAGGGGTCGTCCCTGATTTAGACATAATAACGATCGATTATTTGCACGAAACTAAAAAGATTTGTTTAGGGTTGGGGGGGGGGGGGAGGGGTCAAGGAGAGTTTCCTTTAAAAAAACATATTAACCCTGATGGCTGAAGCATCAATATATTTTGGCGCTCAAGTCCCTCCCGATTGTCACACCCCATTTTCGTGACAGTAATTTCGTGTACATGTAACATATGCGGGTGCTTCTTAAGTGGTACATTGATACATGGATGTTGGTTGAGCTTTTCTCTGGCCAAGGAGTGCATTGAACCTACTGGTAGCTTTACTTCCATGCAGGTGGCTAGGCAGGGGCGTAGCACCCGCTACGACTGGTACGACCATGGCCGTACCACTTTTCGAAAAGTGTGGTCCGTCCGGAACGCGCTAAACCGTAATAAAAAAAAATCAGGATCCATCGATGCATATGCGCATCGGACTTTGACCTTTTTCCAGACTCGTACTCGTGGATCTGCCATGGATCTAGATATCTGCAGTCGTACTGAGTACTGTACCCTAGTGTACTCGACTGCACACTGCACACTGATTCCTCACTGAACATGTCCCAGGACGCAGGATTTTGTGTCTTTTTTACAAAATATTCCCGGGGGAGGTCCCCCCGACACCCCTCCAAAACGCCCTTCGGCCGCGCCGACCTTGGGTCGTACCACTTCGAAAACCCCTCCTACGCCCCCGCTAGGCATAGGTGATTGTACCAGTGGTGAAATGTTGTGTGTTTGGTATGAGCACTGGGTCAGTCTTCCCAGGCTATGTTCTGCTTCTGTCGCATGAGTTCCAACCAAAATCATATTCTTCGCAAATATCCTGGTGGCTGCACCGTCATGATGTCATTTGCCTAACCTCTATGGTGTATCTACTGCTGTTGCCTGTGTATTTGTATTATTATCTTACATCGCAAATCAAACGGACGATCATTCCCAATGTGTTCTGTTCACACGCACGCACGCGCACACGCGCACACACACACACACACACACACACACACACACACACACACACACACACTCGTACTGATAACAACAGGCACTGGAGTTTGGTCGCAGTAAGATCCTGGGACAGCGACATGACACGGCCGTCGGAGGATACAACATGCTGGCGTATGTAATGCAGTGTATATTGTTTCTCTCTGTACTGTTTATATGCGCATACTTGGTGCAGTATACATCGGTCCTTGTCTTGTCCCGCAATGGACTCCTGCGTGGCTTACAGGCCGAACAAATCCTGTCTATATGACTATCTTCTCTTCGGCGTTCTCGTTGCATGCATTCGTGCGCGCACACGTGTGGCTATGCATGTAATGTGTGTGTTCATGTGCGTGCGTGTGCGTGTGTGTATGCGTGCATGTGTGTGTACCTGACTGCAGGTTCTTGTTCGACATCTCCGTCTTCTGTTCCGTCATCTTGAGGCTGGCGGATACACACCATGAGGAGATTCCGCTGTCCCTGGCGCTCATCTTCGGTTACCTGTACCTGCTGAACTTTGTGCGCGCTATACCGGCTCTGGGTCCGTATGTAGCGATGATCAGTGAGGTACGTACTGTTATCTTGCTATTAACGACTGTAGATGTAACGACAATTCGTGAATAACGACAGAATTTCCATGCCCAGAGCAAAGTCCATTCTACCTGTATACATATAATGAGACTTCGGGTATAAGGACACTTTGCGAATAAGGACACTTTCCTGATGCCCGGCCGAGTGTCGTTATACGCAAAGTTGCTGTACATGTACATACACAGCTAATGCACAGTTGAGAGCGTGAACACCGAGTGACCCATGGTATTTGTTCTTAATAGGCACCTTCCTACTCTGATTGAGCGCCCTCCTGTGAAAAAGTGCCCCCCACACTTTTTTTGTCGATTTTGTCATGCCATTCAACAAGAATTCAGTCGATAGTCACTACTAGAGGGTTCATAAAGGCACATATGTTTGCGGTGACCGTGAAGTCGGGGGCTCGCCCTGTACGTTGCATTTTGCATGGCAAGACAATATTTGGAAAATGGGTTATGGGGTAACTGTTTCCCATGCCCGCCCCTTCTAATTCGACGCAGCTAGAATCATGTAACATGAAGGGCAAGATGTTACGGTTACGACTAATGACCCAACAATGTAACCAGAACGAATGCAGTTCGATAGTGCAGTGCCGCGTTAGTCGTCGCTCACACGTTGTCCTTCCCCTTATCTCACCATCTGTCCTCGGTTCGTGCGCACAGTAATTTCCACCTGCTCAGTTGTTTGATGGTCGCCTATGGGCATCACGGAAATGCAAGGGGGGACTGTACCTTCGCGGCCATTTTCGGAGAGGGTCATACTCGAATGACCGTATCTTTGGCAGACATGTATAGAATCAGTCCAAATGTTCTAGACTGTGGCTTCATACCTTGTAGTTGGAGTTCATCACAACAGTTGGGCCAAATGGATGTGCTATCATTGAAATTTCAGCAGGGGAAAATACAGCAACGGCCGCGCGCAGGGGGCAAAATGGTGCGCAACTTTTTTCTAAGTGAACATGGTTGTAGTGACTTGAAATGAAATAAAGAGATCAAGAATACATGGCGGCAGGGTCGTTGTGTATTGGGAGTGCTCCACAACACCAGACACAAGTACTGCAGCCTAAGGAATCACAAAGTGCGATCGCAAGAAAGAACGAGGGTTGATTGAGTGTACTAAAACATGAGTAAATCAGAGTATTCGATTATGGCAACACACAACGGCCATGCCCAATGGCCACAGCAGTCCAAAATGTATAGGTTTATGGGGATACAGTGAAAGGCGAAGGCAAAAAGTTGCGCACCCTTTCGAAAAGGGGCTAAAAACAAGGAAAAAATGCACTCCAATCTGGGCATTTCCGGCTGTATTATAGCAAGTACTGAAGCTTTTACAGCTTCTCATGTGCTCAAAACGCACCAGCTTGGTATGTTACCCCCTCTGCTTCAACTGCTTGCTCCTACCAGCCCAGGCTCCTTCTTCTCCTCCTCTTTCTCGACTCCTTCTCTCCTTCTGTGGACTTCTTATCCGACTTCCGGATGCGCACCAAATCCTCTCTTTCCAGGGCAATTGCTGTAAACTCCCCGCAGCTGCAGTGCATCTCCAACAATACCTTCAGGAGGGACACCGATGCGCCTCATGTCCAGCACAGAGCGTCTGTTGACGTCATGAAAGCGCTTCTCCTCGCTTGAAACTGGTCCGGTGATCTCAAAAGTGCAGTCATCGTTGTCGCAGCGCAAAATTACATTGTACGCTAATCCTACACGGCTGCTCTCAGAAATAATTACTCTTCCACCCTGGCAAGCTCTACAAATTACACTAACATGCAGGAGTTCCTGCAGGCAGTTCAAGTCAACAATTCGATTGCCATTGCAGGCCAAATCAACATCGTCGTCGCTCTCCTCTTCACTATCACTGCTGTCTGGGGTAGAGGTTTGGCTGGCTTCGCTGTCAGTTTGCTCCAACCAGAGAGGACACTTTTTTCAATTTCCATGCAGAAGCGCTTTGAGAAGGCGTCGCGGCAGGCTCCTCGGCCTCAACAGCAACCTCAGCAGCCGCCTTGGGTGGGAAATACTTCCTCTTCGATCGTCTACGTCCAGAACCTGCGCTACTTCTGCTTTTCTTTGTGTTCGCCATCGCTCCTTGCTCAACAATTTGCATGTATTCAATCTCTGACCGATTTGAACCAGGGAGTCGTATAGCACTTGCCGCCTGAGCCGCTACACCACAATATTGTGCGTCATTCTTCTCATTCTTCCTTACCGGGTGACGATGCTCTGTGCTCACGAATTCTTTCACCATAGTTCGCTGTCAAAGACTTCAAAATGTCCGAATGTCCTTTCTCGGCCCACTCCTCCGATAGAGTCGGAATCCCACTCGCCCTCACGACGGCCTCCACGTGTACTAGCAACACTGCCAAGGAAAACACCTGCTGTGCTCTCGTGCCGGGCAACAAAGTCATTGCTCGCACTCGGCTCGCCATGATGGTGGTTGCTTTCGAAGTCACGGCTTGCGCCAGGCGTGCTTGGGTTCCTGCTTCCCACACCGGCACACGCACATTCATATGAAGATCAACATTGCTGCTAACTGCTTCAACGCTGATGAACACCTGGACTGGCCGAAGTGAAAATCTATGCACCGCTACCACGACGGCCAACAACCACACACGTACACGTAGACTACTGCTACTACTACACATCACACTTACATGCATGGTACTGCCCATGCGTAGGGAGGCTAGGGCCGCGTATGATGGAAAACAGCTACCCGTGCACTCGTAGGTTATTCAACGATAAACTTTTAGACTACGTCTTTGGGAAATCCTCAAATATCCGCAATTGAGTCCCACTTTCATTATGTTGGGTCCAGATTTCAAGACTCATGAAGTTCGAGGTGAAAAGCAGGCCGATGAAGGGACGCCAGTAATTCAGTCTAGTCCGGTGTCATGGAGAGGGACCGCTGAACCGGCAACAAGAGAATTCAAAACGCATGCTACTCCTCAGTTCATTGCTGGGGAAGACTACTCGAGGCCACGTCACTCCGCGGCAATTCAATGTACAAATCAGCAGCAACACTTGCAAACATATTCCTGCCAGCTGACCAGCAAGTTACCAGCCATCAGCTGTTCAATTATTTCAACGGAACAAAGAGAAGAGGTGATCAGATCGGAAAGTATCGTGGCAAGCTCAACACACTTCCGGCCCTATGTAACAACAGTGGAAAGTGCGTGCCATGATATATTTTCGAAGGCATCTCAAGAACCAGCTAATGTGGACTTGGAGTCCATTTGCATCGTCCGATCAGCTGCTACAAGTGCCGTGAGCCAATGGCAAACACGTTTGACAGAGACTTCTACCTCTACTGAATGCAACTTCGGCATGGCAGAGATCTACAAGCACGTTATTTTATCTATCAATAGAGTTGTATCCTCGTATGACTATGTGAAGTGTGAGGCCGTACTGTACTGCAGACGCGTCCTCGACCTGGTTGGAAATGTACGCAACAGTTCCACCCTCTTGACCAGAGATCGCACACACCCTAGGGTTTTTGATGGGTTTGTAAGACTCCCAGCTCTTGACTTTTGTTCGGTGTACGAGACGCACGCACAGTTTTAGTAGGGTGAGTGCTTTTTCATGTAGTACTGAATGCGGCAAGCAGGACTCGCCCATCCACCCCCTCCCCAAATGGATCTACTCTATGGTTGCGGAGGTAGGGGTGCTCTGGTGGGATGTTACGACATACACAAGCGCGCATGTGCACACGCACGCACACAATATACACACGCACGCACACACATACACACGAACGTTCGCACGCTATGTCGCATGGCTTCGTGAATACAAATAATAATTTAATGTTATAATTTATAGTAATGGACTCAGATGGAGATGCGTAACTTGTAGTTCCTTGGTCTTTCTCTTTGTATAATTTATAGTATCCAAATGTTAGAGCAGCTTTACAAAACCTACCGTTTAATACTGGATCATCTTGTGACAGCTTCCTTGCAACACCCATGACTTGACCCCACTTCGCCTTGACGTCGGGAAATCGTTCACACTGGAGTTGGGACACGACTCGTTGAAATCCAGGCCTATCTGCTGCTGGGAGCAGGACAGAGCTGATGGACGTCAGGAGCGGCTGTGAACAACCATAAACAAGTCTTCTTTTTCCACAGTCAGGCGGGACAGCAGCTTTGCAACGCAAGCTTCTTGCCTTCTGTGGGTCTTTAGCGGCTGGGATTCGGAACGCTCTGTAGAAACCATTGAACAAGTACTGCACTCTATCAACCCACAAGTATTTCTTCCAATTCATGATTATTCGCAGCTTTTTATGCAGTACGCGCACCAGATTATAAGCCGCTAAGTAGCAAGGTTGAAAGTTTCAAGACAAATTGAAAAATACAATACTAGTAACATAGAAAATTAGAATTCAAACCATACCTGTGGCTCAAGCCAACACAGACTGAGCGTTCACGCGAAGAGAACGTAGATCTACGTCAGCTGAGGTTTCCTTAGGATCAGGAGGTGGTTCTGGACCCGGATCTGGATCGCGATCAGCAACACTCTCTGCCTCCATCACGATCATCAAATGCAACTTGGAAAAGTAGTTCGTTCTTCTTCTTCTTCTTTTCGAGCTACGATTTCCCACGATCCTGAACGAGTCTGTTCCCCACGGAGTGCACACTCCCATGGCATAAGTACGCGGAGTAGTTGGTTTATAACTCAGGGCGCGCACTGGGGATATCTGAGGGAAAAGTGGGAGAAAGTGCCGCGAGTCGATCATAGTCGGCCCGGAAGGCCTCGTGTCGCCTCCCGGGGGATCCCGGGTATACGACTCCCTGATTTGAACCAGCTCATAGCGGCAGGTGTCGGTCATGTTGTGAACAGATCACCTAGCAACAGCTCGGGAATCGCTCGCCCCCGCAAGGCCGCGGCCGCGTACAGCCTCTAAAACGCCTGAGTTCCAAATGTCAAAATTATTTCGAGTCAAATCAATCTATTTTGGGAGGATGAGTCACTTAGTGCATCAACTTTGAAGGATCATAACTTCGGTTTGGATTGTCGCACAACGGTGAAACTTCGCATGCTGACACTTCAGACTATGGACACTATTTTAGAAGAGGTTTGAAGACGATCCTCACAATTTCAATTTTTGACCCTCTGAAGGTACAGTCTCTCCCCCCCCCCCCCCCCCCCCCCTCTTAAGTTACAACCGGATGACGTGTGGTGGTCTGTGACTTGTGTGTATGATAGCTCTGTTTGAATTGACATTGAGCACTCTACCGAGCCAGAGGACTCTCATTTGTAAGTATAATTATTTGAATTTCTACCTGTGTTGTGGTTGTTGTTGTTGTTGTTCGTGTGGCTGCCGGCTGTAGATGTTGTTTGGCGATGTGATCAAGTACCTCAACATTCTCATCATCTTCGTTGTGCCGTACTCCATCGGTAAGTGAGTGTGTTGCACGCTGACCGCAGGTACACACTGGGACACACATGCCGACACGCTTACACTCGTACGCACACACACGCACACACGCACACACACACACACACACACGCACACACACACACACACGCACACACACACACACACACACAAGCGCGCACACTGGATGCGTTCAATTACTGCCATGAATCGATTCATGAATGGAATCTCGTCGTTCGATTTCATGTCAAGAGCCCTGGAATCGGTTCGGAATCCATTCACCCTATTCCGTGACATGATGGGATGGTGTGAATAGCCAGGGGTAGTTATTCTTGAATGGATTCAAAAATCGATTTGTGGGCATAATCGAACTCACTCACTGAGAGGCATGCTGCACTCAAACAGGCTCTGTTCTTCTCTTTCGACTATCTCGTAGCCAGTACCGTCTGTAAAGAGCACGGTTGGGTCTTTGAGTCGTGGTAACTTCACAAACACTGATCCGGATTACCTCACCCGAGGGGTCCATCGGCATTAGAGCAATCATGTTCAACCTACCGCTGGTGAGGAGATCCTCAGCATTAGGACACCTCCAAGTAACGACTGGGCGAATTCTGTTGCAGCACCAGCAGTCACGGTCATGTCTGATGGCCATGCGGTGGTATTCTACTCAACCCTTTTTCAATCACGCAGCGTCATCGCACCATAGCCAGGGATGCTGTGACGGAACGTCCAATGACATAATCACAGCATGGCCAGTGACGTCAGCAGAGCACCTCCAGTCCAATGACACCATCACAGCATTGTCAGTGATGTCATGACTCATGACATCACCTCTAATGACATCATCACAGCATAGTCAGTGACACCATGAGAGCACGTCCAATGACAAGGTGAGAAGCGCCAAACCTACATTGTTCCCACCGCTTGCCAAACCAGACCGGCAGACAACTGGTGACTTGCGGCTTATCTACACAAAGCGCTGGATGGATTCATTTTGCTTGGATCAGCATTAGCAACGGTACTGAAAGAACGTTAATTAAAAATCCACGATTACATGATCCGGAAAGATAAATAGATTTATCCGAAGTCAACTCATGTTCACAGGCAATTCTTACCGAGTTGCAGTCGTTATCAGTATCAGCAGTGGCGTGTATTGGCAGACCTGTTCCCAATATGCTCACAACGTTCAGATCATAGCCAATGACCTGGCAGCATTGAAGGGATTGCTTGAGATAGCTTTTAATGATAGCTTGCATCGACGTCGGTCCTACCAGTAGGACCTACCGGTAGGACCATCATACACCGACATGCTGCATGGCCTTTGTTCTAACATTGACCTAAAACTTGACCCTAAACTGTTGCCCAGGGGCTAATGAAGGAGTCCACAAAGTTTAGACGTGATCGCACAAGGCATTCTACGAAATTCCATGGTAACAGCCCATGGAAACTGAGGATGGAATTATGCATTCCACTGCCTTGGCAAGCTAATAAAAACATTAGGACCTCACCACGATTGATGTGCCATGGTCAATATTCACTTTGGACAGAGTTGCTAGCGCACCGACAGGATTATGTGCGGCCATTTTGACAATCGATAAAATTGCGCATACGCAATGCACTGGACATAGCCTTGCATTTTGCGCCATTACTTTGCCTGACAAAGACCTCATCTCAACAATTGTTTCAAGAAATTTCTTAACCAAAAGCACTTTTGCAGCTCGATTTCTTGGGTCCTACCGGTAGGACGGCATGCAAGCTATCATTAAGTCTCCAGTAGGTTTGTACTCCCTGCAGAGGACTATACTACGTCTATCGAAGATTTCCTGTTGTGTACCAAGTTTGTACCAGATACCCAAATAGAGGCTGCTCGCATCTGTGTATGGTAGAAGGCTTCGGTTTCATCTTGCTTTGTGAAAGGGGAAAAGTTTGCTGAATAAGAAAGAAATGACTCCCCCATTATCTCTGCAGAGCTGTGCTCAAGTGCATCTCCTGATCACAGGAATACCGTATATTCTCTATTGTAAGCGCCGTGCTTATATTTTTTCAACACCCCTCTACCCCGTGCTTATATTTTTTCAACACCCCTCTACCCCGTGCTGATACTGGAGACTGTGCTTACATCTTTCAACCAAGATACTGGCAACTGCCCGCACCGGGACCTAAACCAGCAGCTACTTCTAGGAGCCTTTTTCTTCAGGCCGGCGATGATCTACAACTTATATAATATTATGGTGTAGTCTTCATCCAGGCAGAGAGACCTTTGAACGTGTTATTCCGACTTCAAAACTAGTACTCTGTGTGACAGGCTACACAGGCTATTGGGAATACATGAAGGGGTTCATTTCCGGTTTATAGAGGGTACTTCGAGGAAAAGGCAAGGGAGAAAGCCTGAAGGAAACATTGCCAGTTTTCAACAGGACTTAAGCGTTAGGAAACGATGTGTTTATTCTACACTCCATGCTGAATCTTAGCCAATAGGGAAGCTGACATAATGCTTCAAGTGATCTAGCAAGTTTGAGAGAGGGAGAAAAAGAGGAACATGAATCACTTGAAAGTGATTCACGTTTCTCTTTTTCTCCCTCTCTCCCCCCCCCCCCCTCTCTCTCCCTCGCGCTCCCTTTCTCTCCCTCTATCTATCTATCTATCTCGCTTGCGCTCTCTCTCTCTCTCTCGCTCTCTCTCTCGCTCTCTCTCTCGCTCTCTCTCTCTCTCTCTCTCTCTCTTTTCCCCCTCGCTCTCTCTCCCTTGCGCTCCCTTTCTCTATCTATCTATCTCGCTTGCGCTCTCTCTCTCTCTCGCTCTCTCTCGCTCTCTCTCTCGCTCTCTCTCTCTCTCGCTCTCTCTCGCTCTCTCTTGCTCTCACTCTCTCTCTCGCTCTTGCTCTCTCTCTCCTCTCTCTCTCGCTCTCTCTCTCGCTCTCTCTCTCTCTCCTCTCTCTCTCGCTCTCTCTCCTCTCTCTCTCTCTCTTTCTCTCTCTCTCTCTCTCTCTCTCTCTCTCTCTCTCTCTCTCTCTCTCTCTCTCTCTCTCTCTCTCTCTGTGGGTGTTGTCCCGTATGGTGCAGTGGTATGATGTGCAGCGATTTCCAATCGATAGATCGTGGGTTCGATTCCCGACGATTATGGTCCCACGCGTCTTTCTTCTCTTTCCCAAACTCCCCCTGACTTTTCTTTCATTCTGCTGGGTGGTTACCAACAGCCAGTGCATGCCGGGTACATTCAACTTTGTGTATAACGACACTCGGCGGCGGGGCATCAGAAAAGTGTCCTTATTCGCATATTCGAAGTCTCATTATAATAATTATGTACTACAGTTAGATGGGACTTTGCTCTGGGCATGGAAATTTTGTCGTTATATCCGCAGTCGTTATTAGCGAAGTTGACTGTATGTGGTATGTGTGTGCGGGAAAAACAAATGAAAAGTAAGGACTCACTAGCCAGAAAAGGTCACTTCATAGCTGTGTGGTGTAGACCAGGCTGAATAGTGGCGGTCACTTCTTCAGCCATGCCAGCTGTTGAATGGTGCAATCCCAGCACACGTTGCTATGGCTTCTGCTGTAGCATCGCTATCATCGCCTCCGGCGATGGGCGTCAAATGGTCAAATGGTTGGGTGTTCATTGTGTGCAATGTATGCGCATTTGACCAATTTTAGCCTCATAATTAATGCCAAACAATCGCTTTTCCAGCTTCTTCACTTTGGTTAGAGCTAATAACTAACTGAATCTTTGTCAGAAAAAGGTTTTCGTATGAAATGCCCTCAGGGCCCATCTCTTATTGGAAATAGCAGAAAACACAATAGGGTCCTGCACATTCTACACCCAACCGGGTCTACGGGATTCTACGAGATTCTATGGGATTTCATGCATCTGTACAACTTGCATAAGGCTTATCCCCCCCCCCCCCCCCCTCCCACGCACACACACATACGTGAATGCACGGCATTGAGATTTTGCTGTCTCCCTCTACAACTCTCTACCTCTCTACCCCGACCCCTCTCTACCTCTCTACCCCGACCCCTCTCTACCTCTCTACCTCTCCCGACCCCTCTCTACCTCTCTACCTCTCTACCCCTCTACCTCTCTACCCCTCTCTACTTCTCTACCTCTCTACTTCTCTACCGCTCTACTTCTCTATCTCTCTACCTCCCTACCTCTCTACCTCTCTACCTCGATCCCTCTCTACCACTCTACCTCTCTACCTCTCTACCCCTCTACCTCTCTACCTCTCTACCCCGACCCCTCTCTACCTCTCTACCCCGACCCCTCTCTACCTCTCTACCCCGATCCCTCTCTACCTCTGTACTTCTCTACCTCTCTACCCCGACCCCTCTACCTCTCTACCTCTCTACCCCTCTACCTCTCTACCTCTCTACCCCGACCCCTCTCTACCTCTCTACCCCGACCCCTCTCTACCTCTCTACCCCGACCCCTCTCTACCTCTGTACTTCTCTACCTCTCTACCCCGACCCCTCTCTACCTCTGTACTTCTCTACCTCTCTACCCCGACCCCTCTCTACCTCTCTACCCCGACCCCTCTCTACCTCTCTACCTCTCTACCCCTCTACCTCTCTACCCCTCTACCTCTCTACCCCTCTACCTCTCTACCCCTCTACCCCTCTACCTCTCTACCCCTCTACCTCTCCACCTCTCTACCTCTCTACCTCTACCCCGACCCCTCTCTACCTCTCTACCCTGACCCCTCTCTACCTCTCTACCCCGACCCCTCTCTACCTCTGTACCTCTGTACCTCTCTACCCCGACCCCTCTCTACCTCTCTACCCCAACCCCTCTCTACCTCTCTACCCCTCTACCTCTCTACCTCTCTACCCCTCGACCTCTCTACCTCTCAACCTCTTCACCTCTCCACCTCTCTACCTCTGTATGTCTGTACCTCTCTACCCTACCTCTGTACCTCTCTACCCTACCTCTGTACCTCTCTACCTCTGTACCTCTGTACGTCTCTACCCCGACCCCTCTCTACCTCTCTACCTCTCTACCCCGACCCCTCTCTACCCCGACCCCTCTCTACCTCTCTACCCCGACCCCTCTCTACCTCTCTACCCCGACCCCTCTCTACCTCTCTACCCCGACCCCTCTCTACCTCTCTACCCCGACCCCTCTCTACCTCTCTACCCCGACCCCTCTCTACCTCTCTACCCCGACCCCTCTCTACCTCTCTACCCCGACCCCTCTCTACCCCGACCCCTCTCTACCTCTCTACCCCGACCCCTCTCTACCTCTCTACCTCTCTATCATGTGTATACATGCAGTGACAGTTCTGTACTCACACCGTGCCACCACCATCGCCGAGAACTACACCAGCTTTCCGCGTAGCATCGTTGATGCGTTCTACGTTGCCGTCGGCGCTTTGTCCATCGACATCAACAACATCGCCATGTCAACGCAGCCATTCGTGTTCGGTCTCATCTCCACTACGTATCTGGTGATTGCCACGGTGATGTTATTGAACCTGTTGATTGCCATGATGAGCAATACGTATCAGAAGATCACCGACCAGCAGGTCGAGGTTTGGAACCATCAGGTACGTACGTGGCAAGGCTCTTGTTGTCCACACTGGGCAGCAACGATTTGTGAACAAAGTTAAAAGATATAAAAAAAACGCCTCACCATCACTATGCTCCCATGCATGTGCAATTTTTTTTGTCTTTCCCTGTGAGCTGTGATCATTGCAAGACAGAAACAATACTATACAAGTAACAGGGAAATTGTGGGCACAAGTTATGCGATCGAGTCCACCACCTACACCAGATTTTAAACAGTCAGACGTGCACAATCTAGCACTGGTCTAGTTGATCTACAGTGCTGGCAACTGAAATCTGCCTGATCGGTAGGTTGGTGCAACAGTGTTTTACGTGTGAACAACGGGCAAATGCTCCCGTCACGTATTTGGCACACGGATTTGCAACATTACTCTTGGAATGCAGGTGTATGGTGCAGAGTTGCTGTTATTGCTTTTTTTGCATCCTCTGCATCCCATGCACTGAGACAGTGTGCTCAATTTCCTCATACAGTAAAATCTGTAACTAAAGACCACTGTGACTAGTGACCAGCCTGGTACTACAGACCACCGTGACTAGTGACCAACCTGGTACTACAGACCACCGTGACTAGCGACCAGCCTGGTACTACAGACCACCGTGACTAGTGACCAGCCTGGTACTACAGACCACCGTGACTAGCAACCAGCCTGGTACTACAGACCACCGTGACTAGCGACCAGCCTGGTACTAAAGACCACCGTGACTAGTGACCAGCCTGGTACTACAGACCACCGTGACTAGTGACCAGCCTGGTACTACAGACCACCGTGACTAGTGACCAACCTGGTACTACAGACCACCGTGACTAGCGACCAGCCTGGTACTACAGACCACCGTGACTAGTGACCAGCCTGGTACTACAGACCACCGTGACTAGCGACCAGCCTGGTACTAAAGACCACCGTGACTAGTGACCAGCCTGGTACTACAGACCACCGTGACTAGTGACCAGCCTGGTACTACAGACCACCGTGACTAGTGACCAACCTGGTACTACAGACCACCGTGACTAGCGACCACCCTGGCACTACAGACCACCGTGACTAGCGACCAGCCTGGTACTACAGACCACCGTGACTAGCAACCAGCCTGGTACTACAGACCACCGTGACTAGCAACCAGCCTGGTACTACAGACCACCGTGACTAGCGACCAGCCTGGTACTACAGACCACCGTGACTAGCAACCAGCCTGGTACTACAGACCACCGTGACTAGCAACCAGCCTGGTACTACAGACCACCGTGACTAGCGACCAGCCTGGTACTACAGACCACCGTGACTAGCAACCAGCCTGGTACTACAGACCACCGTGACTAGCAACCAGCCTGGTACTACAGACCACCGTGACTAGCAACCAGCCTGGTACTACAGACCACCGTGACTAGCAACCAGCCTGGTACTACAGACCACCGTGACTAGCAACCAGCCTGGTACTACAGACCACCGTGACTAGCGACCAGCCTGGTACTACAGACCACCGTGACTAGCGACCAGCCTGGTACTACAGACCACCGTGACTAGCAACCAGCCTGATACTACAGACCACCGTGACTAGCGACCAGCCTGGTACTACAGACCACCGTGACTAGCGACCAGCCTGGTACTACAGACCACCGTGACTAGCAACCAGCCTGGTACTACAGACCACCGTGACTAGCGACCAGCCTGGTACTACAGACCACCGTGACTAGCAACCAGCCTGGTACTACAGACCACCGTGACTAGCGACCAGCCTGGTACTACAGACCACCGTGACTAGCAACCAGCCTGGTACTACAGACCACCGTGACTAGCAACCAGCCTGGTACTACAGACCACCGTGACTAGCAACCAGCCTGGTACTACAGACCACCGTGACTAGCAACCAGCCTGGTACTACAGACCACCGTGACTAGCAACCAGCCTGGTACTACAGACCACCGTGACTAGCAACCAGCCTGGTACTACAGACCACCGTGACTAGCAACCAGCCTGGTACTACAGACCACCGTGACTAGCAACCAGCCTGGTACTACAGACCACCGTGACTAGCAACCAGCCTGGTACTACAGACCACCGTGACTAGCAACCAGCCTGGTACTACAGACCACCGTGACTAGCGACCAGCCTGGTACTACAGACCACTTCGCCAGGCACGGACGGTCTCACATTAAAATTGAGCCGCGACACGACAAAAGGGTGCTTATCGCACGCGACATCAAACTGAGAAAAACTCGTTCAAAAGTTGAGTATGCAATATCGAGAGTGCACATTTTCGTTTTGAATTCGATTAGTTTTCGTTGCGATTTGTCAAGCTTTTTGAATGCGGTTTTTTGCAGCAGAAGCAGTGAGAATTCAGCCATTGTGCTGTGTCCATAGCTCAGTTTGTGAAAATTTTGTCATAAGCACCCTTTTGTCATGGTCCAGCTCAATTATGGTTGTGCTGTGCAAACCGCTGTATAAGGACCACCTGCCACTAAAGACCGCTTTCTCTGGCCCCAAGGGGTGGTCGATAGTCACAGGTTTTACTGTATTATGGTGCAATGCATACTTCTTCTGAAAACTACAAAATTGTGTGTTCAAGATCACTTCCAGAAGTTTGAGGGAGTTACAAAGGGAAATGTTCAAGAACACGTTGGCTGGCAGGGAGCCGCGCTTGTAGCCAGTGATGCTCTACCACTAGGCGTTGATGTAGTCGTCACCCCCTCATTAGATGCCTTATACCATAGCACTTCTCTGCCAGATATCAGAGGACTGTACCATATCTTGTCACTGGTTTACTGTGACTAACGGTGTACTCCAAGATGTGCTAGAGCTGTTGGTCAGTTGCAAGTAGTTGTAGAACGTCAGTACCGTCGGTCAGTGTCGTGCAATGCCATCGCATGAGCTGATTGTTTAGTAACTGGTGGTGTTAGTGGACATTGTAGCGTAACTTGTAGTTTTATAACGGTGTAGTTTTTGCTATTCTCGTGTCTAGATGGGCTCTCTGGTGTTGTTCCTGGAGGACCGGATTCCAAAGCGGATGAGGATTCGCTCCGGCTTCCCAGGACGTTCCCTGGGAATGAAGAACGATAAACGGTATGTCGGAGAGCAATTTCTCTCTGCAGTGCATGTCCAGAATTATTGACGATGTGTGAGGTGAATTTTGACGCCTGTGCCTGAAGAGCCATGCCGGTCGGAACCAGTCCGATTGGTCAGGTCGTGACCAGACCAACTTGTTGGCCACCAACGCATTTACATGTACTGGTTATGAGGCTATGTGTGCCTACAATAATCATCATACACAAACTGTATGAACTTGAGTAAGGCCGGACCAATCAAATACTTCTTCCGGCGGTCCTGAGAGCAGACAAGGGCTTTTGTCATGAGCAGGTGGTTGCGAATCATTCTTGCCATCTTCATCATGCTTGTAGAAAGCAGTGTATAATGATTTTTGTGTTCTTTTCATGATCATGAGCCCACAGTTGATAATTGTGCAGATATTATGACATTGCTAGATTGGCTTCACCTTGGGCTTGCAAATGCCTATGTCCAGATCACAAGGCAACCCTGACTAGTCTCGTTGGACAGCAAGTTACCTGAAGAGCAGACTATTTGGACCTTGTTGGGTGTCATAGGTGGAGCTCACAGTGACTAGCTGACCTGATCGCAAGAAGGTCTCGTCAAGAACACAGCATCAAAAGCCGGCTCAAAGCATCCAAGTCACAGTGGCCCATCTGTGACGAATACAAGCTCCAGACAAAGCAATGTGCGTACGTGCGTGCATGTGCATGCGTGTGTGTGTGTGTGCATGTGTGTGTGTGTGTGTCCGTGTGTGTGCGTGTGTGCGTGCATGCGTGTGTCAAATCTGTAGGTGGTTTCTTCGTGTTCAGGAGCACCATAACCATCTCTTCGTCGAGACCAGCGACTCCGGTGGTTCAGCGGAATCGGACCCAACCCAAGAGTCGCCAATCTTCCCGCACGGATCCTCACAGACTTCTGAGGAGCTCGCCAATCTTCGCCGAAGAAAATCCACCAAACAGAATTCCATCCTGACGATGCTTGGCGAATCTGCGTCACCATCCATTGAAAGTAAGCAAATTGTGTTGTACTTCCATGCAGTTAGGGATTATCCCTTGTTAGTGATCTACTGTAGAAGTTGTGAGCGGTGTCCTAGACACACCTCCTACGTGACACTTGACGCAATCATCATCATACTTTACACTTTATGCATTAGCACCTGTATTGCTGTACTGGTATTTAGAGGGCTTCTGATTGTTGATGAAGGCTGAGTTATCCTGGACAATACAACCGTCCCAAAGTACAAATTTTCGTTTGGAATTTACTTTCGCTATATTCGTTAGGGGGCACGAAATAACTAAAGTTTGTACCAAACTACTTGTAAAGTTTTTTTCTGAACGTTGTAGGTGACAGACCTCAACCAAAAACGAAAATTAGTACGTGACAAGCCTACTGGTGCGTGTGAAATAACGAAAGATTTCGTGAACGAAAATTTGTGCTTGTACAGTATTCAGGAAATAAATAGGATATTGGCAAGGTTGGGGCTTCCCCATTCTCATTGAGCGAACCTTGAAGTCAAGGCAGGATTGCGCACACTCCTGTATCAATCATGCGGAGGGTGCAAATGATATGTACGGCTTGTCACGTGATTTGAAGTTCTGCTGTTGCAGACCTCTCATAGACTAAGAGTGGCACATTCTGGCTACCCCTCATGCTACCCCTCATGCTACCCCTCATGCACACCCCTCCAGCAGTCATCCACCTGCGTTTAGTGTTGTTTTTTTTCTTCATATCTTATTCATTAGTTAGAGAGAGTGGCATTTAGTTACATTTCATTTTTTTAAAGGATTCTCGTTTATTGGGAATGACTGTGGCTTTGTCCCGTTCACTGACGCCAAACATACCAACTAGGCAATGCCCCATTGACAGCATCTGGACTAAGAAAGAGAGAAGTGTATGCGTGTGTGTGTGTGTGTGTGTTTGTGCACATGTGCGTAACTTTTAGAGTCAGCTGCACATCCGGTGTCCAGCCACGGTCGTCCTGTCCAAGCCGGTACCAGTCATGTGGGCAGTAGTGACATCACCAGTGACGTAACCCATGATGTCATCAGCGAGCAGAGCTCCCAGTGCAGTGCAGTGCAGGTTTTAGCAAGCTGTGCGTCCAGCCACACGGATACCATGCCCAGACTGAGAGGTGGACACCGGATTGTAGCGGACTAAACGCAAAGCAAGGATGTTGCACAACACATGCACCGCACAGATGCATAATCTGCATGCTTACGTCTGCTGCGCTTCAGATATTGCATGTATTTTTCGCAAGGAAAACGAATCTATCACTCACATGCAGCTCTGTTTAGCATGCCTGAGCGGCTCAGAGCACAATCATTGCCACCACCACCACCACTGCCGAGTGCCATGTTTGCACTTAGCATCCCTGTCGTGGAAATCAGCATACGCTGCCAAAATCATACTATCTACTGCATGCCAATGCGGTGCAACGCAAAACACGCCTACGCAGCGTACCAGTGAACAGGCACACATGTATCTTCACACGACAGTTTCAATGTATTTTATGGATTTGTGTGTTGTTGACAGCGCTCTACACGCCTACTGATCCGGGTCTCTGTAACATTCCTGGCGCCAAACAGCCAGCCAAGACTGCACCAGTCGGCAGCCAGCCAAAGTTCTTCTCGTCCACTGTTCACACCGGAGCCGCGACTGCAGTAACAGCAGCAGCTGCAAGCCAATCAGGTTCTCTACAGCCGGGACGATCGTTATCCGTGGTCTTGCCCAGCATAACCATGACAACCAGTGCGGAGCGGCGACGTCATTCCGACCTGCATTCGCTGCCCGACGGCACGGCCGGTTTCTTTGACGACCAGACCATTCTGAGCGGTGTGAACACCACCTCGTTCTCGACGCTCAACGAGAGCGACTACGAGGAGCCATGGGTGGAGGAGACTGCCAGCGAGGCCAGTGCAATGATCAATCGTCCGCGTAGGCAGAGTATGGTAGTATCCCCTCAGGTCACTTCCGACGCCACCACCGATTCCACCATAGGCCACTCCGTTTGAGGGCTTGGATGGCGGCGCACACGATGTTGCATCTTTGAGGTATGTGTTCAGCAAGTAATGCTTGTCCAGTGACATGCATTGCTAGTGTGTCTCTGTGTGGCATCAGAAAAGATCACGAAACACATGCACACTAGTACCCTGGGCACTACCCCTGGGCACTACCCCTGGGCACTACCCCTGGGCACTACCCCTGGGCACTAACTCCCAGGGTACTAGTGAATTTGATGAGCCTATTGATCTTAGCAGCACCCTGGACCTACATTGTGTATCCTGCAGTACCCCTGATGTGTCCATCCTGCAGCATACGTTACGTATCAGCTTGCTACATGCGTCGATTG